ATACCTCTAACGTGGTGTGACTCTAATCTAAACCTCTAACGGATACTTGAAATAACGTCGTCTAGTATGTCGCTTAGAAGTATTTGTACGTCGCTCGTAAATATGGGTATGTCGCTTAGAAACGTTCGTTTGCCGCTTAAAAGTATTTGTATGCCGCTTAGAAATGTCCGTATGTCGCTTACGACACTCTGTATGTGGTCTACTATGCTCCGTACGTCGTTTATCGTACTCTGTATGCTGCCTGTAGTAAGCGTCGGTATGTCGCTTGGAGGTATTTTTTGTATGCCACTTAGAAATATTTGTATGCCGCTTAGAAATATTTGTATGCCATCTACGAACGTTTGTACGTGGTCTACGAATGTCGGTATGTGGTCTATAAGCGTTCGTATGCGGGCTACGACGCTCCGTATGCGGTGTATAGTACTCTGTATGCGGTGTATAGTACTCTGTAAACGTTGGTATGCGGTCTATAGCGGTCTGTCGCTTAATTTTTTGTATGCCGCTTAGAAATATTTGTATGTCGCTTAGAAATATTCGTATGTGGACTACAAATGTCCGTATGTGGTCTACGAACGTTCGTATGTGGGCTACGACACTCTGTATGCGGTCTATAGTGGTCTGTAGCACTCCGTATGCGGTCCATAGCATTCTGTACGCGGTCCGTAGCATTCTGTATGCGGTCTATAGTGGTCTATGGTACTCTGTATGCGGTCTACTAAACATGACGGTCGATTTTTTATAAATGCGTGATAAATGTGTGACATAATAGATCTACACGAAAAGATAACGTTCCTCACCGAACCACTAAACGAAACACTAAACCTGATTCTAATCCTCACCTAATTCTGACTGTAACCGAAGCTATAACCGAAACACTAATACCTCTAACGTGGTGTGACTCTAATCTAAACCTCTAACGGATACTTGAAATAACGTCGTCTAGTATGTCGCTTAGAAGTATTTGTACGTCGCTCGTAAATATGGGTATGTCGCTTAGAAACGTTCGTTTGCCGCTTAAAAGTATTTGTATGCCGCTTAGAAATGTCCGTATGTCGCTTACGACACTCTGTATGTGGTCTACTATGCTCCGTACGTCGTTTATCGTACTCTGTATGCTGCCTGTAGTAAGCGTCGGTATGTCGCTTGGAGGTATTTTTTGTATGCCACTTAGAAATATTTGTATGCCGCTTAGAAATATTTGTATGCCATCTACGAACGTTTGTACGTGGTCTACGAATGTCGGTATGTGGTCTATAAGCGTTCGTATGCGGGCTACGACGCTCCGTATGCGGTGTATAGTACTCTGTATGCGGTGTATAGTACTCTGTAAACGTTGGTATGCGGTCTATAGCGGTCTGTCGCTTAAGTATTTTTTGTATGCCGCTTAGAAATATTTGTATGTCGCTTAGAAATATTCGTATGTGGACTACAAATGTCCGTATGTGGTCTACGAACGTTCGTATGTGGGCTACGACACTCTGTATGCGGTCTATAGTGGTCTGTAGCACTCCGTATGCGGTCCATAGCATTCTGTACGCGGTCCGTAGCATTCTGTATGCGGTCTATAGTGGTCTATGGTACTCTGTATGCGGTCTACTAAACATGACGGTCGATTTTTTATAAATGCGTGATAAATGTGTGACATAATAGATCTACACGAAAAGATAACGTTCCTCACCGAACCACTAAACGAAACACTAAACCTGATTCTAATCCTCACCTAATTCTGACTGTAACCGAAGCTATAACCGAAACACTAATACCTCTAACGTGGTGTGACTCTAATCTAAACCTCTAACGGATACTTGAAATAACGTCGTCTAGTATGTCGCTTAGAAGTATTTGTACGTCGCTCGTAAATATGGGTATGTCGCTTAGAAACGTTCGTTTGCCGCTTAAAAGTATTTGTATGCCGCTTAGAAATGTCCGTATGTCGCTTACGACACTCTGTATGTGGTCTACTATGCTCCGTACGTCGTTTATCGTACTCTGTATGCTGCCTGTAGTAAGCGTCGGTATGTCGCTTGGAGGTATTTTTTGTATGCCACTTAGAAATATTTGTATGCCGCTTAGAAATATTTGTATGCCATCTACGAACGTTTGTACGTGGTCTACGAATGTCGGTATGTGGTCTATAAGCGTTCGTATGCGGGCTACGACGCTCCGTATGCGGTGTATAGTACTCTGTATGCGGTGTATAGTACTCTGTAAACGTTGGTATGCGGTCTATAGCGGTCTGTCGCTTAAGTATTTTTGTATGCCGCTTAGAAATATTTGTATGTCGCTTAGAAATATTCGTATGTGGACTACAAATGTCCGTATGTGGTCTACGAACGTTCGTATGTGGGCTACGACACTCTGTATGCGGTCTATAGTGGTCTGTAGCACTCCGTATGCGGTCCATAGCATTCTGTACGCGGTCCGTAGCATTCTGTATGCGGTCTATAGTGGTCTATGGTACTCTGTATGCGGTCTACTAAACATGACGGTCGATTTTTTATAAATGCGTGATAAATGTGTGACATAATAGATCTACACGAAAAGATAACGTTCCTCACCGAACCACTAAACGAAACACTAAACCTGATTCTAATCCTCACCTAATTCTGACTGTAACCGAAGCTATAACCGAAACACTAATACCTCTAACGTGGTGTGACTCTAATCTAAACCTCTAACGGATACTTGAAATAACGTCGTCTAGTATGTCGCTTAGAAGTATTTGTACGTCGCTCGTAAATATGGGTATGTCGCTTAGAAACGTTCGTTTGCCGCTTAAAAGTATTTGTATGCCGCTTAGAAATGTCCGTATGTCGCTTACGACACTCTGTATGTGGTCTACTATGCTCCGTACGTCGTTTATCGTACTCTGTATGCTGCCTGTAGTAAGCGTCGGTATGTCGCTTGGAGGTATTTTTTGTATGCCACTTAGAAATATTTGTATGCCGCTTAGAAATATTTGTATGCCATCTACGAACGTTTGTACGTGGTCTACGAATGTCGGTATGTGGTCTATAAGCGTTCGTATGCGGGCTACGACGCTCCGTATGCGGTGTATAGTACTCTGTATGCGGTGTATAGTACTCTGTAAACGTTGGTATGCGGTCTATAGCGGTCTGTCGCTTAGAAGTATTTTTGTATGCCGCTTAGAAATATTTGTATGTCGCTTAGAAATATTCGTATGTGGACTACAAATGTCCGTATGTGGTCTACGAACGTTCGTATGTGGGCTACGACACTCTGTATGCGGTCTATAGTGGTCTGTAGCACTCCGTATGCGGTCCATAGCATTCTGTACGCGGTCCGTAGCATTCTGTATGCGGTCTATAGTGGTCTATGGTACTCTGTATGCGGTCTACTAAACATGACGGTCGATTTTTTATAAATGCGTGATAAATGTGTGACATAATAGATCTACACGAAAAGATAACGTTCCTCACCGAACCACTAAACGAAACACTAAACCTGATTCTAATCCTCACCTAATTCTGACTGTAACCGAAGCTATAACCGAAACACTAATACCTCTAACGTGGTGTGACTCTAATCTAAACCTCTAACGGATACTTGAAATAACGTCGTCTAGTATGTCGCTTAGAAGTATTTGTACGTCGCTCGTAAATATGGGTATGTCGCTTAGAAACGTTCGTTTGCCGCTTAAAAGTATTTGTATGCCGCTTAGAAATGTCCGTATGTCGCTTACGACACTCTGTATGTGGTCTACTATGCTCCGTACGTCGTTTATCGTACTCTGTATGCTGCCTGTAGTAAGCGTCGGTATGTCGCTTGGAGGTATTTTTTGTATGCCACTTAGAAATATTTGTATGCCGCTTAGAAATATTTGTATGCCATCTACGAACGTTTGTACGTGGTCTACGAATGTCGGTATGTGGTCTATAAGCGTTCGTATGCGGGCTACGACGCTCCGTATGCGGTGTATAGTACTCTGTATGCGGTGTATAGTACTCTGTAAACGTTGGTATGCGGTCTATAGCGGTCTGTCGCTTAGAAGTATTTTTTGTATGCCGCTTAGAAATATTTGTATGTCGCTTAGAAATATTCGTATGTGGACTACAAATGTCCGTATGTGGTCTACGAACGTTCGTATGTGGGCTACGACACTCTGTATGCGGTCTATAGTGGTCTGTAGCACTCCGTATGCGGTCCATAGCATTCTGTACGCGGTCCGTAGCATTCTGTATGCGGTCTATAGTGGTCTATGGTACTCTGTATGCGGTCTACTAAACATGACGGTCGATTTTTTATAAATGCGTGATAAATGTGTGACATAATAGATCTACACGAAAAGATAACGTTCCTCACCGAACCACTAAACGAAACACTAAACCTGATTCTAATCCTCACCTAATTCTGACTGTAACCGAAGCTATAACCGAAACACTAATACCTCTAACGTGGTGTGACTCTAATCTAAACCTCTAACGGATACTTGAAATAACGTCGTCTAGTATGTCGCTTAGAAGTATTTGTACGTCGCTCGTAAATATGGGTATGTCGCTTAGAAACGTTCGTTTGCCGCTTAAAAGTATTTGTATGCCGCTTAGAAATGTCCGTATGTCGCTTACGACACTCTGTATGTGGTCTACTATGCTCCGTACGTCGTTTATCGTACTCTGTATGCTGCCTGTAGTAAGCGTCGGTATGTCGCTTGGAGGTATTTTTTGTATGCCACTTAGAAATATTTGTATGCCGCTTAGAAATATTTGTATGCCATCTACGAACGTTTGTACGTGGTCTACGAATGTCGGTATGTGGTCTATAAGCGTTCGTATGCGGGCTACGACGCTCCGTATGCGGTGTATAGTACTCTGTATGCGGTGTATAGTACTCTGTAAACGTTGGTATGCGGTCTATAGCGGTCTGTCGCTTAGAAGTATTTTTTGTATGCCGCTTAGAAATATTTGTATGTCGCTTAGAAATATTCGTATGTGGACTACAAATGTCCGTATGTGGTCTACGAACGTTCGTATGTGGGCTACGACACTCTGTATGCGGTCTATAGTGGTCTGTAGCACTCCGTATGCGGTCCATAGCATTCTGTACGCGGTCCGTAGCATTCTGTATGCGGTCTATAGTGGTCTATGGTACTCTGTATGCGGTCTACTAAACATGACGGTCGATTTTTTATAAATGCGTGATAAATGTGTGACATAATAGATCTACACGAAAAGATAACGTTCCTCACCGAACCACTAAACGAAACACTAAACCTGATTCTAATCCTCACCTAATTCTGACTGTAACCGAAGCTATAACCGAAACACTAATACCTCTAACGTGGTGTGACTCTAATCTAAACCTCTAACGGATACTTGAAATAACGTCGTCTAGTATGTCGCTTAGAAGTATTTGTACGTCGCTCGTAAATATGGGTATGTCGCTTAGAAACGTTCGTTTGCCGCTTAAAAGTATTTGTATGCCGCTTAGAAATGTCCGTATGTCGCTTACGACACTCTGTATGTGGTCTACTATGCTCCGTACGTCGTTTATCGTACTCTGTATGCTGCCTGTAGTAAGCGTCGGTATGTCGCTTGGAGGTATTTTTTGTATGCCACTTAGAAATATTTGTATGCCGCTTAGAAATATTTGTATGCCATCTACGAACGTTTGTACGTGGTCTACGAATGTCGGTATGTGGTCTATAAGCGTTCGTATGCGGGCTACGACGCTCCGTATGCGGTGTATAGTACTCTGTATGCGGTGTATAGTACTCTGTAAACGTTGGTATGCGGTCTATAGCGGTCTGTCGCTTAGAAGTATTTTTTGTATGCCGCTTAGAAATATTTGTATGTCGCTTAGAAATATTCGTATGTGGACTACAAATGTCCGTATGTGGTCTACGAACGTTCGTATGTGGGCTACGACACTCTGTATGCGGTCTATAGTGGTCTGTAGCACTCCGTATGCGGTCCATAGCATTCTGTACGCGGTCCGTAGCATTCTGTATGCGGTCTATAGTGGTCTATGGTACTCTGTATGCGGTCTACTAAACATGACGGTCGATTTTTTATAAATGCGTGATAAATGTGTGACATAATAGATCTACACGAAAAGATAACGTTCCTCACCGAACCACTAAACGAAACACTAAACCTGATTCTAATCCTCACCTAATTCTGACTGTAACCGAAGCTATAACCGAAACACTAATACCTCTAACGTGGTGTGACTCTAATCTAAACCTCTAACGGATACTTGAAATAACGTCGTCTAGTATGTCGCTTAGAAGTATTTGTACGTCGCTCGTAAATATGGGTATGTCGCTTAGAAACGTTCGTTTGCCGCTTAAAAGTATTTGTATGCCGCTTAGAAATGTCCGTATGTCGCTTACGACACTCTGTATGTGGTCTACTATGCTCCGTACGTCGTTTATCGTACTCTGTATGCTGCCTGTAGTAAGCGTCGGTATGTCGCTTGGAGGTATTTTTTGTATGCCACTTAGAAATATTTGTATGCCGCTTAGAAATATTTGTATGCCATCTACGAACGTTTGTACGTGGTCTACGAATGTCGGTATGTGGTCTATAAGCGTTCGTATGCGGGCTACGACGCTCCGTATGCGGTGTATAGTACTCTGTATGCGGTGTATAGTACTCTGTAAACGTTGGTATGCGGTCTATAGCGGTCTGTCGCTTAGAAGTATTTTTTGTATGCCGCTTAGAAATATTTGTATGTCGCTTAGAAATATTCGTATGTGGACTACAAATGTCCGTATGTGGTCTACGAACGTTCGTATGTGGGCTACGACACTCTGTATGCGGTCTATAGTGGTCTGTAGCACTCCGTATGCGGTCCATAGCATTCTGTACGCGGTCCGTAGCATTCTGTATGCGGTCTATAGTGGTCTATGGTACTCTGTATGCGGTCTACTAAACATGACGGTCGATTTTTTATAAATGCGTGATAAATGTGTGACATAATAGATCTACACGAAAAGATAACGTTCCTCACCGAACCACTAAACGAAACACTAAACCTGATTCTAATCCTCACCTAATTCTGACTGTAACCGAAGCTATAACCGAAACACTAATACCTCTAACGTGGTGTGACTCTAATCTAAACCTCTAACGGATACTTGAAATAACGTCGTCTAGTATGTCGCTTAGAAGTATTTGTACGTCGCTCGTAAATATGGGTATGTCGCTTAGAAACGTTCGTTTGCCGCTTAAAAGTATTTGTATGCCGCTTAGAAATGTCCGTATGTCGCTTACGACACTCTGTATGTGGTCTACTATGCTCCGTACGTCGTTTATCGTACTCTGTATGCTGCCTGTAGTAAGCGTCGGTATGTCGCTTGGAGGTATTTTTTGTATGCCACTTAGAAATATTTGTATGCCGCTTAGAAATATTTGTATGCCATCTACGAACGTTTGTACGTGGTCTACGAATGTCGGTATGTGGTCTATAAGCGTTCGTATGCGGGCTACGACGCTCCGTATGCGGTGTATAGTACTCTGTATGCGGTGTATAGTACTCTGTAAACGTTGGTATGCGGTCTATAGCGGTCTGTCGCTTAGAAGTATTTTTTGTATGCCGCTTAGAAATATTTGTATGTCGCTTAGAAATATTCGTATGTGGACTACAAATGTCCGTATGTGGTCTACGAACGTTCGTATGTGGGCTACGACACTCTGTATGCGGTCTATAGTGGTCTGTAGCACTCCGTATGCGGTCCATAGCATTCTGTACGCGGTCCGTAGCATTCTGTATGCGGTCTATAGTGGTCTATGGTACTCTGTATGCGGTCTACTAAACATGACGGTCGATTTTTTATAAATGCGTGATAAATGTGTGACATAATAGATCTACACGAAAAGATAACGTTCCTCACCGAACCACTAAACGAAACACTAAACCTGATTCTAATCCTCACCTAATTCTGACTGTAACCGAAGCTATAACCGAAACACTAATACCTCTAACGTGGTGTGACTCTAATCTAAACCTCTAACGGATACTTGAAATAACGTCGTCTAGTATGTCGCTTAGAAGTATTTGTACGTCGCTCGTAAATATGGGTATGTCGCTTAGAAACGTTCGTTTGCCGCTTAAAAGTATTTGTATGCCGCTTAGAAATGTCCGTATGTCGCTTACGACACTCTGTATGTGGTCTACTATGCTCCGTACGTCGTTTATCGTACTCTGTATGCTGCCTGTAGTAAGCGTCGGTATGTCGCTTGGAGGTATTTTTTGTATGCCACTTAGAAATATTTGTATGCCGCTTAGAAATATTTGTATGCCATCTACGAACGTTTGTACGTGGTCTACGAATGTCGGTATGTGGTCTATAAGCGTTCGTATGCGGGCTACGACGCTCCGTATGCGGTGTATAGTACTCTGTATGCGGTGTATAGTACTCTGTAAACGTTGGTATGCGGTCTATAGCGGTCTGTCGCTTAGAAGTATTTTTTGTATGCCGCTTAGAAATATTTGTATGTCGCTTAGAAATATTCGTATGTGGACTACAAATGTCCGTATGTGGTCTACGAACGTTCGTATGTGGGCTACGACACTCTGTATGCGGTCTATAGTGGTCTGTAGCACTCCGTATGCGGTCCATAGCATTCTGTACGCGGTCCGTAGCATTCTGTATGCGGTCTATAGTGGTCTATGGTACTCTGTATGCGGTCTACTAAACATGACGGTCGATTTTTTATAAATGCGTGATAAATGTGTGACATAATAGATCTACACGAAAAGATAACGTTCCTCACCGAACCACTAAACGAAACACTAAACCTGATTCTAATCCTCACCTAATTCTGACTGTAACCGAAGCTATAACCGAAACACTAATACCTCTAACGTGGTGTGACTCTAATCTAAACCTCTAACGGATACTTGAAATAACGTCGTCTAGTATGTCGCTTAGAAGTATTTGTACGTCGCTCGTAAATATGGGTATGTCGCTTAGAAACGTTCGTTTGCCGCTTAAAAGTATTTGTATGCCGCTTAGAAATGTCCGTATGTCGCTTACGACACTCTGTATGTGGTCTACTATGCTCCGTACGTCGTTTATCGTACTCTGTATGCTGCCTGTAGTAAGCGTCGGTATGTCGCTTGGAGGTATTTTTTGTATGCCACTTAGAAATATTTGTATGCCGCTTAGAAATATTTGTATGCCATCTACGAACGTTTGTACGTGGTCTACGAATGTCGGTATGTGGTCTATAAGCGTTCGTATGCGGGCTACGACGCTCCGTATGCGGTGTATAGTACTCTGTATGCGGTGTATAGTACTCTGTAAACGTTGGTATGCGGTCTATAGCGGTCTGTCGCTTAGAAGTATTTTTTGTATGCCGCTTAGAAATATTTGTATGTCGCTTAGAAATATTCGTATGTGGACTACAAATGTCCGTATGTGGTCTACGAACGTTCGTATGTGGGCTACGACACTCTGTATGCGGTCTATAGTGGTCTGTAGCACTCCGTATGCGGTCCATAGCATTCTGTACGCGGTCCGTAGCATTCTGTATGCGGTCTATAGTGGTCTATGGTACTCTGTATGCGGTCTACTAAACATGACGGTCGATTTTTTATAAATGCGTGATAAATGTGTGACATAATAGATCTACACGAAAAGATAACGTTCCTCACCGAACCACTAAACGAAACACTAAACCTGATTCTAATCCTCACCTAATTCTGACTGTAACCGAAGCTATAACCGAAACACTAATACCTCTAACGTGGTGTGACTCTAATCTAAACCTCTAACGGATACTTGAAATAACGTCGTCTAGTATGTCGCTTAGAAGTATTTGTACGTCGCTCGTAAATATGGGTATGTCGCTTAGAAACGTTCGTTTGCCGCTTAAAAGTATTTGTATGCCGCTTAGAAATGTCCGTATGTCGCTTACGACACTCTGTATGTGGTCTACTATGCTCCGTACGTCGTTTATCGTACTCTGTATGCTGCCTGTAGTAAGCGTCGGTATGTCGCTTGGAGGTATTTTTTGTATGCCACTTAGAAATATTTGTATGCCGCTTAGAAATATTTGTATGCCATCTACGAACGTTTGTACGTGGTCTACGAATGTCGGTATGTGGTCTATAAGCGTTCGTATGCGGGCTACGACGCTCCGTATGCGGTGTATAGTACTCTGTATGCGGTGTATAGTACTCTGTAAACGTTGGTATGCGGTCTATAGCGGTCTGTCGCTTAGAAGTATTTTTTGTATGCCGCTTAGAAATATTTGTATGTCGCTTAGAAATATTCGTATGTGGACTACAAATGTCCGTATGTGGTCTACGAACGTTCGTATGTGGGCTACGACACTCTGTATGCGGTCTATAGTGGTCTGTAGCACTCCGTATGCGGTCCATAGCATTCTGTACGCGGTCCGTAGCATTCTGTATGCGGTCTATAGTGGTCTATGGTACTCTGTATGCGGTCTACTAAACATGACGGTCGATTTTTTATAAATGCGTGATAAATGTGTGACATAATAGATCTACACGAAAAGATAACGTTCCTCACCGAACCACTAAACGAAACACTAAACCTGATTCTAATCCTCACCTAATTCTGACTGTAACCGAAGCTATAACCGAAACACTAATACCTCTAACGTGGTGTGACTCTAATCTAAACCTCTAACGGATACTTGAAATAACGTCGTCTAGTATGTCGCTTAGAAGTATTTGTACGTCGCTCGTAAATATGGGTATGTCGCTTAGAAACGTTCGTTTGCCGCTTAAAAGTATTTGTATGCCGCTTAGAAATGTCCGTATGTCGCTTACGACACTCTGTATGTGGTCTACTATGCTCCGTACGTCGTTTATCGTACTCTGTATGCTGCCTGTAGTAAGCGTCGGTATGTCGCTTGGAGGTATTTTTTGTATGCCACTTAGAAATATTTGTATGCCGCTTAGAAATATTTGTATGCCATCTACGAACGTTTGTACGTGGTCTACGAATGTCGGTATGTGGTCTATAAGCGTTCGTATGCGGGCTACGACGCTCCGTATGCGGTGTATAGTACTCTGTATGCGGTGTATAGTACTCTGTAAACGTTGGTATGCGGTCTATAGCGGTCTGTCGCTTAGAAGTATTTTTTGTATGCCGCTTAGAAATATTTGTATGTCGCTTAGAAATATTCGTATGTGGACTACAAATGTCCGTATGTGGTCTACGAACGTTCGTATGTGGGCTACGACACTCTGTATGCGGTCTATAGTGGTCTGTAGCACTCCGTATGCGGTCCATAGCATTCTGTACGCGGTCCGTAGCATTCTGTATGCGGTCTATAGTGGTCTATGGTACTCTGTATGCGGTCTACTAAACATGACGGTCGATTTTTTATAAATGCGTGATAAATGTGTGACATAATAGATCTACACGAAAAGATAACGTTCCTCACCGAACCACTAAACGAAACACTAAACCTGATTCTAATCCTCACCTAATTCTGACTGTAACCGAAGCTATAACCGAAACACTAATACCTCTAACGTGGTGTGACTCTAATCTAAACCTCTAACGGATACTTGAAATAACGTCGTCTAGTATGTCGCTTAGAAGTATTTGTACGTCGCTCGTAAATATGGGTATGTCGCTTAGAAACGTTCGTTTGCCGCTTAAAAGTATTTGTATGCCGCTTAGAAATGTCCGTATGTCGCTTACGACACTCTGTATGTGGTCTACTATGCTCCGTACGTCGTTTATCGTACTCTGTATGCTGCCTGTAGTAAGCGTCGGTATGTCGCTTGGAGGTATTTTTTGTATGCCACTTAGAAATATTTGTATGCCGCTTAGAAATATTTGTATGCCATCTACGAACGTTTGTACGTGGTCTACGAATGTCGGTATGTGGTCTATAAGCGTTCGTATGCGGGCTACGACGCTCCGTATGCGGTGTATAGTACTCTGTATGCGGTGTATAGTACTCTGTAAACGTTGGTATGCGGTCTATAGCGGTCTGTCGCTTAGAAGTATTTTTTGTATGCCGCTTAGAAATATTTGTATGTCGCTTAGAAATATTCGTATGTGGACTACAAATGTCCGTATGTGGTCTACGAACGTTCGTATGTGGGCTACGACACTCTGTATGCGGTCTATAGTGGTCTGTAGCACTCCGTATGCGGTCCATAGCATTCTGTACGCGGTCCGTAGCATTCTGTATGCGGTCTATAGTGGTCTATGGTACTCTGTATGCGGTCTACTAAACATGACGGTCGATTTTTTATAAATGCGTGATAAATGTGTGACATAATAGATCTACACGAAAAGATAACGTTCCTCACCGAACCACTAAACGAAACACTAAACCTGATTCTAATCCTCACCTAATTCTGACTGTAACCGAAGCTATAACCGAAACACTAATACCTCTAACGTGGTGTGACTCTAATCTAAACCTCTAACGGATACTTGAAATAACGTCGTCTAGTATGTCGCTTAGAAGTATTTGTACGTCGCTCGTAAATATGGGTATGTCGCTTAGAAACGTTCGTTTGCCGCTTAAAAGTATTTGTATGCCGCTTAGAAATGTCCGTATGTCGCTTACGACACTCTGTATGTGGTCTACTATGCTCCGTACGTCGTTTATCGTACTCTGTATGCTGCCTGTAGTAAGCGTCGGTATGTCGCTTGGAGGTATTTTTTGTATGCCACTTAGAAATATTTGTATGCCGCTTAGAAATATTTGTATGCCATCTACGAACGTTTGTACGTGGTCTACGAATGTCGGTATGTGGTCTATAAGCGTTCGTATGCGGGCTACGACGCTCCGTATGCGGTGTATAGTACTCTGTATGCGGTGTATAGTACTCTGTAAACGTTGGTATGCGGTCTATAGCGGTCTGTCGCTTAGAAGTATTTTTTGTATGCCGCTTAGAAATATTTGTATGTCGCTTAGAAATATTCGTATGTGGACTACAAATGTCCGTATGTGGTCTACGAACGTTCGTATGTGGGCTACGACACTCTGTATGCGGTCTATAGTGGTCTGTAGCACTCCGTATGCGGTCCATAGCATTCTGTACGCGGTCCGTAGCATTCTGTATGCGGTCTATAGTGGTCTATGGTACTCTGTATGCGGTCTACTAAACATGACGGTCGATTTTTTATAAATGCGTGATAAATGTGTGACATAATAGATCTACACGAAAAGATAACGTTCCTCACCGAACCACTAAACGAAACACTAAACCTGATTCTAATCCTCACCTAATTCTGACTGTAACCGAAGCTATAACCGAAACACTAATACCTCTAACGTGGTGTGACTCTAATCTAAACCTCTAACGGATACTTGAAATAACGTCGTCTAGTATGTCGCTTAGAAGTATTTGTACGTCGCTCGTAAATATGGGTATGTCGCTTAGAAACGTTCGTTTGCCGCTTAAAAGTATTTGTATGCCGCTTAGAAATGTCCGTATGTCGCTTACGACACTCTGTATGTGGTCTACTATGCTCCGTACGTCGTTTATCGTACTCTGTATGCTGCCTGTAGTAAGCGTCGGTATGTCGCTTGGAGGTATTTTTTGTATGCCACTTAGAAATATTTGTATGCCGCTTAGAAATATTTGTATGCCATCTACGAACGTTTGTACGTGGTCTACGAATGTCGGTATGTGGTCTATAAGCGTTCGTATGCGGGCTACGACGCTCCGTATGCGGTGTATAGTACTCTGTATGCGGTGTATAGTACTCTGTAAACGTTGGTATGCGGTCTATAGCGGTCTGTCGCTTAGAAGTATTTTTTGTATGCCGCTTAGAAATATTTGTATGTCGCTTAGAAATATTCGTATGTGGACTACAAATGTCCGTATGTGGTCTACGAACGTTCGTATGTGGGCTACGACACTCTGTATGCGGTCTATAGTGGTCTGTAGCACTCCGTATGCGGTCCATAGCATTCTGTACGCGGTCCGTAGCATTCTGTATGCGGTCTATAGTGGTCTATGGTACTCTGTATGCGGTCTACTAAACATGACGGTCGATTTTTTATAAATGCGTGATAAATGTGTGACATAATAGATCTACACGAAAAGATAACGTTCCTCACCGAACCACTAAACGAAACACTAAACCTGATTCTAATCCTCACCTAATTCTGACTGTAACCGAAGCTATAACCGAAACACTAATACCTCTAACGTGGTGTGACTCTAATCTAAACCTCTAACGGATACTTGAAATAACGTCGTCTAGTATGTCGCTTAGAAGTATTTGTACGTCGCTCGTAAATATGGGTATGTCGCTTAGAAACGTTCGTTTGCCGCTTAAAAGTATTTGTATGCCGCTTAGAAATGTCCGTATGTCGCTTACGACACTCTGTATGTGGTCTACTATGCTCCGTACGTCGTTTATCGTACTCTGTATGCTGCCTGTAGTAAGCGTCGGTATGTCGCTTGGAGGTATTTTTTGTATGCCACTTAGAAATATTTGTATGCCGCTTAGAAATATTTGTATGCCATCTACGAACGTTTGTACGTGGTCTACGAATGTCGGTATGTGGTCTATAAGCGTTCGTATGCGGGCTACGACGCTCCGTATGCGGTGTATAGTACTCTGTATGCGGTGTATAGTACTCTGTAAACGTTGGTATGCGGTCTATAGCGGTCTGTCGCTTAGAAGTATTTTTTGTATGCCGCTTAGAAATATTTGTATGTCGCTTAGAAATATTCGTATGTGGACTACAAATGTCCGTATGTGGTCTACGAACGTTCGTATGTGGGCTACGACACTCTGTATGCGGTCTATAGTGGTCTGTAGCACTCCGTATGCGGTCCATAGCATTCTGTACGCGGTCCGTAGCATTCTGTATGCGGTCTATAGTGGTCTATGGTACTCTGTATGCGGTCTACTAAACATGACGGTCGATTTTTTATAAATGCGTGATAAATGTGTGACATAATAGATCTACACGAAAAGATAACGTTCCTCACCGAACCACTAAACGAAACACTAAACCTGATTCTAATCCTCACCTAATTCTGACTGTAACCGAAGCTATAACCGAAACACTAATACCTCTAACGTGGTGTGACTCTAATCTAAACCTCTAACGGATACTTGAAATAACGTCGTCTAGTATGTCGCTTAGAAGTATTTGTACGTCGCTCGTAAATATGGGTATGTCGCTTAGAAACGTTCGTTTGCCGCTTAAAAGTATTTGTATGCCGCTTAGAAATGTCCGTATGTCGCTTACGACACTCTGTATGTGGTCTACTATGCTCCGTACGTCGTTTATCGTACTCTGTATGCTGCCTGTAGTAAGCGTCGGTATGTCGCTTGGAGGTATTTTTTGTATGCCACTTAGAAATATTTGTATGCCGCTTAGAAATATTTGTATGCCATCTACGAACGTTTGTACGTGGTCTACGAATGTCGGTATGTGGTCTATAAGCGTTCGTATGCGGGCTACGACGCTCCGTATGCGGTGTATAGTACTCTGTATGCGGTGTATAGTACTCTGTAAACGTTGGTATGCGGTCTATAGCGGTCTGTCGCTTAGAAGTATTTTTTGTATGCCGCTTAGAAATATTTGTATGTCGCTTAGAAATATTCGTATGTGGACTACAAATGTCCGTATGTGGTCTACGAACGTTCGTATGTGGGCTACGACACTCTGTATGCGGTCTATAGACATATTCGTATGCCATCTACAATTGTTGGTATGTCGCCTACAACACTTCGTAGGTGGGCTACGACACAGCCACACAGGGCTTCTCACTGCAGGTGGCCGTCCAGGACGGCCGTGTAAGTTTGTTGGTACCCTTAGTGGCAGTCTGAGATGAGCGTTTATTAGGTATGTCATGTATGGCCTTCCAGTACTACCACTTATTGTTCATCCCTGTGAAGGCCATTGAAGCAGATGGCCATTCAAGATGACCACCTATAGTCAGTACCACAGGTGGCCGTCCGGGACGGCCATTTCTTGTGCAAGCTGTTCGTGGCCTTCCTGGACTGCCACTTGTGGTTTGTCCCTCTGGTGGCCACTACAGCAGGTGGCCGTCCAGGAAGGCCATTTCTTGTACAAGCTGTACATGGCCTGCCTGGACTGCCACTTGTGGTTTGTCACTCTCATGGCCACTACAGCAGATGGCCGTCCGCGACGGCCACTCATGGTCAGTACCACAGGTGGCCGTCGAGGAAGGCCATTTTTTGTGCAAGCTATGCATGGCCTTCGTGGACTGCCACTTGTGGTTTGTCCCTCTGGTGGCCACTACAGCAGGTGGCCGTCCGGGAAGGCCATTTCTTGTACAAGCTGTACATGGCCTGCCTGGATTGCCACTTGTGGTTTGTCACTCTCATGGCCACTACAGCAGATGGCCGTCCGCGACGGCCACTCATGGTCAGTACCACAGGTGGCCGTCGAGGAAGGCCATTTTTTGTGCAAGCCATGCATGGCCTTCCTGGACTGCCACTTGTGGTCTGTCTCTCTGGTGGCCACTGCAGCAGGTGGCCGTCCGGGAAGGCCATTTCTTGTGCAAGCTGTTCATAGCCTTCCTGGACTGCCACTTGTAGTTTGTCACTCTCATGGCCAGTACAGCAGATGGCCATCCAGGATGGCCACTCATGGTCAGTACCACAGGTGGCCATCCAGGAAGGCCATTTTTTGTGCAAGCCATGCATGGCCTTCCTGGACTGCCACTTGGTTTATCCCTCTGGTGGCCACAACAGTAGGTGGCCGTCCAGGATGGCCACTCATGGTCAGTGCCACAGGTGGCCGTCCGGGAAGGCCATTTCTTGTGCAAGCTGTATATGGCCTTCCTGGACTGCCACTTGTGGTCTGTCCCCCTGGTGGCCACTATAGCAGATGGCCGTCCAGGACGGCCACTCACAGCCGCTGTGCTTTGCTGACTGTGCCACCTGGCCTATGCAGCCATCTGAGCCTCTTTTGGCCGCGAGCTATGGTTGAGGAGTATGAGGCTTTTGAAGTGGCATTGGTTATGGATGTGTCGCTGTAATAATACATATCATGATTGCGTAGTACATTACTACAGGTCTAGTTTATCATATGCTTACTACAGTGGCAGCCTAGCATTCCTAACTGGGACCCATGTCGGTAATACACCACCACCACCATGCATGGCCGTCCACGACGGCCGTGCAGGACAGTGGCGACTCACCAGCGCTAGTGATGGTACACGTGCCAACAGCACCTTTCGTAGTGTTCGGCAACAGCCTCCTTCCCAAAGCAGACACATACCCCTAGCCTTGGCTCAGGTTCCACTCAGTACTGGCAGTTCATGCACCTCGAACGGCCGTCCAGGACGGCCACTCGTGCCCAGCGTGGTTTACCTTCTGTGCCACCTGGCCTATGCAGCCAGTGGAGCCTCTCCGTGCATGGCCGTCCACGACGGCCACGCAGGTCAGAGGCCCCTCACCAGCGCTAATGATGACGCACATGCCCTACGGCACTGTCCATAGGGTTCGGCAATGGCCTCCTTCCTAAAGCGGACATGCACCCCTAGCCCTCGGCTCAGCGAACCCCCATCCTAGGGTTGGGGTCCCCCGCCCTCTGCGACCCTACGGCCGGCCTAGGAGGCCTCATAACCCTAACCTAACTAATCCGTATGCCATTCACGGTACTCTGTATGCTGCCCGTAATAAGCGTTCGTATGTCGCTTAGAAGTATTTTTTGTATGTCGCTTAGAAGTATTTTTTGTATGCCGCTTAGAAGTATTTGTATGCCATCCACGAACGTTTGTATGTCGCCTACGACGCTCGGCATGTGGTCTACGACGCTTCGTATGTGGTCTACGAATGTCGGCACGTGGTCTATAAATGTTTGTATGTGGTTTACGACGCTCTGTACGTGGTCCACCGTATTCTGTATGCGGTCTACAACGTGCGGTCGATTTTTATAAAAGCGTGATATGTATGTCGCCTTCGATGCTCTGTATGCGGTCTACGCATGTCGGTACGTGGCCTATGGTACTCTGTATGCTGCGTATAACAAATGTCGTATGTTGCTTATGACGATTTTTTGTATGCCACTCGGAAATATTTGTATGTCATCTACCAACATTCGTATGTCGCCTACGACACTCTCTGTATGCGGTCTAAAACTTCAAGTTCACGATGTGGATTTTTATAAAAGCACTCTGTATGCAGTCTACGAATGTTGATATGCAGTCTACAGTCCTTTGTTCATGGTCTATGTGTAGTTTATTACACTCACACATATCACCGTGTGGGATCCTGATCACGGTCATCTCATTGGCAGATAACGCTCAGTCAGCCTAACATTCAGCGTAACGTGCAGATGACGTTCAGTGTGCATAACGTTCACATAAGATTCATATAACGCTGAATCAGTCTAACATTCATATAACGCTGAGTCAGTCTAACATTCAGATGACGCTCAGTCAGTCTAACGTTCAGATAACGCTCAGATAACTAATGCTGCGATGACGGTGCTTGGGTATTATGTGAGGTCAAAGTGAAAAGGTGCGGAGGCGATAAGTCTGGTGGCCTAACGGTGGGATGAAGCAATATATATATATATATTTGGCTACTGCGTGCTACGGATAGTACTACATGATACGAACTGCGAGCGAGAGAGTGGAAATATTGTATGCTTGCAGTGTGGTCATGTTCTGTGTATACCCTTGCATCACGCGAATAAGGACGGTGGTGCATTGTGCAGAAACAATGGCGTTCGAGGGGACTGGGACGGCGGACTTGCGTGCCCATCGACCTAGCGTGCCCGCACGCTGTTGCTGCGCACTCACCCCACATTCCCAAACACACTCTCCAGCCACGCGTCCCCCACGCACTTCTACGAGAATATCTTGACCACCTACTCCTCCGGCACCTCCTCCCCGTCGCGCCGTCGCACACGCTCGTGGTACGTCAGTGAGTTGAACTTGGGCGCGACGTCCCGCTCCGCCCCCATGCTCATTTTGAGCACCTCCGTCGGCGAGCGAGCGACCCCAAAGAACGCCATCGATGGGCACGGCGTGCACCGAACAAGATCGCAGTTATTGGAGCGGGCGCGGGCGGGTCTTCGGCATCGTTCTGGATCGTGAAGACGCGCGAGCGGTTCCGGCTTGACGTCAAAGTGGATGTGTACGAGCGTAACGTGGCTCCGCAGGTTGTGTAACCTGCGCAGGAGAGAGCGAGGCCTGGTGACGGGAGAAGGGGATCTGGAAGGCGTGTGTCGCGGTGATCAGCAGGAGCAGATGAAGGAACGTGTGCATTGTTGTAAAGCCGGTGTCGGGCTCGTGAGGAGTCTGATTATATGTGTCGAGATAGGTATCACTGTCGTTGTTGGAATGGGCATCGTGGTTGTGTGCCCTCACGCACTATCGGTGCCGGCGACTGGGCGTGGCTGGGTCACGCGGACGAGGACGGCGGTGCATTGCGTAGAGTCCGCGGGGTTCGAGGGGACTGGACAGCGGACGTGCGTGCCCGTTGACCTAGGGTGCCCGCACGCTGTTGCTCCGCATTGCGGGTGTGTGGCTGGGTCGCGCGGACGAGGACCGGGTGCATTGTGCGGAGATCTTGGCATTGGAGGAGAGTCAGAAGGCGGCGTTGGAGAGGAGTGGGACCGGGGGGGTCGAGAGGAGCTTGGCGGCGGGCGTGCGTGCGCGTCGACCTAGCATGCGCTGTTGCTCCGCGTTCCGCGTTTCCCGCTGGATCGCGCGGACCATGACCACGGTGCGTTGTGAGGAGATCGCGGCGTTCGAAGGGACTGGGATGGCGGCATTCGAGGGGAATGGGAAGGCGAGGTTCGAGGGGAGTCGGACGGCGGGGTTTGAGAGGGTTCGGACCGGGGGGTTCGAGAAGAGTGGGATGCGCAGACAAGGACTGCGGTGCATTGTGCGTAAAAGGCGCTGTTCGAGGGGAGTCGGATGGCGCCGTTCAAGAGGAGTGGGATCGCAGGTTCGAGAGGAGTGGGATGGCGGGATTCGAGGGGACTCGAACGGCAAGGTTCGAGGGGACAGGGTCGGCGGACATGCGTGCCCGTCGACGCACGATCCCGAGCCGTTGTTGCTGCGCGTTCTGCATCTGTGGCTGCGGACGAGGACCGAGGTACCTTGTGCGGACATCGCGGTGTTCGAGGGGAAAGGGACGGGGGCGTTCGAGGGGAGTGGGACCGCGGCGTTCGATAGGAGTGGGACGGGGGTGTGCGAGAGGAGTGGGTCCGCGGAGTTGGAGAGGAGCGGGGCGGCGGATGTGCGTGCCCGCTCGATGTAGCGTGTCGACTGGGGTGGAGGTCGTTAGCACCGTTAGAAAAAACCGAAAAAATGTTTTTTACTTACCTCTACTGCACGAGCACTGCTGGATATACGCGTGCTGAAACGCGTTGCGTTTCAGGGTGCGAGCGAGGTGGACACGACCGGCGCTCGATGTTCGAGGGCAGGTCCGGGGCGCAGTCGTTCACCGCAGATGGCGAACGAAAGTCGAGGACGGTTGGCTGACGGCACTGGGAGGTGACGCGGGCCAGCGTCGGGCGCTGGAGAACGCCAGCAGGGAGGTCGGCGCAGTCGTTCCTCCGCGGTGGCCGACGCGACCACTGCGGTGCCGTCGTTCACCGTGGTCTGCCTAAGCATGTCGACAAGGGCCGAGGGAGGCTGCGGGAAGGTGGGGTGGGGTGTGGTGAGCCTTCGAGGGGCCGAGACAACCGCGAGGAGGGGGCAGCGCGTCGCTGTTGCATCGCATTGGCCGGCGCGACAATGATGAGACTGCAAAATGTTAGCGCGGTGGGATGGGGACAAAAAAGCTTATTTTACTTACCTGGCATGCCCTTCGACCTCCGAAAATAAACGTGCCGCCGAACGTTTGCGTTCGACGGCCTGGGGGAGCGCGAGGCGGAGGGTGGAGGCCGGTGTGACGACCGGGGCGCCGTCGTTCATCGTGGTGGGCCTGCGCGCGAAGGAGACGGTCGATGGAGGGTGCAGGGAGGTGGAGTTGGGTGCATTGAGACTTAGAGGGGCCTCGGCGACCGCGAGGAGGGGGCAACGCGCCCCTGTTGCACCGCGGTGGCTGGCGCGACAACGAAGGGGCTGCAAAATGTTAGCACAGTGGGATAGGGAAAGAAGTTTTTTTCGGATTCACCTGGAATACCCTTCGACCTCCGAAAGTAAACGTACCGCCGAACGGTGGTGTTCGACAACCTGGGGGAGCGCGAGGTGGAGGGAGAAGGTGTCGCCATGTCTCGGAAAAAAAACCAGAAAAGACGGCCCAAACAAGCAAGAGAATCGAAAAGAAAAGGAGAGCAACGGCGAGGAGAGGCCTCCTTGCCGTTATGAAAGGGTGTCGCGGCGGTGAGCCAAGCAGGAGGAGCACGAAAGCTCTAAGTCCCACTGGCGCTTGTTGGGCGACGGCTTTCCCACGCCCCGCTGGCCCGCGCAATGCTCGGGCTCCCGCCCTCGTTCACTCGTTCGTTATTCCGCTGAGATCTTGCATGATTCTACAGTCTTTTACCCTTACTCTACCCCGATGCCATTCCCTGCGCCCGCTCTCCCGGTAAGTCCTCCTGTTACCACTTATTGCCCGATTTGGCAGCTGACCTGCCCGTCTAGGCAAATCCTGCGGGCGTCGAGCAGGCTGATAGCGTTTCACAGCCGCGAGGATATTACATGATGTATTGGCTGCTGTGTACTACGGATAGTACTACATGACATGGACCGCGGGCGGGAGAGTGGAAATGGTGTGTGAGCGCTGTGTAGTGAGGTTCCGTGTATATACTTGCAATGTGCGAACGAGAACAACGGTGCGTTGTGCAGACACAGCGGCATTCGAGGGGACTGTGACGGTGAACTTGCATGCCCGTCGACCTAGCGTGCACGCACGCTATTGCTGCGCATTTCCCGCGTGTGGCTGGGTCACGCGGATGAGGACGGCGGAGCGTTGTGCAGAGTCCGCGGGGTTCGAGGGGACTGAGACAGCGGCATTCGAGAGGAGTGGGGAGGCTGGTCGTTGTTCCGTGTTCCCTGCGTGGGCTCGCATCTTCTACAGGTTGTTAGCACAGGTAAAAAAAGTCGAAAATATATATATTTTTACTCACCTGTATCGCCGGGCACTGGCACTGTATGTTCGAGGGGAGGTCCGGGGCACGGTCGTTCACCGCACAGGGCGAAAATGCGTCGACGAGCATAGGGTGAGGGTGCTGGGAGGTGACGCGAACCTTCATCGGGCGCTGGAGACCGCGAGGAGGGAGCCGGGCGCCGTTGTTGCACTGCGGTGGCCGGTGAGATGACCGACGTGCAGTTGTTCGCCGCAGAGGGCGAACGCGAGGGCAGCGTCGACGAGAGCGGGATGGCGATGGGTCGTTTGCGGACGGCGGGCTTCACGTAGGGTGGAAGTGGTTTAGCACCGTAAAAAAATCCGAAAGTTTTTGTTTTTACTCACCTACACTGCCCGAGCAGTGCTGGGCAAACGCGCGTTCAAACATGTTGCGTTTGAGTGCGCGAGAGAGGTTCTGGTCGAGCGACGGACACTCAATGTTGCAGGGGTGGTCCGGGGTGCAGTCGTTTGCCATGGAGCGCAAACGCGCATCGAAGAGGGTAGGATGGGGGTGCTGGAAGGTGACGCGGGCCTTCGGACAGAGCTGGAGACTGTGAAGAGGGAGCTGGGTGCCATTGTGGCACCGCGGTGGCCGACACGATGACCGGGGTGTGGTCGTTCATTGCGGAGGCCCTCTGCGGGTCAAGGAGCATTGGCGGTGAGTTCCAAGAGGTAGGCTGGTGGTTCGCGGAGCCGTGACAAACATGTGGCGGGGGCTTCGTGCCATCGTTGCACCTCAGTGGCCGGTGCGACGACCGCAGCACCATCCTTCACCGCGGTGGGCTGGCGTGCATCGACGAGGGTCGGGCAACAGTGCAGCCAGGCGGGGTGGGGCTTCGCGAAGCCTCGCGATGCCCTGGCGACTGCGAGGAGGTGGCTGCGAGCCGCTGTTGCACTGCGGTGGCCCGCACGATGATGACTGCGCTATAAAAGATTAGCACGGCTGAAAAACAAACAAAAACTGTTTGTTTGACTCACCTGGGCCCTCTCGAACCCTCCAGAAGGAATGCGCGCTCGAACATTTCTGAGCGATGACGCAGGCGACCGCGAGCCTCAGGCTGAGGTGGAGGTAGAGGTGTCGCCACAGAAACACGACGGTGACGCGCTGCGTTGGACCAGAAACCACGCAGACAGACAGAAACAAGCTGCCTACGACCCGTTGTACGGTTCGCAGCAGTTTCGCGATGGCGCAGGGGACCGCGAGCCTCAAGCTGAGGTGGAGGTAGAGATGTCGCCACGGAAGCACGATGGTGACGCGCTGCGTTGGACCAGAAACCACGGAGACAGACAGAAACAAGCCGCCTACGACCCGTTGTACGGTTCGCAGGCAGTTTCGAGCCCCCACGATGGGCGAATGGAAGGGTTTTGGTTGTGGGTGAGCTTACCTCGTTCGCACTAGTGCGCGCCCTTCCACTTCCCTCCCCTACATCTTCACAACGACGAGGCCATTCTTCCCGAGCGGGGTGTCGTCTTGTAGCCACGACCTTCGTCTACCGGACTGTATCGCGTTCGAGGGATTTGAGTGAGCGCAACGTCGGAAACGAAGGGAGAGAACTCACGATGAGCGCGCTGGCGCGCGCCCCGCCACTTATCCCGGCGAAATCTTTGACCAGAGTGCGACATCCCTCTCGAACTCGGTGGCCCCTTGAAGCCAGAAGGTCAGGCTGTCGGACCATATACAATATGAGGCCAGGGGTAGACGAAGGGGATGGGAAAAAATCGAGAAGTGGAAAACGCGCGCGGTGGGAAAGTCGGCTGATTGCCGCCGGTGGCCACGGCGACCGAGAGCTCGGTCGAATCCCATCTTCGGGTGGTGGGTAGATTCGATATCGGGCGTTCTTTTGAGATAGCCGAGGGACCGAAAACGAGGGAGGAAGGAAGGGATGTCGAGGCCGAAAGGCGGGCGGCCTAACGTAGCGTTAGGCCTGCGGCCTATAGATAGGTGCGTCCCTCGTAAATATTTGTATGTCGCTTAGAAATGTTCGTTTGCCGCTTAGAAGTATTTGTATGCCACTTACAAATGTCGGTATGTCCATGTCGCTTACGACGCTCTGTATGTCGTCAGTGGTAAGCGTTCGTATGTCGCTCACAAATATTTGTACGCCACTTAAAAATATTTGTATGCTGCTTAGAAATGTCGGTATGTCGGTTACGTCACTGTGTATGTCGTCTACTGTGCTCTGTATGTCATCTATGGTATTCTGTATGCTGCCTACGGTAAGCCTCGGTATGTCGCTTACAAGTGTTTTTTGTATGCCGCCTAGAAATATTTGTATGCCATCTACGAGTATCGGTACGTCGCTTACAAAGTATCTTTTGTGTGCCGCTTAGAAATATTTGTATGCCATCTTACGAATATTTGTATGTGGTCTACGAACGTCGGTATGTGGTCTATAAGCGTTCGTATGCAATGTATAGTACTCTGTATGTGGCGTACGGTATTCTGTATGTGGCCTATAGTGGCTTATAGCATTCTGTATGCGGTCTATAGTGGTCTGTATGCGGTCTATAGCATTCTGTACGCGGTCTATAATGGTCTATAGTGGTCTGTATGCGATCTGTAGCATTCTGTATGCGGTCTAGAGTGGTCTGTAGTGCTCTGTATGCGGTCTATAGTGGTCTGTACGTGGTCTACGATGGTCTATAGTGATCTGTATGCGCTCTATAGTGGTCTGTATGCGCTCTATAGTGGTCTGTACGCGGTCTATAGTGGTCTGTATGTGGTCTATAATGGCCTATAATGGTCTGTACGCGGTCTATAGCATTCTGTATGCGGTCTAGAGTGGTCTGTATGCGATCTAGAGTGGTTTGTAGTGCTCTGTATGCGGTCTGTAGCATTCTGTATGCGGTCTACAGTTATCTGTATGCGGCCTACAGTCACCCCGGGTCACCTCCGACACCTCGGTCACCTGGTCACCCGGTCACCCGGTCACCTTCGACACCTCGAACACCTCGTCACCTGGTCACCCTCGACACCTCGAACACCTCGGGTGACTCCATAAAAGGAAGGTGACTTGCTATATATGGGTGTCACCCGACACCTGAAACGATACATCTGTTTTTCTGATAAGTACTGTAGGTGGCCGTCCAGGAAGGCCATTTCTTGTGCAAGCCATGCATGGCCTTCCTGGACTGCCACTTGGTTTATCCCTCTGGTGGCCACAACAGTAGGTGGCCGTCCAGGATGGCCACTCATGGTCAGTGCCACAGGTGGCCGTCCGGGAAGGCCATTTCTTGTGCAAGCTGTATATGGCCTTCCTGGACTGCCACTTGTGGTCTGTCCCCCTGGTGGCCACTATAGCAGATGGCCGTCCAGGACGGCCACTCACAGCCACTGTGCTTTGCTGACTGTGCCACCTGGCCTATGCAGCCATCTGAGCCTCTTTTGGCCGCGAGCTATGATTGAGGAGTATGAGGCTTTTGAAGTGGCATTGGTTATGGATGTGTCGCTGTAATAATACATATCATGATTGCGTAGTACATTACTACAGGTCTAGTTTATCATATGCTTACTACAGTGGCAGCCCAGCATTCCTAACTGGGACCCATGTCGGTAATACACCACCACCACCATGTATGGCCGTCCCCGACGGCCACGCAGGACAGCGGCCCCTCACCAGCACTAGTGATGGTGCACGTGCCTGCAGCACCTTTTGTAGTGTTGGACAACAGCCTCCTTCCCAAAGCAGACACGTACCTAGCCTTGGCTCAAGTTCAACTTAGACCTGGCACCCCATGCAACTCGAACGGTCGTCTACGACGGCCACTCATGGCCAGCGTGCTTCGCCCCCCCCCCGCGCCACCTCGCCTGTGCAGCCACCTGTGCCTTTCCACGCATGGTCGTCCGCGACGGCCGCGCAGGTCAGAGGCCCCTCACCAGCGCTAGTGATGGCGCACGTGCCCTACGGCACGGTCCGTAGGGTTCGGCAACGGCCTCCTTCCCAAAGGGGATGCGTACCCCTAGCGTCCGCTCGGGGAACCCCCACTCTAGGGTTGGGGTTGCCCGCCCTCAGCGACCCTACGGTCGTCCTAGGAGGCCTCATAACCGTCCAGGAAGGCCATTTTTTGTGCAAGCCATGCATGGCCTTCCTGGACTGCCACTTGGTTTATCCCTCTGGTGGCCACAACAGTAGGTGGCCGTCCAGGATGGCCACTCATGGTCAGTGCCACAGGTGGCCGTCCGGGAAGGCCATTTCTTGTGCAAGCTGTATATGGCCTTCCTGGACTGCCACTTGTGGTCTGTCCCCCTGGTGGCCACTATAGCAGATGGCCGTCCAGGACGGCCACTCACAGCCGCTGTGCTTTGCTGACTGTGCCACCTGGCCTATACAGCCATCTGAGCCTCTTTTGGCCGCGAGCTATGGTTGAGGAGTATGAGGCTTTTGAAGTGGCATTGGTTATGGATGTGTCGCTGTAATAATACATATCATGATTGCGTAGTACATTACTACAGGTCTAGTTTATCATATGCTTACTACAGTGGCAGCCTAGCATTCCTAACTGGGACCCATGTCGGTAATACACCACCACCACCATGCATGGCCGTCCACGACGGCCGTGCAGGACAGTGGCGACTCACCAGCGCTAGTGATGGTACACGTGCCAACAGCACCTTTCGTAGTGTTCAGCAACAGCCTCCTTCCCAAAGCAGACACATACCCCTAGCCTTGGCTCAGGTTCCACTCAGTACTGGCAGTTCATGCACCTCGAACGGCCATCCAGGACGGCCACTCGTGCCCAGCGTGGTTTACCTTCTGTGCCACCTGGCCTATGCAGCCAGTGGAGCCTCTCCGTGCATGGCCGTCCACGACGGCCACGCAGGTCAGAGGCCCCTCACCAGCGCTAATGATGACGCACATGCCCTACGGCACTGTCCATAGGGTTCGGCAATGGCCTCCTTCCTAAAGCGGACATGCACCCCTAGCCCTCGGCTCAGCGAACCCCCATCCTAGGGTTGGGGTCCCCCGCCCTCTGCGACCCTACGGCCGGCCTAGGAGGCCTCATAACCGGCTGCACAGCACGTCTCTGTGGAAGTTGACGAGGGTTATGACACAGATGCCGAGCCAGAGGATACTGATGTACTCCCGCAATCGGTGGTCTCAGATGATGCAGAGCCCGTGCATAAGCTCGCGAAGACATGCCCTAAGCCGAGGATGTCAGTTGAACACTTGCAGAATGCCCATGGAGCGGTCGATTTCCTCCCCGCACTCACATCATTCTTGCAGAAACACCTCCCTCATAACACGATCAAGCCTGCCGCACAGGACCGTTTCAACGTTTACAACCAGGTAGTTGTACAGATGCCGTTCAATCCACATATCAGCGACAAGCACAGCCGGATGAGAATCCGCGCTGTTCCTTCTATCCCTCCCTCATCTACCGGACGCAAACCAGGCTCACCGTCTCACTTCGACATGGCACTTGTTTGCACGGATCCCATCAAGAAGCGCGGGTTCCAAGGTATGTACTTCACCTTGTTATTGCGCTGCACTTAACTGACTCTGTGGTAGGTCTACGAGTAGGGCAAGTCCGCGCGATATTTCACTTACCCCATCAGTTTGGACACTACCCACACCCTCTCGCATATGTTGAGTGGTTCACGGAGTTCCGACCGCAACCAGACCGTGCAGTGAATATGTATCAAGTCAGTCGGTCCACTCGCAATCGCGGCCGCAATGCGGAGATTGTTCATGTTGACGATCTCATGCGGCCATGTCATTTGGTTCCGAAGTGTGGCTCTTGTATTGATACCGCTTGGACTACTGACAATGTCTATGAACAGGCTGTGACATTTTACTTGAACCCTTTTATCGATGGACATATGTTTTACAGAAGTACTTAGAATTTTTGGCTATATAGAGTACATAAACCCTATAGTCTACAAAGCCTTGCCCAAGTGTACATGCCCGCGGTACTGCTATAGATGACGGAGTGAAGGCTATGATAGCTACAGTGCGTGCATGGAGTAGCGCCCCGAGTTACAGGCACGCCATCGTGATACTGATTGCTATGATCGGTGGCCTGGAGCTACCGCCGCAGAGGTTTTTCCAGATGTTAAGTACTATTATTTGGACTTCGACACCTCGCAACTCACAAGACATGGTGGAGGAAGACACAGAGCACAGGGACTGACAATTGTATACTAAGGAAGTCCTCTTCTCGTTGGTATCAGGCGACTTGGTGAGTATGATGGCTGAAAGCGCCGGTGAGAAAAGACGAGCACGGCGGAAAGGTCTCATGTGGATAAAGACGCGTGCCCCCAGAGCTGTTCATGAGGTCATCCTCATCCATGACGAGAACACGACGAAAGCCGAATCGTACGACAAATACCTCCACACCGACCGCGGAGTGAATTCACAGGTGGTGCATCGACTTCTCCCCGGCGCATACAGTGCCGACACATTCAGCTGGCTATCATTCACTACATGCTGCATGAAGAGCACTTGACCACCGCCAGCCCGCTGAGGAATGCGACGAAGCGCTCTGTGATCGAGCCCGCTGCGGACTATTGCCTGCACAATGAATAGGCCGCACACGAGTCGCAGGACTTTGCACGCGTCCACGGTGAACATCGCCGCAATCAGCAGCTTCTAGGGTGGGCGCCGCGAGGACAACCACCGCGAGTGGGACTGCGATTGAGATCGCACCAAAAAAACTCGGCCGTGGAGTCAGCATCATACGCACAAATACCAGACTGCGCCGTGCGGTAGATTCACGTCCAACGATGAAACCCGCAGGAAAGATCAAACGCAAAGCACAGAGCAGTAAGCCGAGAAACCGGCCATGCCGCGGTGAAGAACAGGACATGCGCACCGGTCTATGTCGAATGGTCTACCACCCTGTTTACGAACGCCACGATCGAGCTCGTGGGTCTTGATGAGCGCGACAATATCGCAAGGGGGCAGCATAATGGCGGAAAGCGGCTGTATCGTGTGAAGAGTGTGAGCGCGCAACTTCGATGGCGCTGTGATCTGTGCGGTGCAGCGACGTGGGCATCTGAGGTCGGGGATGGCGGCCGTAGAGGTGATGGTGAGTGAGACGAATGGATGTTGAAAGGCGCGAGATTCGAGCAAGCTGATCAATGTCTGAGTCATGCTCCAAGTCGTGCCACGGGTGTGTTCGCGAACATCTGGGGGTACCATCTATGCAAGCATACTCTTCTGGATGTCGTGGTTGTCGCTAGTTAGGGGAGCGGGCAAACAAAAAAGGAAGGTATCGTAGAAAGTCCGTGATCCACGAGATTGCATCTACAACACAACAGCCTCGATCGAGTGAGAGGCGAACACTCCGCCGAATGTTAGCTGGCCAGAGGCAAACTCCCCGAGTAGTGCTACGGGACTGCCACGTTATGCATATCGGAACTCCACGATTTACAGTCACCGGTCAAGGATTCGCGCTCATTTGTGGTCAAACTTCGGACTTCTCACTGGGTGCATCAGCGTCATGCAGAGTGGGTCTTATTGTGCCCGATATTAAATATTAAAGGGTCACCCTTGTCCCACGCCTTCCACACACTGGGTCATCATTTTGTGCGCGAAACACTACATTCACAGAACTATGTCCGCCGAAACCACCATCTGGTTGATAACTGGGTGAGTCTGCCAGTGGAGATGACATGCCGACCTCACCAATCATCTCCAGTTCTTCTCGAGGTATCGGACTCGAGCTCACGAAACAGTTGCTCCGTTCGGCTGCGAACGTCGTCATTGCGACATGTAGAGACCCGGAAAATATGCCAAAGCTCGAGGGACCCGGGACCTTACATGTCGTCCAGCTCGATGTCTCGGAGGAAGGGTCTATCCGGGCGTCGATTCCAGTGGTCAGCAGCATCCTCGGGGATAGAGGCTTGGACTACTTGTACAACAACGCAGCCGTGGTGAGTCCTATATTTGCGCTCGAACTTCGAAGCCTGAGTGTTGACAAGCATGTGGCGCCAGACCGAGGGCAATGATTCCGCCTTCGATCACTCCTCTCCTGGATTCATGAGGACGCTCATAGCGAACGTTGTCGGCCCCGCATTGATAGCGCAGCTGTATCTGCCTTTCATCGAGAAGAGCAGGCGCAAGGTAATCGTGAATGTGACCAGCAGCCTCGCGAGTATAGGCCTCGATATTGGTCCCAAGTCCGCGACGTACAGCATCAGCAAGACCGCCCTGAATATGTTGGTGCGTCGTCGTCTCTTCATCGTCCAGGCAGAGTTGACCTTCGTCCAGACGTACAAGCAGGCAAGAGCCAGGCCGGACATTATCGCTTTTGTTCTCGACCCGGGATGGGTCAAGACCAGTGAGTTCCCCCCCCCCCCACGAATGAGCCTGATCGCGCGCCGATCTGACGGTGGTATGTTAGAGATGGGTGGTCCTGGCGCGCTGCTTGAGCCCTACGAGAGTGTCTCCGGAATTATTAAGACTGTTACTTCAGCTACGTCTGCAAGCTCCGGCAAGTTTTATCGATACAACGGTCAAGAGGTCGTATGGTAATGACATGGAGTATCCGAGTGCGCCTAACACCTTAGACCGATTCTGCGCGTTTATATCAGACGACTACGGCTACATTCTGAAGCAGAGATACAGAGTCATGATCTACGTTTGCAATATTATGCATCGTCTAGCGTCATCTCGTCGAAATCCTCCAGCAGTTCGTCCAGCTTCACCTCGGGGAAGTCTGGCTCGTCCTCGATATCTGTCTCAGCTGCCTGCTCCTCCGCAGTCTCCGCGTGTGCAACACCTTCGTCCACATCCATCGCGAACTGGGTTTTCCTCCTCGTCTTCCCGCCCGCAAGCCCTGAACCCGCGCCCGGCTTATCCGACTTGGCCCTGTACAGATTCACCGCACCGCGCATCTCGTGGTCCTCCTCCAGATCTCTGAGGAACAACTCGTAATCCTCCTCGACCTTCTTCTGATCGCGCCCGCCCATGCGGCCAACGACGCCGCGCCCACCACCGGTGTCGCCCTCCTCGCCTGCCTCCTTCGCCATGCTGCGCAGCTTCCAGCTGCGCGCGCGGTTCTTCTTGCGCCGATTCGGGTACGTCTTCTTCACGAGGATGATGTCGGGGACGCGGTGCGCCGGGAGCGCGGCGAAGTCGTCCGAGTTGAAGTTGGCGTGCGTGAGGTGGTAGCCCAGCGCGGCGTCGCCCGGCTGCAGGATCCCGCCGAGGTGCGTGCGCGTGTGGAATATCTGGCTCGCAACCGCCGGGTCGTCGTAGTCCATGCTGTCGTCGTGCGCATGCCCGGAGGAGCGGAAGGCGCCGGAGAGCGCGACTTGCGCGTCGGCGAGCACGTACTTGCCGCGCGTCTGCCCGGAGGGCTCCACGTCGAGGACGGTGAACTCGACCAGGTCGGTGACGGTCGCGAGCGCTTCGAATGGCGTACGCCAGTATGTGGGCGCCGAGAGCTCGCAGAGCTGGAGCGTGGAGGGGTCAAGGAGATGGAGGGTGTTGCCGACGCGGGAGCAGATGGTGAGCGGACTGATGTTGCCGAGCTGCCGCGCGAGCTTTGGCGGTATGCATACGAGGTCGTCCTTGCACACGGGTATGATCTCGACGGAATACGTGTACTTGAAGTTTGCGGTGTTTGTGTGGGTATCTGCCGATAGTAGCTGTTCTGACGCTTTCGACCTGCCCGGAAATCAGTATTACGGTAGCTACGTCCCGGCGAGGGGATACTCACCGTACGGGCACCACGCCGCCGAGGAACTCGACCATCTTGATCGCATGGCTGCGCTGGCTGTAGAAAAAGTCGATTCCGTCGCGCACCTCCTTGACGGAGATGGTGTCTTTCTGCGCGCCATGCTTCAAGATGAGCTGCTCGAGGAACAGGAAGGTGCGCTTGTGCGGGACCTTCTGGCGGACCTGCACGAGCGCCTTCCAGGTGTTCTTCGCGGCGAGCTTGGTGCAGTCGGGGCACTGGCCATGCTGGACGAGGTACTCGATCTCGAAGACTTGCTCGAGGATGGTGGAGGTGAGGACCTCCTTTTGGATGGTGAGCGAGACGCGGAGTCGTTTTGAGTGGGGCTCCGTCCAGATGAAGTGCGCCTCGGTGAGCCGGACCTTGTTCAGGCCCTTGAGCTTGCGGAGGCAGATCGCGAGGAGCTCTTGCGACTCGGGACGGACAATAGCCCATGTCGTTGGGGGCGAGAGGATGCGTTCGCAGTTGCGGCAATATGAGATGGATGCTGCAGGAAATTTCATAGGTGAGATTCGTTTCTGGTCAGATTACGGAAGTGCTGCGTACCTTGCTTCGGAATACCCTCTGTGATGTCTACGGTGTTCCGCAAACAGGCGACGCAGAGATTGGCGGAATTAGGTTCGATCGGTGTCCCGCAGTCGGCGCAGAGTACTCGGTGAACGGCGGGGGCGGGCACGAACTCCATCGCGAGGTTAGATGGCTAGATGTGGTGAGGTGCGATAAAAGTGCCGCGAGATGTGACCGCCACAACAACACAGTCGCAATGTCGCTCTAATACCAGAGCGCACAGAGCAGGCAATTAGGGACAACACCGCCGCAGGATGAGATAAAAGAGACACAAATTGTATGCACGCACGACGCGAGTCGGTATCGCGATGAGTGATCACGTAAGCGAAGCTGTCGGTAGACGACCATCCGCTCTGTCTCTAACTAGACCAGCGCACTGAATCTTGGGTCGAGATGCCGGTCGACATTCGAATGCCCTAGTGTTTTTCCATCGACACGCTTACGGGGTTTCTCAATAATTCCCCCCTCACCTGCGGTCGGCATGCCAGAGTTGCTGTCGAACAAACGCAAGCGGCCCAGCGACGAGGTCGACGAGCTCATCACAGCCCGCAACAGCCACTCCTTTGGCGATCAGACGGAGGACAAGTCCTTGGAGCGTCCCCTTGCGAAGCGCCGACTCAGGATTGTGACCGACGTGGCAAGCCTGACGCACCTCACTGCATCTCCTTCGTCCGCGGATCTCTCACTGGACTCGGAGACAGACTCTCTCTTCGACGCGGACTCCCTTTTCGACGATACCTCCTCTCCCCGCTCGGCTTGTCTAGACCAGACTACCGCTACCTCTGAGCTGACCTCCCAGAGCGCGACTCCCGCCGAAAACCTTGTTCCAGCACGTCGTACCGCACCGCTGATTCCTGGACTGTTCTTCGATGAAGCTCTGTTGCTCCCAGAGGACCTAGCAGAAGACGTGATGTGGACCTGTATCCGGACGTACTTCCAGAGCAGCAGCGCGGACCAGGTCATGCTCTTCGAACGCGCGCCCTCCCCGTCTCCCGAGCACGACTCGCCTCCGCGCCCAGGTAGCAGCGGGCTCCCGCCCGTGCTCACCGACCTCCTCGTCACGCTATCCGCGCTGCTCCGGCCTCTCCTGCCTCCGACGACGCATGCCCTCCTCTTCCCGCCTCCCTCTGCAGCCGCACCCCGCCTCGCGCGTCAGGCCATCCTCAACTTGTATTGGCCGGGCGAGGGCATCACGCCGCACGTCGACCTGCTCGATCGCTACGGCGACGGGGTCATCGGCGTCAGCCTGGGCTCAGGATGCGTGATGCAGTTTGAGAGGGTGCGCAACGGGGAGGAGGACGGCGGAGAGGGGCGAGAACGGTGGGGCGTGTATCTTCCCCCGAGGAGCGTGTTCGTGTTATCGGAGGAGGCCCGGTACGCGTGGACGCATGGAATAGAGAAGCGGATGGACGACCTCGTCGAGCATACGCCGGGCGGCGCGGGGGCGGGGAGCAGCTGGATCGAGCGGGATGTTCGGCTGAGCATCACGTTCCGGTGGTTGCTACCTGGCGCGGACGTAGTCGGCGGGCCTGACGCTTCCGAGGACGTATGATACCCTTCCATTCACTTGCGTAGAGCATAGATGGGCGCGCTCGCACTGTGTAAATTATCATGCTGTATTTATGGACGACGGAACTAGAGTGCTATCGATGCGAAGAACAGAATGAACAGAACGACCGCGAATTGAGCACATACAAATATCTAACAACACACGACGTATGTGGGTTACATCGAGTTCTGCAACGGCGTCTTCCCCCCTTCTTCCATGGTAGACGCTCCCGCGCGCCCTCGCGAGTCATGAGCGCGAGCCGACTACAAGGGGGCTTAACAACCACCACGGAGCGCGAGTACGAGGTGCAGCACTGTGCCGGCAGTGATGTTGAAGTCTCGCGCGGTCTTGTCGTCTGGCCTACATAGGAAAAGCAGAACAAAACGCGATCGGTGAGCGAATCGACGACAAGGGCGGTACGGGGTACTCGCATCTGTCTGCCACCAAAAATCAGACGCTGCTGGGGCGGAGGCACGCCCGACTGCTCCTCGACCTTCTCTTTGATACGCGTGATCTGCGGAGATCGGTCGCGGGGCGCGAGTGGCGGAGCGGGGTGGTTAGTGTGGCGCACGGCGGGAAACGCGTGCGAGCGGGCGCACCTTGTCATCAGGGTCGATGTCAAGCTCGATCTTGTCGGGAAAGGGCGCACGCAGAGGGTATCGTCAGTGTTCGAGCGTTCTTGTGCGATCTGTTGCCTGGGGCTCACCTCCTTGCCTGTCAGTGTCTGCAGAGCATAGCAGTGAGTTAAGCCATCGGATACGTCGGTTAGTGGTTCACCGACCTTCACTTTGATCAGCATAGCGGGCTGGAGGAGCTAGAGGGGGGAAGGGACTTGAGTGTGAAAGGAGGATATGAAGATGCGCTCAGTCAGACAGACGCGTCCACCAAAATGGCAATGGCCACGTGCCGGGAGCGTCGGCGCGCCGCGCAAACGAAATGGCAACAATATTCAATTGGTGAGATATAGCGGCGAGCAGTACACGTTTGAGGCGGGTGAGGAGAGAAGCGCATCGCCGTGAATATCCACCATTTTTTTCTCCCATCAAGTGTGAACTCATCACAAGTTGGGGCGTGACGGGTACTACCCGGCGTCTGTAAGGGCCCACACTTGTTCGCAACATCCTGCATGGGTGATGGGCATAAACACAGTCTTCACCTGGTCAATGATTGAGTCCATGATTGAGTCCATAAATTCAAGTCTGTCCTGCCGACTGTGGCTAGAAAATCACGATCTTGAAGAGGACCGGAAATGGCAGGTGTCCTCGATGAATGTCGGTTACAGGAACGGATTCGCTCCGGTTTCTCAGGCGCTGAACTAGATGGCTATAAGTCCGAGTTCTCTGCTTCCCAAGCCCCGTCTATTCCTGACCGACATGTCTTCGTTCTCTACAAGCAGATCTGCACCCAACTGGCGCATGGAATCCAAAGAGACGCGCACCAATGTCCCCTCCGAGATGATACAGCAACTCACAGAGATGATTCCATACCTCTCGAGCGAGGGACTCTTCGGCCACGAGATACTGCAAAGGGTGAAATTGCACGATGTATCGGTTTATGAACGTCCTGAGGACGGAAAGACCTGCGCGCGCGTTGTCTTCAGACTGACAGTGGAACATGGTGCGTCTTCCCGCTCATGCTACATTACGGCGCGTTCCTGGCTGAGCACGCCCCTTCTTTATTGTAGATATGTTGAATGTCGGAGGTAGCCTCCACGGCGGATGCGGCGCGTTCTTGGTGGATATGTCCGTGCCTGACCATTCCGCGGACCTGACTCACCCTCTGGTACAGTTGCTCAAGCATGGCTCTCTGGGCCCTTGGTGTCTACAAGAATGACTTTGCGAAGGAAGAGAGCAACGCCGCGGCGTCCACCAAACACGTCTCGCAAGCGATCAACATGCTTTATCACGGAGGAACGCACCTGTGAGCTTACGCTACTCCCATGCGCGCAGTTTCGGGTACTAATATCGCTGACTTCCGCCGTGCTCAGCGGTGCAGAGCTTGAAATTGTGAACACGACGACGTCCTGGGGAAAACGAATCTTGACCGCGCGGACTGAGGTTCGTTACCTTCGCCTGTACGTTTCCCAGTCGGCGGACATTCACGCTACTCTGCAGATTTGGGATGCTACAAACCGTCGGCTTGTCGCGTCTGGTACTCATGTCAAGATGGAACCTTCAACTAAATTGTGATCTTGATGCGTGGTACCTACACTGCCTGCAATTGCCAGCTTGGTGTAAGCATTGCTTCGCCATGTCTGAGCGGTGTATATCTTCTAACGTTACTGCTACTGGAGATTGCAGTTTATCTGTGTTCAACTAGATCTAACATTGACCGTATATACCCATGTTTACAATGCGTAAAGTGATACTATTTTACACCTATATTGACTTCGCTACTGTCCATTCCATACCGTTCTCGGATGTCCAGCATCCATCAGGCAAAAATACGTATTCTGTGAACGGAGTGAAATAGCCGTTTCCACGATCGTGTCTTTTTCTTCTCGTGCATCGGCGCAGGCATGCGTACTTCCCCACCTGACACGCTGCATCCCTCCCCCACACATTCCAAGGATAGATTCGATACATCAACAACCGGTTCGCGTGCTTGCGTCGCCGGAGTGGAAGGGCCATCACTTTCCGGGTCTGAAGAACCGGTGGAAAGTGTGGGTGGTGGGGATACGTCCACTCTGGCCAAGGCTGTCGCGGACGCGGAGAGCGTTGGCACGGCGTTTACGAACGCGCTGACGTTGGCACCGACCGAGGAAGATACGCGCAGTGTGCAGGACCGTCCCGGCACCACGACGTGAACGCCACTTTCGCCCCGCTCCGACGGGCGGCAGTCGGCGATGTCCGACTCTTGCGGCGCAGCGGCGAGGTTGTGCGGCTGTTCGGTGTTGGGGTCGTTCAGGCCCAGGGGCAAGGGAAAGGGAACAGGAACAGTGGTGGGCACCCCAGTTGAGCGCCAGAACGTGTCGACTTCGAGCACGGCCTTGCGAAGCTCGTTGAGCGTGATGCGGCGATTGGGATCGAGCGTGAAGATGCGCCCGAGGATCTCGCTCACGCCGCGTGAGATGGGGAGCCTGCGGTGGATGTATGATGGGCCTTCGCGGAGAAACATGGCGAAGCCCTCGTCCCTATGTGGATTCGCGACGAACCACGGGCACCGGCCGGTAATGAGGTTCGTAAGGATGACACCCAACGCCCATATATCTGAGCGTGCGGTGCAAAATGGGGCTTTCTTGGCGTATATACCAAGGCATTCTGCCACAAAAATGAGCAATCTGGAGTAGTAATGAGAAACGATCTGAAATTTACCTGGACTCATGTATAGCGAACTTCCACAACCAAAGCTTGAACTCAACTTGGCCTTCGTGGCCAGCCCGAAGTCGGCTAAATAGAGATGGCGGTCATCACTGGACATGAGGATATTCTCTGGTTTGAGGTCCCGGTGGTAAACACCCTGGTCGTGACAAGAATGGAGTGCGTCGATGAGCTGGAGGAATGTACTCCGCAGTAGCGCATCGTTGTTCACGAAAGCCTGGCGGTCGATGATGGAGCTGAATAAATCGCCACCAGGACAATAATCCATCACGAGGTACATGTAATGCTCTTCCTCGATGACGCGATGCAGGTTCACGACGTTGGGATGATCGCATACCGCAGACTGATATGCGATTTCGCGTTGCTGGCACCGATATTGGTCCGAGCCTTTCGGGTGTTTGAGGAGCACCTTCACAGCGTAACAGGTAGGATTATCTGGCGGAGAAGCGAGGTCGTGTGCGAGATAAACGACGCCATAGACCCCAGATCCGAGTGGCTGGAGCAGGCGGAGGCGGAGGCGTCTGGATAAGACCGTGGCGCCGACGAAGTTGGGTAGAATAGAGCTCAGGTGGGTCATAGTGCGTTGCAATGAGGCGTTGGTCAGTGAGATAGACGGTGGGTAATACGCGCAGCGTTTCGGGTGAATACTTGGAAGTAGCCATCGCACCTCGAACCCTTAAATGATGGTGAGTATCGGATATGTCGGGCGGCACGGAAGGAGCGGATGGGACTCTGACAGCGGCAGGTCGGATACCCAAGAGTCGCACAGCGGTAGTGCGGCGGGGGGTGGATCTTCCAGTATCCGACTTCCGTTGCCATTTTTGGTAACCCCGCCGATCCATTTTGATCTTGACCGAACGGCGGGCCACGCAGAGCCAATTGAACGGCCCATCTACAAGCTGGCGGAAGATATTGGAATTCAAACTGGTCTGGTGCGCATAATTATTGTCATTATCGGGACACAAATCATACCTGCTCGGGAGGATGAGTGAGTGATCCACGAAAGTGAATGTCAGTGGACATACCTAAATTGTAGCTTCTCGCAGCTCTATCTATCGTCTACATGTTGAGTAGATATAGTACATATATGGATTGCCTTCTATCGCACCATCAGTCCTACGGGTTCAACGTACACAAGTATGCTTGCAGCTTCTCCAGAGCGCGGTATCGATGAGATATTTTGTTCTTCGTTTCTGCACTCATCTCCCCGTAACTTGAAGATGAATCAGATAACTGCATTGAAATTACAAACAAGAGGACACGCACGTTTGACTCGTCCCTTCAGGCTCGAAGATGGGATCCCATCCAAAGGTGTTCGTGCCCCGAGCTGGTACGATGTGCCCGTTGGTGCGTCCTTCGAACAGTATAGGTTCCGATCCGGGCCCGGAACTATAGGCAAATGTGCACAGAGCCCACGCAGCGGTAGTCGGGAAACCCATGAGAAGAGTATTGAGACCTATGCGTGAAAAACGCTCAGAGTGAAGATCGCAGGTACCGGAGGAGGAGGAGGAACAACGCGCCGTCATGTCCCAATTCTTTCATGAAATGTTTGATGTAAGGTCCTGGAAGGCCATGGAGAGCCTCGAAGCAGAGCGCAGTGTCCTCTGTGATGCAGGGCCCACCAAGCTGTTCGGCGGCAGCGCGGCACTTCGCGATAGCAACTTCGCGGGTGGTACCCTGCACTTCCGGGACTATGTGACAGTCCACCGTGTCAGCTCAGAAGCGACTTTATGAATGGACGCGTACACTCACTATCGAGATCTTTCGAGTCAATCTCAATATGTGACGCTCCAAGTATGGCGCGTACTTCCTTGAGCTTATTCGCGTTGCCTGTAACGAATACTGAGATAATCTTAGAGTTCTCAACAACACGTTGAGGAAGATCTTCAGCACAGCTACGTACTCAATGTTTTCGAGGGCATGTTACGATTTAGAGCCGATTTTGCTTGCAGGTAGACTCGGAACCGCGTTGTTATCGCATTCAATCTCCGCTCCTAACCTATCCTACAGTACACCCTAGTGTCAAAGTAATTTTTGTAATGAGGCAACAATACGAAAAGGCTTGCCCTGAAGTGACGCCCACAGGAGTCGCGTTCATTATCTGTTCACGCCACCGCGACCCACGCCAGTTGGGGCCATCCTCGCAAACCAACCATGGCGCGTAGGGTCATGTCTGCTGCTAGCGACGACTCCCAGAAGGAGAACTCCGGAGTACGTAAAAGAGTCAAACTCGAGAGGTTGAGGCAAAAGAGGGCAGCAAAGCTGACTGGGATAGCTGCGCGTCAGCGCGCCGTCAGCGTAGAAGACGACGAGGATGCGGAGGGCGAAGACGAGTTAGACGACCTGGACGATACCCAAGGTCAGGATGAAGATGCCGCGGGTGAGGAAGCAAGAGAACAGGAAGAGGAGGATGAAGAAGGCGCGTCTCCCAGGGGCCGGAAACGCGTGCGCACGAACGCAGAGGGCGACTCTCGTCCCACGGAGGTGGATGTCAAGCCCAAGGCGGAGAAGAAGGAGAAATCACGTACTCTCCCTCGTGATGTCGACGGGTAAGTCGCAGCTACCTTTCCCTGCAAACTTGAGCGCTAATGCGGTCTTTGTCCACCAAGCTTCACCCCTGGCGCGATCGTTCGTGTCCAACTCAAGAACTTTGTAACTTACGACTACGTCGAATTCTGCCCGGGACCGTATCTGAACATGATCTTCGGCCCTAATGGTACGGGCAAGAGTACGATCGCTTGTGCGATTTGTCTCGGACTGAATTTTCCCCCTAGTGTAAGTTCCACCTTGTGTGAGTACACTCCAGTCCATCGTTCACACTTATTTCTCACAGGTATTGGGTCGCGCCTCTGAATTGAATTCTTTTGTCAAGATCGGCACAGAGTCGGGTCACATCGAGATCGAGCTCAAAGGCTTGATGGGTAAATCAAACCTTGTTGTCAGGCGCATGCTCAGCGCGAAGTCGAAGAGTTCAACCTTTACGCTCAATGGCCAGTCTGCATCTGGGAAGGAGATCAACGCGCGCATGGCTGAGCTGAACGTTCAAGTCAGCAATCTCTGGTACGTCTATTTGGTACTGACTCGAAGGATCCTAAGCCGATCGGTGTTTGCAGTACTTTCTTGCCGCAGGATAAGGTCTCAGAGTTCGCGTCGATGAGTCCTCAACAGCTGTTGCGGGAGACTCAGCGTGCTGCTGGTAATGCCCATTTGACCAGCTGGCACGACTCTCTCATCAGCAGCGGTAAGGAGCTCAAACAGATGCAAGATGTATGCTGCGTTGGTTCGTCCAGTCTCTCGTCCACTGACTGTTCCGTGTAGGTACTGGATGCCGATCGTGACCAACTCAAGACGATGCAAGAGCGCAATGCTAACTTGGAGCGTGATGTTCGGCGATACGAGGAACGTCGCAGGATCGAGCGTGAGGTGTGCATTATTCTGATTAATGGATCCTGGATTGGTGGCATCTAACGCTGTGGTAGATCGATCTTTTGGAGCTCATTCTGCCCTTCAAGCAGTACATGGAGGCGAAGGATCTATACCACTTGACTAAGGCCGCGCAGCGCCGTCTACATGACAAGGTGAAGGCGCTGCAGGCTAAGAATGCACCCATGCTGAAGTTGAAGGCGTACGTCCCTCTTCTACGTTCATTGGTTACTCGCTCTTAACCTCGTGACTGCAGAGATCTCACGCGAGAGATGCAGGAAAAGGATGAAGTACGAGAGGACAGGAAGAAGGGAACGAAGAAGAAGTTACAGGGTCTCCATAAGAAGTACAACGACAACGAGAAGCTTGTGCGCATCCCTGCTGATGTCTTGCTGCAATGCCGTGATACTAATTAGCCCGCTGCAGGAGACGGATGCGGAGGACCTGAAGACTAAACTGGAAACCTTGAAAGAATCGGAGAAGCAACGCAAGAGGAACATTGAAAGGGCCGAGAAGGCGATCGCCCACATGCAGAAGCAGTTAGATAACCCTCCCGAGATGGGGGACCTTGACGATCTGAACAATCAACTTGTTCGTGGCCGATTAATGTTGTATTCTCGCTATACTTGACACTGACTCTTCCTTCTCAAGAGAAATCTGAGCACCCAGAACAACGCGATTAGAAACGAACAATCTGACCTGCAAGAGAAGCAGCGACTCAATGTTCAAGAGGAGTCTAGACAGAAGACCACTATTCAGCAGCAACAGCAGCGGTGAGTCGCCCTCCAGTCCCGATGTTCATTCATGTCCCTTATTACTATGCTCGCAGATTGAAGGAACTAGATGACGTGTCTCATAGAAAGCTTGAAGACCTTGCAAGGTGGGACAGAGACTGCGCCGATGTCGTTCGATGGCTACGCAACAATAAGCAGAGATTCAGGATGGAATTGTTCGAGCCACCCATGCTATGCTGCACCGTTCCGGACAAGAAGTACGTGCACGCCGTCGAGGCTTGCTTCAACCAGACTCAGATGAAGGTAAGTGGCTGACGCCATCCGTGTTCTCTGTTGTCGTTTCTTGAACTTCACTCGTTATGCACAGACGTTTGTAGCGCAGTGCGAGGAAGATTATCAATTGCTTAACAGACTCGTCGTTGACACGCCTGAAGCGCTTGGTCGTAAGGTGCGCATCAACACCTGGTACAGGGCTAAGACGCAACTGGTCGGACCACCAATGTCGGAACAGGAGGTTTGTCCTTGAGGCAATTATAGCGCGCACCCTCCTCTTAACGACTTTTTCAAGATGCATGTTCTTGGCTTCGATGGTTACGCTCTGCAATACCTTGTCTACCCCGAAGGTTTGAAATGGTTCTTGCAGAACTCCCTGCAGCTCCATCGAACAGTAAGGCTGATTTTCCGACATCTTCTTATGTCTTTTAGACCGACTGATGCTTGTAAACTTATCTAGGCAATCTCCTTGGACGCAGGCAGGGTAGATCCGAACCGCGCTATGGAAATGGTTTCTCGATACGGGCCTGGTGGTTCTGGTGGCGGTGCTAGCTACGTCTGCGGGGACGTCTTTAACACTGTGCAACGGTCAAGGTATGGGAAGCGACTCCCTCAAAACATGACCAGAGAAGTCAGGCCGGCAAGGAACCTTGTCCATTCTGCTAGTAAGCAAAACGATGACGTAGAAGATTGTCTTCTGATGAAGATACCTAGTCGATCCCGAGATCAAGCAGCGCATAGATACGATTCTTAGAGAAGCAAACCAGAAGCTCACATTGTGCCAAGAAGAAGCGAAGACTCTTACAGACGACGATGCCAGGATTCGGGAAGAACATAGACAGCACAAGAGGCAACATGTACGTCCGAGCAGGACCACTGGATTCTCGCACTCACTATGGCTATGTAGGACGATATTATCTCTCGGAGAAACGCCGTCGTGGACTTGCAAAAAAAGTTTGAATCCTTCAGATACAACATCGGTAAGTATTCCCGTGTCTTCCCGCTCAAACTCCCCTAGACATCTCTTTGCAGAGAAGGAACAGACGAAAGTTAACGACCTCCGCTCCATGCCGTCTGTCGAAGATGAAAGAATTCGGTTAAGGAGCCAACTCGTCGTTCTGACTAAGAAACGCGCGGATATTGTGAAGGACTTCAGTGTAAGTTGTTTCGTGTGCACTCCGAAGAGTAGACGGCATTTAAGAGTACTTGCAGAAAATTATTCGCTCTGTGATCACTACGCAGCAGGAGGCGACTCGTATTGGACTCGAGTACTTGCAGGTCGCCGCGAATAAGACTGCGCTCGAAGCGATGTGTCAGGACCAAGAGGAGGAATATCAGAAGGCTGTTGCAGAATTCAACGATGGTTGGTGCTTTATCATACCACAGATTTCGTCGTTCCCGTCCACTTATTCATTTTTATATCTCAGCTCATAGGCGCTACGAAGTTGCCAAGGAGGATTCGAAGCTTAAACTGCGTGTCAGTATGGCCAAGCTAGATGAAGTCGACGACGAAATCCGTGCCAAGTTCAAGGATATGGAAGACGTGCGTTTCTCGCCGTATGTTGATCAACTGTTGCTGACCCTGTCTAATAGTCTGGTGAAGCAAATGCTCGGTCTGCAGAAGACGTCCAGGCGGATCTTGACGCGAAGAAGGCACAGCTAGACATGAATCTCCATACCAACGCGGGCGTCGTGGAACAGTTTAGGAAGCGCGAGCAAGAGGTTAGTAGTGGCTTCGTCGTTGTCATTCCAAGTGGCTGACTTTGCTGCCAGATCAAAGTCTTGACCGAGACGATTGAGGATAAGGAGAAGAAGATGGAGAGGGTAGACCGAACCATCAAGACTGCACGGGTACGCCGGTTCTCCCTCATGGGAATGCGCCTTGTACTAACGCTCTTCTAGGACCATTGGCAACCCGCTCTAGACGAGTTAGTAGCGAGTATCGGCACCAGGTTCTCAGCGGCCTTTGACCGTGAGTATTCTGCAAGGAGGGAAGAACAATCATCACGCCTAACATATGCCATGTGTAGGTCTCGGGTGCGCTGGCGAAGTCAGAATCAGTGAACACGAAGACTATGACAAGTGGGCGATAGAGATTTTTGTCAAGTTCCGCGACAGCGAGAAACTGCAGCTGTTGACGGGAGAGCGACAATCGGGTGGAGTAAGTCGTCGCCGCTAGTGTACGATTAGCGCCTGGTGCTGATCACTATTGATCGCAGGAACGCTCGCTCACCACCATCCTCTACCTCATGAGCTTGACCGAGGAAGCTCGTGCTCCCTTCTCGTTGGTAGACGAGATCAATCAGGTTCGTACGTTAGTGCGATGGGCAGATATAGCTTACCGACGTCTGTCATTTTTGTCTGTAGGGCATGGATCAGCGTGCAGAACGAGCCGTCCACAATTCGCTCGTCGAGGTCACCTGCAAAGCCGAGAGTGGCCAGTACTTCCTTATCACGCCCAAGCTGCTGCCGGACCTGAACTACGCAGAGCGTATGAAGGTCCTGTGCGTCAACAACGGGGAGTGGCTTCCCGAGGAATCCGGCATCGGAAACATGATGAATATGATCGAAGGCTACGTGAAGCTGCACTCCGGCCGGGCGGTATCTTCGGCATGAGCTGTGCACACACTCGACTTCGTCGTAACTTATACCACTACGAGTCGTGCTCTGGTGACGTATGCTCTTTGTCAATCCATATGTAATGTGCTTTCCTGCTGTAATTGGTGAATACAGTGCTTAATGTGTACCTTCGGTTGATTAGAATACGATTTTTCTTAACATTCATTGCAAGGAAGTGCTTCTGCACAGTCCGCTCAAGATGTATTATAGATGTTTCCAAGCTCTGATCTACGGGCCTTGGCAGCGGTGATACATCCCATGAGCACGTCTTGCTTGCCTACCATTGCCAGCCCCAACTGTGTGACAGAGATGATGGCACCATTTTCGTCTGACGTTACGGAAAGTGTCGTGTCTAATAGCGGCTCCTCGAACGATGTCGGGTCGGCGAGGACGTGTGTTCTGTGAGGTGGAAAATACGTGAACGACACCGCGATAAGAGTGCTGGGACGTACGAGTCGAATATCCCAAATGATGCGGAGGTTGGACGGCGATTGAGCTGGAGCGGGCTCCTCGTGTTTCGCGAACAGACGGTGCGGCCCGTCTCTTCGTCGTAGGTCGCCTTCGGGAGGCGCGCTGCGGGGCATGTCATTCTTAGCCGCAGCAACTCCAACGAAGAGATGGCGTACTGTTTTGGAGGGCGGCGATCATCGCGAGAAGGGCCGCGTCAAAGGCGTTGCCGTCGTAGTTGATGCACATCGCGTCGACGTAGAGCACCCATACCGCTTTGCCGGGGGCAATGCAGAGCGAGGGAAGAGATATGACGCCCGCGCTGCGTCAATGTCAATGAAGGTAAAGCGGGAGAGCAGAGAGGGCACGCACGATACGAGCACGTCATTCAGCCTGTCCGAGAGCACCTGCGCCTCCTCTGTCGGCGGGCCGGGCTTGAAGCGCGGAGAGCACATCGCTGGAAGGTCGAGGTTGGGCACTGGGGGTGCGTTAGTGCGAACGAGAGGGATCGCGGATGGGGTAGGGACACACCGAGGAAGCCATTCTCGGGGCTGTCGAGCTCGGGCTCTGCGATCTCGGCTTTTACACCGCAGACGATGGCCGTCGCGCCGAGGCGCACGAGCGCGGAGCCGTCCGCGGTGGATACTGAGCCTAGGTCAGCGCGGGGGCAGAGTTCAGCGAAGGGAGCACGGGGCGGGCGGGGCACTCACCAACGTTGAGCGAGACGCGGCGCCATCCGTCAAGGTCGCGACCGTCGGGGCGGACGTTTTCTGCGAGGAATCGCTCAAGGTAGGCTTTGGGGTGTAGCCGCTGGAAAGTGGCTGCGCGTGGGGCATCTTGTTCTGCGGCGGAAAGCGCAGAGGAGGTAGAGGCTTCCGCCATCTCAGCCAGAGCCTGTGGAATATACCTCCGAGTTTAGACCAAGTACTGTTCGGTTTCAGGGAAATAGGATCTTTGAGGTTTTCCTCGTGGTGAGCAAGGAGCAAGAAGTTAGATCATACGAGCAGGTCGTTTGCGTTCCTGCAAATAGTCATTATTTCTTCTATCGTTGCTACACTCAGTGTATATGGTACAGCAGCCTGCCGAATACTTCTATTAACGGATCTAAACCTATTATAAACTCTCCCCCGCCCCTGACTGGATATAACCTTTGAGAACCGCAAACTCGGCATTGATGATGCTGCTCGTGGCAGCGCCGATTGCGACGTTATTCGCGAGGACGACGAACTTGATGTCGAGCACGGGACACTGGCGGACGCGGCCGACACTGACACCCGCGCCACGCTGGTAGTCGCGGTCCAGCCGCGGCTGGGGGCGGTCGATGTCCTCATGGACGAAGATGGTGTGGCGGGGCGCGGAGGGACAGCCGATGGAGTACGCGTCAGACTGGAACGCCTGCAGGGCCTCGCGGACCTGCTGCGGGCTCGGTGGCGGGCGGCGAGCGAAGCGTATGGAGACGCACTCGGTGTGGCCTTCGACGACGGGGACGCGAGTGCATGCGGCGGAGACACGGAGAGGATGGCGCGCGTGCATGTCGAAGGTGCGCGTGCCATCGTCGGCGTCGGCGATGCCACCGAGGATTTTGAGGGTCTCCCACTCCATCTTCTCTTCCTCGCCGGCGATGTAGGGGACGACATTGTCGATGATGTCGAGGGAAGGTACGCCGGGGTAGCCAGCACCGGAGATTGCCTGGAGAGTGGTGACCATACAGGACTCGAGCGGGCCGAAGGCACGCTCAAGGGCTGCGAGGGGGACGACGACGCCGGTAGTGGAACAATTTGCGTTGGTCACGATGAAGCCTTTGCGGAGAGGTGGAGAGTGGAGGGCCTGTTGCTGGCGTACCATGGCGAAGTGGGCCGTATTCACGAGAGGGACGATAAGTGGGACGTGAGGATCACGGCGGAAATTTCTTGCATTGGAAAAAACGACGAGCTCTGCCCTGCGAAAGCTGGCCTCTGAGAGCTGCTTTGAGCTTAGATACAGACCCGGAAACGGGGAGATGCGCTCACCGATGTCGCCTGCAACGTCAGCATCGAGTCCAGAAAAAACAATGTCGCACTCGCGGAAATATTCTGGGAGACACTCGCAAACGATCATGTCGCGCACGACGGCGGGAATGGGTGAAGTCTGTTTCCAGAGGACCGAGCGGGGATATGGCTTGCCCGCTGAGCGTTGTGATGCGCCCAGGGCATGGATCACAAAGAAAGGATGTTCTGCGAGGAGGGTGATGAACCGCTGCCCGACGGTGCCCGTTGCACCGAGTACACCCACGTTGATCTTGCGACCGTCGTGCATCTCGTCGTCGAAGCCGTCGTCCACGTCGTCAGAGCCGTTGTCGGAGCCGTTGTTCAACTGGACAAAGTCACAAGAGCGAGCCTGAGCGAGGTGATCGAGTCACACCCGACCCTCAGTCACCAGTGACCCCTGTCACAGCCGCTGTCAGTCACTAGTGACGTCTGTCACTGCCGCACTCGCCGCATACGACGATGACCTCGACGTCCGAGACGACCGCGGACTACGCTGCCCAGCTACTCTTCCCTCCGAACGTGCAGTACAATGTCTCGCGCCTCTACACGATCAAATTCTTGTCATCTTGCTTTACCGGTGCCGTCGCGGGCCTGCTTGGTCTCGAGAACTGGCGCGGCTTCGCGCTCCTTATTGCCTCGACCATTCTGACCTCTGCATGTATCTACGTCAAGGTGCGGGGGAAGCCACAGAAGTACATGGCTGGTGGCTGGTGGGAGCTGGTAAATCCTGGGCAGGAGAATGTGTTCTCCTTTGTGCTCATGTGGACATTGTTCTTTGGTGCGCCCACCGCTCTCTTGTTCGCCGAGGCTGATAATGGACGATGAATCAGGTATTATACACGGTACGTTGTGTGTTACAGAATGCGCTCGTCTGTCTGACGGTTGGCCGTGCAGTGTATGACTGATTATGAGCCATGGCACGGGCGTGGACATCGATAAGCTCTGGGTGGGAAGGAGAGATTGGATCGCGCGCGGGAAGGTTAGAGGTCGATTCGATATCATTGTCATGGTGATGGAGAATGCGAAGAGTGATTCACTTACGTTTTACATCTCGGATCGAACATCGTGTCCGTCCTCGTGGCCGACGCGTGCTCGACCTCCTCCGCCGAAAGCGGAATCTCTTGTTCGTTCTTGCTGAGTACTTTGCTCTCCACTCACATCATGATCCATCGCCTCTCCCTCCAAATCTCATCTCTTTGCCCCCACCTCCCTCATGGCCTCTTCGTACGTCCTCCTGCAGTTCAACGCTGACCCCTGGAACGCTCGCTTCGAGGATCTCGAGAGCAGACTCGCTTTCACGGTGTCCGTCTTCCTTGTTTCCCGTCTGCCGTACCTGTAATACTCACCGCAAAATTCCCGGGTTCCTTAGTGCGATGGTACCTCTCCTTTCCCGCTCAGACCCTTGTATTATTTCTCACCGGACTGCGTCAGGTCGACGAAAGCCCGAACCTCATCATGAAGATATGCCGAGAAGCTCCATGGGCTCAGCAGCATCCAGACATCATGGGCCCTAGCAATTCATATCTATATTTCGGCCCGTTGCGTACGCCCGGTTACCTCGTCTACGGTAACAGTCCTTCCCAATCTATGAATAATTCCCGCCGGCAGAAGAAGGAGGCCAGCTGGTATGCCCCCGCCTAAATTTCTCCGCGAATGTGTCGTCATTAATCACCCCCGCAGCTCGCGCTATTTCTCCGCGCAGAATGGCAAGGAATTCAAATGGAGGATTGCACCGCAGCGGTGCGAGGTAATACGATGTGTATTATTTGTGCCCCCGACTTGACATTGACTCGCCCTTGTCCCTCAGTGCGTCGATGGCAGGGGTGCCACTGTAGCGGTGTGGGAAACGAGTCAGCTGGAAGACATGTTCCACGCACGACTCACAATCAAGCACCAGGGCCTGCCGGTGGTCACAGAAATCATGACCACCTTGACGCTCAATCGAATAGCCCAGGTGCTAAATTGGTGAACGCTCTACTCCATCCACTTCAACCTTCGACCTTCCCCGCGTCCCCATTTTTTTTCGTTCGTTCGTTAGTCCGATCTGTCGTCTCGCTTTCAGCTTTTCCCGCGTCGCATTGCGTTATGCCATCCCCTCACCCGCGCTCGCCCATTGTCTGCTATCGCATACATCTTAACCGAGTGTTCCGAGTTTTACTCAATACATCGCATTTGGCAAGTCTCATCATGAGTGTCATTTTTGCTACAGATTATGCACTTCTCTGAGGTCAACATCACAAACTCTACTGCACACTGAGCCACCACCGCACCTCGGCTCTACTCACCCTCGGTTCTCCAGCCACGCAATGCTGCCCACTCCCACAGGACCTCACACGTAATCTATTCGTCCCTCCGAACCTCCTCCAACAGCGCCTCCAAACGCGCCCATTCCGGCTCATCTGCAAAATCGCGCGTGCGGCCCATGAACGTCCGCACGATGCTGCGTGCCTGCAACCGCCACTTGTCCTCCTCGACCCGCGGGCCAAAATTGTGGAGCACCGCGACGATCTCCTCGACCTCGTGTACGGCCTCGCGCCATCGGTCAATATCCGTCTCACCCTTCTCCATCGTCCCGGCCGTGCCACAGCGGTACGCGTCTAAGTGTGTCGCAAGGGCGTCAGCCCAGTGCCCCTGCCAGGTAAGCAACCGCGCTCGCGCGCGGAATATCCGCTCGGACGATACGCGCGGGAGGATCGTGCGATCGAATAGGTCCGTTACGCGTCGCAGGAGCCCGTGGCCCTCGTTCGGGTTGTGCACGGCATCTCCGAACGTTTCGGTGCCCTCAACTGCGTCCTTCGGGTCCGCCGGCGCACGCGTGACTGCATCGACAAGCCGCTCGAGCACGTCTTCGTCGACGGATGCTGCGCCGTCTTTAGCGCTGCGCTCTTCGACGACGCGAGCCAGCGCACGGCACGCCTCTGAGAGCTCACCGACATCCATCGCGACGATCATGTAGTTGGACCACATCCGCCAGTTCTCGTAGCTGTACTTGAGGCCCTGCTTGAGAGCGCGGAAGGCGAGTATTTTGTTGCTGAACGGGATTGTCTTTTCTGCAGTGTCCAACGGCGCCGTCTGCTTTGATTTTTTAGTCTCATCAGTCTGAGGGGAATGGTCATTTTATTGGTATTCACGGTGGGATTTCTGCTTACATCGACACTTTCTTCATCTTCATCTTCAACAACGTCCACGTTTTTCCCGATCTCGCCCATGCGCAAGTACACGCTGGCCAGATTATTCCAGCTCTCGCTGTCTTCGTCATCGATCGTGACGCACCGCGTGAACGCGTCGCGTGCACCCTCCCAGTCCTCCATCCGGACGTACGCGCAGCCCAGAATAAACCACGAGCGAGCTAATAGCGGGTTGATCGCGACCGCACGTCTGAGACACTTCACGGTATTCGGGTAGTCCCCTCTTGCAAAATGGTACCCGCCGAGAGAGCGCATCGCGCGGCCAGACGAGTCCTTTGACACCTCCCACGCCTTCGTATAATGCTCCAGCGCGTGCTCCGGTTCGAGATCGCCAAGGAGGCACCATAGCTTCGCCTCGCGGAGGGCGTCCAGCGTCTGCCTGCGCGCGGCGGAGACGTCCTTGCCACGCGAGAGGACCGCGTCTGCCTCCGCTTTGCGCCCCTCGAGGAGGTCGCGCACGATCGCGACGCCCTTGTCAGGGCGCTCCATGCTCTGCCAGCAGCGGACGACGTCCTCCCACATCTCGCGGCGCTCGAAGATGGCGAGGGCGGAGCGGACGACGCCGAGCGCGAGGAAGCGGCGCGCGAGCTCCTGCTCCAGCGCCCACTTGCTCGGGAGCGGGAGCGCGTGCACGTACTGGAGACGCTCCGCCGCGCGCGAGTCTGCTGTGGGCATCTGGTCGACGAGCGCTTGCAGCTGCAGCGTCGAGCGCTCGACGGTGCGCGTGCGGTGCGCCTCGAGGCGCGAGCGCAGGAGGAGCGCCATGGTGTGCACGGACCAGTTGCGCGGGTGGGCGAGCACGCGGGCGACGTAGGGTGACATTTGCTCGGCGGTGAGCCCGTGTGCGGGGGAGGTGTTGCTGATGTTGAGGCAGAGCGAGAGCAGGATGCACTGGTCGAGAGGGTGTAGCGCCGGCTGGGCGGATGGGTCCAGGTGTGCGAGGCGGGAGCCTGGTGCGGCAGCCGATGAGGAGGAAGACGTAAACTGAGTCTGCTCGAGGAGGGTGTCGTCGTTGAGGGAAAGTGTCTCGGGGAGTGCAGAGTCTGCTTGGGGTTTGGTGGACAACGCGAGTTCGACCTCTTTTTTCTCGTCGTTAGTGTCATCGTTCCTCTTGCGAGATTCTGCAAGTAGCACCAGCTGAGTAATGTCATGTTGCTGGAATTTTGTCCGCTTTCCGAGGGCACCAGTAAGTTCGTACTGGAGCTGCGTCGCACGGGCAGCTCGAACAAAATATTCGGCTGCTTTCCTGTCATGTCCCAGGAGGTGCATCATGATCCCCTCCTCCAACAGAAGACTGCCGGCTAGATCAGGGTACGAAGAAAAGTTCTGCCCTAATATCTCGACCGAGGGCAGAAGGTCAGGGGGAACCGGCGCAGCTTCGTCCAGCACCTGGAGGTGAACTAGCCATGCGCGCATCCTCCACCATGGCACGGAGACGCAATGCGTATACGGAAGGTCAAGGAGGAGCTTGGCGAGCAGGAGGAAGACGGGCACCTCAGCGAGGTGGTACGCGGGCTCGCCGCCGTACGAGAGTTCGGCGATCGCCTTCTGCTGGAGGACCTCTTCCGTGACCGGCGTGGTTGGAGGCGAAGACGAGCCCGGAGAAGGGGGCAAGGAGACAGAGATAACATCGAGTGGCTTGAAGTCCAAGTCCGGTCCCGTCCAGTTGGCCTGAACGAACGCACGCAGGCACGCTATCGCAAGCGCGAGGCGCAGCAGTTCTTCCTCGACAGTGAAATCTGGTTGGGCGGATGTAAAGGAGAACCACTCAGCTACAGGCCTGTCTGCAATCGCGCTTGCCGATGTAAAGAGCGCCCGTGCAGAGGGTGAGGTGAGCACATCGCGGAACGCTCCCTCGATAACGTTTTTCACGATGCCGACCACGGACGGCGCGGCGTCGGGCTGGAGTTGGTTATCCCACTTCGCAGCGAGCAGGGCTCTTTCGATGGATTCGACATTCACGCTCATCGTAGAGTTTGTTGACGGGATCCGCTCCGCGCGCTCTCGCTGATCGTCGATGTCGATGAGGACTGACCGACTCGCGCGCCCTTCACGGTGACGCTTACTGATCAAAGTCTTCTGCAGATCAAACGAAAACAAATTATATGTAAGGATTACAGAGAGCAGTGCAAAGCGTGGTATATATCCCATCCTTCAAGATCCTCCTAGTATACTAACCGTGGCGATCCCTGCGATCCTGAACACAACAGTGTCAGACACGACATCTGCATCAGAAAAACAACGAATCAATCTGCCCACCGGCGAACGACGACAGCGTCGGAGACGTCTTGCCCGACACAGTCTGCGCGACCGCGCGCCGCTTGTCGTCCCACGTCTTCAACGCACGCAGCAGCTGCACGACCTTCTCCCGCTTCCCTTGCCGGATGTCGTTGATGCTCACAGCTCCCATCTTCACGTCGTTGTCCAGCAAAAAGTCGAACAGCCGGAACAGCCCATCCAGCTTGTCATCGTTCGGTCCCGAAGGGAAGGCCGAGTCCGGTACCGGAGGTGACGACGCTTCACCCTTGATGCTCTCCGCTAGCCTCAGGATCGCCAAACCACCGTACAGGGGCCCTGCGGGATTGCTGATCTGCAACGAGTCTGGCAGCCGCGAGTTCGCCCAATCCATCAGGTCGGCGTCGAGGGGCTGCAAAAAGGGACTAAATCAGTAATAAGAATGGGCGTACATCCGGTCCACCTACTGTCTCGGGCTGGGCCGAGTTCGCTCTGCGTATCTCTCGCGATGGGCGTGGTGGCGCGGCGGACTTGGATAGCTGCGCTATCCTCGGGGGCGACGCTGGCTCCGTACCGGTCGTCGAGACCGTGTCGTTCGTGAAGAAAGAGTCCAGTCGAGCGCGCTCGTTATTGGAAGCCTTGTCCTTCGCAGGCAGGCCCATGAGCAAGATCTGCGCATCCCGGCTCGATAGTTGGTTGGGGTTCTCGCGGCGGAGCGCCTTCTGTGTTGCGGCGCGTGCCGTGGGTGAGGGTGGGCGCGGAGCCGGGTTCATCGCCTGCGCGACAGTGAGCGGGATAGTGGGGACATTGCACGACGATACAACGGGATCTAGAAGGCTGCAATCAATAATGTGCGGGACGAGAGGTGCACGACGCGTACTCGTATAGTCCCGGCTGATCGTGGCCTTCATGAGCGCCTTCATCCATTCCCGGATCACCATCTGCTCCTCCGAGCTGAAGTAATAAGTCTTGTCTGTGTCGTGGATGATGCGGAAGCCATATCGCCCAGGATCGACGTTCTCGTCGGCCACAACACGATAGCCTATAATGTTGACGTACCCCTTGATCTTCGTCTCCTACACGACAAGCGCATTCGTCAGAACTTCGCTAGGCACCTGGCCTTGCGTGAACATACGTACAGTCTTACTGTTGCTGCGCAACCAATAGAGGTGCGGGCCCTTGAGTACGAAATACCGCAACTTCCAGGAGTTGTAACGAACGCCCTTCTTGCGCATCCACCCGTTGTGATCTGGTGTGCCGATCTGCTCGAGTATACTCTGTCCAGCCTTCAGTAACGGTACTCCAGGCTGTATCACAGAGGTCGTAGGGCGAGAGGCGCCATCGACTGTTGACGGGGTGCGTTTGCGGAGGAGCGTCGGGCTCGACTCCTTCTCCTTTATCTCGTTGGACTCTGTCGTTTCCTTAATCACGGGGAAGGACTCCTTCAAGCTCTTCTCCTTCCGCGAGCCATCAGCCGTGGAGGGCCGACTTGACGCCCTCTTTTCCCGCATTTTCGAGAACGTTGACGCCAGGTGCTTCTCTACTTCGGCAGCCTTCTCAACCGCACTATTCCGGTCGTGATATTAGCATCTCAAAATGCGTGGGCAAAATTTTCAATCCACGCACCCGGAGAGTCGTGGTGGGGGTTTACGTGCCATGCCCAGCGTCGCAGGGAACGACGAGCCAAACAGACTCAGGCGATCAGACGGTTTCCGATCGTCGTCGCCCTTCTTGGCCCTCGGCCTCCTCTTTGTCGAAGCCAGAGACTCCGTATCCGCCGACTCCTGCTTGGACTCACCGGGCGATGTCCCGTTCGACTGCGGCGACACGGGTTCCTTCGAATGACTTCTTATTGAATCTTTGAACGAATGCGCCTTTTCCCTGATTGACGCAGAGTCGGAACGGCTGAAGAGGTGGAGGCGCTTGCTCTTGCTGCGTGTGATCTCCGTCTACAGGGAGCCCATTGGACGGATGAGCGAGTCAAATTCATGGAGGAGAACGTACATCGCTCATCACCGTGTGTTCCTCCTCGGCGGCTTCAGACGCTTGGTCGTCATTGACAGCCCTGATGCCGAGCGCGCCGTCGCTGGGGGACAGCAGGAGTTGCGCGGGGCGGCTCTTCTACAAATGTTGCAAATCGTGAAAACAGATGTGCCATATGAGCTAGATACACTTACCGGTTCCTTACCGTTCACCGTCGCAGGCGGCGAGGGGAAGCCAAGGCCAAGACCCGCAACGGCCTTGTCCTTCGCCTTCTCGTTCAATGGTTGGGCCTGTTCTGGTAAAACCTGGTGGATCGAAGCCGGGTCGGACACGCGGAATCCATTCTTCTTGACAGGGCTGCCAGGCAGGTCGCCCGCATACTGCGGGCTTTCGGTACTCGTAACCGAACTGATGGGGCTGAACCCGGGGGCGGTGTACAGCGGCGAATTCGCCCACGACTGGGCGGAGCTCTGCATCGACGCGGAATGCGAGTGCGAGTAGGCCAGCGATTGGGATTGTGAGCGCGGCGTCATGAGTGGAGCGGGGTGATCAGACTCGGAGAGCGACAGCGGGCGGCGCAGCTCGTTGATCGCGTTTACGATGCGAATGCGCTTCCCGAACGCAGTGATGCCGATCTCGGACTTGAGGACGTTAGCGTCGAGCTCGAGCAGAACGTCGCCTGTGATTTCCTGCTCTGTGGACGTTCGGCTCATCTAGGGAACTGAATTATTCGAGAGGAGACATACCGATAAACTTATCGCAGACACCCTGATCAAAACTCTTCGACTTGAGCCATTCCACCACCTCATCAACGCTCCACTCGGATGGGTGCCCGCTCGGTATCCTCGACGCATCGGGTGCGCCTGAAATAGCTCGTTCTTGCAATGGAGAACCAGACACATTTCTCGACGTCACGAGAGTCTGTTGAATGCCCGTCGAGAATGTCGAACCGCTGGGCGACGGCATACCCAACGCCGCAAACGGCAGTTCCTGCGAGGTGCGGAACGTACTGGGTGTCGGCGTAACAGTCTGCACGCTTGGAGTCGCAGTGACGGGATGCGGCAGACTCACTACGGGCATCGCGGCATTTGGGACGAAAGCCTGAGGGACCGGCGTGGTAGACTCCACATCAGGGGGCCCAGGCGTCGATGATGTCGTAGCGACTTCTTGGAGCATGCCCAGCCCGCCCTTGGCAGTAAACTCGTCTGGCTCGTCTCTGCGTTCTGGGAGTGTGGCTACGCTAGGGACGGGACTAGGCACCGGGAATGACACCTGCGCGGCAGTAGCGGTAGGTAGGTCAAATTCATCTATGGCGGGGGAGGGGACGATGAAATCTTCCGAGGGTACGATGTGCGCTGAGCTCCCCATAGAATTCTGTCTCGCTGGCAAGGACGTCGGAATACTGTGATCGTCGATTGTGATTACGGGAGGTGGAGGCTGAGGTCCACCAGCGTCGGTCGTTTCCTCGTGCTCGGCTTCGTCCTCCGATATATGGGACTGCATTCGACTCTGCGAGCCGTCATCGGGTCGTGGTGTATGGTGAAGCTCCAGATGTTCCTCGTCCTCGTCCTCTGCCTCGCTCTCATCACTCATCTCCACGTCAATCGGCGGCGCTACCGACCGCAGGGGCGTCGCCGGCACAGAGTCCGCGTTCTCCTTGGCCCACCGCTCCTTATTCGCCTGTTGCGCACGAAGAGCAAGCTTCTGCCGCGCGTCGCGCGGGTCGGCGAACGACCCGCCCTCCTCCTCCGATTCGTGGTCGGATCCGGGCAAGCTGCCAAAGTCGAAGCTGTGCGAGTCGTTGTCCTGTCGGCCGAGGGCCTCGATCGCCTCCTGCACGTCCGTCATCGTCTTCCGCATGATCTCGCCATCGCTCTGCCCGGGCGACTTGCGCACGCGTGCATCCTGATCTGTCTCCTCTTGTAGGGGCTGAAGCTCAGGCGCACCCAGCATGCTCTGGCTGAGCATGTCATTGGAGGGGGGTGCGGAACGGCGTTCGGGCGAAGGGATACTGGACGTGGAAGGTGGTTTCTGTGAAGTGTAGCTTTGTGGGAATAGACCATCTGCGCCAGATGCGTTGCGACCCTGGAATAAAATATAAATTGAGCGGATGGTTCGGAACATGCAGGGTAGAAATGGTGGAATAAAACATCGCGAAGCAAGCGTATTATGTGGTCTAGTAACTGATGGGGACCGCTACATGCTTCAAGCTGCAATCTTCTGCATCTGTGCTCTGCGTACAACACGCTGCAATGACCGCCGAGTGATTTGGGCATCAGTGGAGCACAGCACCGACACCATGCCCTAGTGGCAAGGCTGACGATACACTATTATCGCTCAGCGCCTCATGGTATGCGTTAACCAAAATCACCACGACGCCTGAGAAGCCACGCCGTACCCGATAGGAAAGACAAAACGGACCACTGCAGTCGGTACCCCCGTACACGATGGCAAGCAGCAACGAAAGGCCATCCAAATGTGTATGCCTCTGCGCCGCGAGCACTAGCAGAAAAGGGGTACTTTCCAATGACCCTTTGCAAACACCGTTCCGTACACCGCCCCGGCAACCCGGAAAGACAGCACAGAGAGAGCTGGCTCACCTTCCACCATCCATCGCCAAACTCGTCGTCCTTCTCTATCACCTCTATCCTCTCGCCGACCTTGAAGGCTATCTCGTCTTCGTGTTCAGGCACAAAATCGTGGAGTGCGTAGACATATTCTGGCATTGTGAGTGTAATTAACCCTAGGGAGTGCGTAGCTTGTTCAATATCTGAATGACCCCAACCGATAAAACAATAAAGCAGAGTGACATGTACAAGCACCAGTCTGAGAGTGGGAATGAGGAATCAAGGAAGTCTGGTGCTATGATTGACTATAATATCATAGTTGCTTCATGCAATGTTACGGCCGGCTAGCTCAGTTGGTTAGAGCGTGGTGCTAATAACGCCAAGGTCGTCGGTTCGATCCCGGCGTTGGCCAATAACCGACTCTGCCTGAAGATTTCTTTTAGCGAGCGCGTGCTATCATGCAGAATACTTTTCTCATTCTTGTCATGTCTCGCCGTCTGAGCACCATACATGATCTTGCGGCGCTTCGCCTTCACCCCGACTGTACTCGTGTGGTCAATGAAACCGTTCCCAATTTGAGTCTACGACAGGCACGGTATACCGCCTACGATGTCCGCGGGAACTGGTTCGCTCGAGATGCGGGTGGGCGCATCGGTGTGCGAAAGACTAGGACGCGGGGTAAGGGGAAGGGAAAGGCTAGGGAAGGAGAGGAGGATGAGGACGGGGAGGTGTTTGACCTGACTGGGGTAAATGGTGGAGAAGGGGACTCGCTGGTGGACGAGGGGAAAACTGACGAGGAGGATCCCCGTGCGAGGAAACGGAGGCGGTTCGCTGAGGACCTGAGTTTCCTCGATTCTCCTCGCTCGTCCTCCGTCGCAGGTTCCCTCCCACCGTCGGTCCCAGAGGTTGTACTCGGCGAGTCCCATGATGTCGCGCCAACGCACGCCGCGCTAAGCTCTTTCTCCTTCTCCACGCCCTCGTCTGTGAGTTCAACACGTTCTCCGTGTTCCACTGTCGCATACGCCTGCCTTTCTTAAATGCACGTATGATATCTCTATATACTGATTTCTATACTCAGGATCTCCTCAAATGCATTCACCACTTCGCGAGCACGTACTATACCGCTGCCGGCCAGCTATACGACGCGTCCCGCGAGGCCCGCAGAGAGAAACGTCGCAGACGCCTCGCGCGCGCCGCTGCAGGCAACCTCGCTGACGAACATGATCACAGCGACGCAGAAGAAGACGATGAACAAGAGAACGAAAACTCCGACTCAGGAAACGAAGACGGGGACGAAGAGGGTAGCGATACTGAGCAGGAGCCCGACGACAGTGCACACATGCGCTGGCGCACGCACAAGCTGCTCACCGCGCGCAAGGACATGTACAAAATATTTGACGGGTCCGCGCTGATGGTGCTTGGTGCGTACTGTTCCATTTCCTCTCTTCACCGTGTTGTCATTTACCCCCCTCCTCAGGTATGCTTTTCCAGGAGCACATTGCCGCGCTCTTGCGTAGCACCCCGCCTGCCGGGTGGGAAGACTCGGCACCCCCGCGCAAGTCTCGGAAGCGTAAGCGGACCGCGGAAGAGGAAGATGCGCCAGCCCAGAACACACTGAAGAGTAAGGGTAAGGATAAAACTCAGGGCAAGGGAAAGCCAATGCGCGGCCGAAGGAGTAAAGATGAGGAGAGCGAGGCAAAATCGAGCGATACGGACACAAATGGACAGGCATGCGGAGAGGAGGACGATGACAGGGACAAGTGGTCAACGGAGGAGGAGCAGAGTGCGCGCCCGCGACGGTCGAATCGGACACGTTCCTGCTCTTCAGCACAGACTGGGAAAAATTCGCAAGTGCCATTTGTAGATGACAATGAGGACGATGAGGATTATGTCCCGTGAGTATCCTCCTGCGACGGCTGTACATACCATCTGTCGCAGGAGCGTACTCATGCTCATTGTCGCACTGGTATGTTTCTACACAGAACTACGCTGAGATGCAGTAGGTTCATGTAGATGTCTGTGTTCCCTCCAATACATCTTCAATGCATCACCGGTGACCAATCGTACATGTGTCCTCGACAGGCTATCCCACTCCTACACGCGAAGTTGGGACGAGAACCGCCTCAGGCTAGCGACCGTGACCGCAGCACGAAAATCCTCGCCGGTGCGCCGCTTGTTCGTCGGCCTGCCAGCCCTGCACGCCAGGTCCAGCGTCCTCAACACGCGATGGAACATCTTCCCTGTCCCGGTCGCGTGGAGGACGCCACATAGCGCAGCATGGAACGCCAAATGCCTCGGATTGGGGAGTGGGATATCCCTCTCCGCGTGATTGCGGAATATGATGGTCGAGGCGGGCAGGGCGATGATGACGATGTCGCTGTAGGTCTTGTAGGCGTACTCGTTCGGTGTCTGGGCATCTGTGAATCGGTGTCACGGCGTGGCTGGGTGGAGGAAATCGAACGCACGGCGGTCGCCTCGAAACACCATTTGGGCATACGTGTCGAAGAACGTGTGTACCATCCGTGTCGGGGGCGTCGATGTGCTGCGGAAAGTCCTCCGGGGGGTCCGTGTAGCGCGTCAGGATCCCGAGTGTCGCCAGACTGGAGAGGCTGTTCGTCATGTCTGTACCGTCGAAGACGCAGATTGGGGGCGGGATGATGTGCGCTGCGTCAACCAGGATTGCTTTACCAGTGTAGCCGGGTATGTCGTCCAGGTGGAGAAACCGCTCGACTGCACATAGGTGTCCGTCGCGTTCACGGACCTGTGGACAGGGCTCGCTCACAAAATACCTACAGCATAAAACCTTACACTCGGCGGTGAATGCATCTTCATGGTTTTTTCGTGGGGGCCCAACGTGTAAGGGCTGACTTCCTGTTGGAGTGGCAAGATCAGACTGCGTCGTTGCCGTGTAGTAGGCATCCCCTCTAACTGCGTAAAAACATCTCAGCAGGCGATTCGTTCACACAACGCATTACTGACTTACACGGCCATAAACCACACAGTGCCGAGGTCGCAAAAAGCGTTTCAGCCGTTGAGAATCCTCGGAGGCGTAGCACGCGGCTACGGCGTACGCAGTGGAGCGGTGGCTGCTGTGCCCGCAAGTATGCGCGTGGTCGAGTGTGGCTTGGAGGACCACCGCCAGATCGAGCTCAGCATACGTACGGTCTTCTGGGGGTTGTTGGCAGAACCATGCGATCTCTCCTAGGGCAAACTCGGACTGCGGTGGAACATCTGAATCCCCCAAGAGTTCGCCGAGCTTCTGCTGGTAAGGTTTGAAATGAGGCCTACGTCTGTCAGGGCACTAGTAGAGGACATAACAAGGATCATGACAGAGAGGTTCAAATGAGACAAAGAATTCTTTGCACGCTCAAACTTTCACGCGCACGGACGTACTAAGTACTGTCCGGATTGCTGGATCGCAGGCCCTGCAGTGTTTGATTTCAAGCAGCACAGTGGTCGGCTTGCGCCGATGGGCGATGATGGAAAGGGAAGGCGACCTACCGAGTATGGCAACTGATCTGGAATGCGCTCCGCCTAATCAGGGTTACTACGTACTACGTACGTGCGCGGGGTCTCATGGTAATTTGCAAACAAGCCAGAATTCTAGCACACAAAGGTGCGGACAAAGGGTATCTCAATTCCAACCCGCAGAGCTTCCAGGTCGATAAGCATCACTGTTTGCACGGATACCTGCCGGCACAAGCACACGGACAAATGCAGAACCTCGATTCACACTAGCTGTCATAGCACAAAAAAGCGAGCTAGTATGGGCTATTCACTTTTTCGTGGCGAACTCGGCACTACCTGTCGAAGCTAAGCTTCGCTGGGCGTCTGGTGGCGAGAGTGCATTTTACTGTCAAGGTTCGAGAGGGAATTTGAGCCGACTGGATGTCAGCGACGCGGATGTGAGGGGACGATAAACCACGGAAGTTGGCCCGTTGCACCAGATCTAGAAGTACAGGATGCCCATGCACAAAAGGTAGGTGGTGGTGAGGTGGTGGCGAGCCGAGGAGAGACTCTTCAGCCTTTGAGAATGGTTGCAAGTGCGCTACGCACGATGGTATGCGCAGTGTATCGGGAACTCTTCTGTCCATAGATATATTGCCGGCCAGTGGGCGAACATGGCTTGAAGGACGGGTTGCAGGACGGTGACGAAGTGGACGCGGCTTTCTGGCGGGCAGTGGAGACGGCAGCCGTAGTGGGGATGTGCACATTCGCAGGAGCACTGATGTGGGAGTGCTGGTTTCTAAAACATGTACAGTGAATGAGCTAGCTGCTAGCTACTGTGAGTTTTTCTCAGAGTATTTTCACTAGTGGAGGTGCTGCACAGGTGCTAAAAATGGCACTACTAGATCTGTGCGGAGAGGTATCACCTACATTCCTGTTTGGCTCAGTCGGTAGAGCGTGTCGTGAGATGTAATGACAAGGTTACCCGTTCGAGTCGGGTAATTGGAACTCCTCTCTACAAGAGATCCTTTTTGTCCGGGAAAGCGATGTCTAATAGTGCACACCGCTTAAACGGTGCGGACGAGCTGGTAACTGAGGTTCGAGGAAGCAGCGAGATCCCCGGAAGACCAAAATCTCTCAGTAGTTGAGCTGTCTGGAGCCAGAAATTTGGCGGTCAGAGGAGTCTGGTTGAGCTGTAGGTTGGATGATTTCTCAGAGGCAGTTGAGACTTCCGATGTAGAAATTGCAGTGCTCGTCGAGTTTCGGACTTGCACCTTCGCTGATGTCGCCACCGAGCACTCTCATAACAACCACGACAAGACTTCGAGCTTGAAGAGCACCAAAGACAAGTATATCAGAAGAGAGGAATATATTGGAGAGCACCCACACCAGGACTTGCCACCCTTCATCGTAACGTACCATCCTCCCAGCGCTTGATGATGTTGTGCTTGAACACTCCCATGTCCTCGTCCTCGAATATCCGGAGACGCTCCAGTCGGCGTTCTCGCAGCTTGTTTTTGGGCAGCATGCCTGACACGGCCTGGCGGATGATCTATGAGACGTAAATTCTGTTAGGTGCACACAGAGATGGTAGAATGAGCAACACACCTCGTCCGGCTTGCGCTTCATCATTATATCGTACGGGATCTCCTTGAGGCCGCCGGGAAACATTGTGTGATGGCGGTACACGAGCTGGTCGGCCTTCCTGCCGGTCACCTTAACCTTGCGCGCGTTGGTCACGACGACGTAGTCGCCGCAGTCCACTGTTCACGACTCAGAAACCAGTAAGATAGAGGTGGGGCGAGAGACGCACCGCTGGGATCAAAGATCGGTTTGTGCTTGCCCATGAGGACGATGGCAATACGCTCAGCGAGCTTTCCGAGAACGCGCTCCGACGCGTCGACATGGTGCCACACCCGAGCATATGCTAGTGCAGTCTGTCCGGCTTAGTAGTCAGCACGAGAAGAGCCGCTGGAGACGAAGGGAGACGGACGTTGCCAACAGCTTGGGACATGGCTGCAGGAAAACTAGCGTGGTCAGTAAGCGCCCGTTCCAGATTGTGGCGTGCGTTCTTTGAACGCGCTCACCACCGCTCGCGACGTCCAGCCATGTCCGCAGGCGAATCTTCAAAACGTTCGAATCTCATCGATGTGTATGTTTTCTGTCCTTTCGTGCTGTCTGCTCACAGTCATTGCCGTCTAGATCATACCAACAACTTCATTCACTACTCTCCGGGCGCCTCGAGGGCCTAACGCTCGAGCAGCTCGAGGACATTGTCAAGCCCCGCGTCGAGCAGCTCCGCAACGTCGAACAACCGTTCGGAAAACCTTCGGACGCGTCAAAAAAGAAAGTAGACTCGGGTTCCGTCGTCCTCCGCGACGGTGTCATTATCCGCGTCGAGGAGGCCGACAAGGCCTTCATTTTTGCCCTTAGCGCTGCCTTCGACATCGACCAAGTCGAAGCTCTTGTCCTCCTCCGCTCCTTCCTCTACAACGAGGGCCTACCCAAGAGCGTGGACTCTGCCACAAACATCGTCGACGAGCTCGTCGACGCCATCACCCCCTTCTACTACTCTGAGCGCCTCTTCGTCCTCCGTGCCTTCATCCCCCTGTTTCGTGCCAATGAGAACGCAGCAGATCCCGTTCACGCCGTCGCCCGAAAAATGCTCCCGGCTATCCTCCCCGACGGCAAGGTGTTCGCGAAGACCCTTCTCGGGGAGTACGTCCGTAAGACATCTGCCGCACCTCCCTCTCGCGTGGGGCCAGATGACGCGCGACAGATTGCGGCGTGGGCGAAACAGAACGTGCGGGAGCAGCTCGGCGCACTTGAAGCACTTTTCTGGACGATGTGGAGCTACGTGCCGTGTGATCCTACGCTCGTCGTCGCCATCTACGAGGCCGCGTATTCGACCCAGCTCGGGTCAGTGCAGAAGAACTCGATGTGGCTGCTCGACAGTGAGGCGACGCAGGTGCAACAGGACGTCGCGGCGCTGTGGATTCTGATTACTATTGAGGTGCTCGAGCTCGAGCGCGCGGCAGAGCCCGCTGGGATCGTGCTGGCTGACGACTCCGCAGATACAGAGATATACTGGGTGTCGCCGGACGCGCTCGAGCGAATACACGAGCTCGTGACGTCGCACGGCGACAGCCTTTACGCGTGTACATACATGGCCTGGACGTTCGTACTCTCGCGAATCACGAAGGCGATGGTGGAGATGAAGGAGAAGCTTCCAGCGGCGTTCATGAACTTTGCGCAGCCTCTGTGTTCAGGTCGCGAGCGGATGCACACGATCATGGCCAGGACGTGTTTAGACCCTGACGCCGGCCTCTTCAAGCTGATGCTGACCATGCTGACGAACTCGCCGCTGTTCGTCACCGCCATGGCGTGGCGCACTGGCTCGACACTCACCGATCCCAATGCTGTGGCATATCGTTCCGTCCTCAAAGGTCTATTTTTCTATGTTTATTCCTGCTATCCTGTGTGCTAACTGGGGGACTACAGGTCTCGTAATCGCGATTGTGGAGCTTATGCCTGTCGAGCTCGTCCCGGGGTTCGACGAGTTTGTGGACGTGTGGATTGCGCTCTTTGGGCGAAGCGAAAGCCTCTCCGTCTCGGGAATCTGCCGTCAATTTTGGCTGGCTGACTGGACGCAGGGCATCGCACGGCGGGCCATCCTCGATGTTGCACGTTCAAGGTTCCCCGTACAGCCCCGCCCACTCGTCAGGCTCCTGCGTGCGATGACAGCAACGGGTTTCCTGGATACCGACCCCCTTTCGACGGCAGACCATGCAAACGAGGGCGAACTGCTCGACCCTGACCGCGAACTGTGCGCGCGCCACGTATTCTACTTCATGGATGCGCTCCCGACATACACGCAGGTCGTTCCCCTCAGCGCATGCACAGGCGCCCATGCCCTATACGAGAAGCTACCGGACCGCTACGGCGGGACGCCCACATCGCCCGGACTTGCCTATGTCAACCTGCGTCCGCTCAAGCTGCCCGGAGGCAGCGTCCTCCCGCTGAAGACCATCGGACGCCTACTGAGTGGCGACGGAGGTGAATTTATCGTGGTCGCGTGGCAGCACGAGCACTGCGGGTGGAAGACGCTGCTCGAGATCCTGACGGACTACGTGAACCGCCGACGGGCTCAGTCCGGTGCGGGGGCGGGGTACCAGGACCTCTCGTTCGCGCCACGCTCCAGCGCACACCAGCCGCTTGTGCTGCGGCTGGAGGACATTGGCGTGGAGATGGACCGCGTAGGCGATGAGGACCTCATCATGGACGTGCTCGACCTCATCCGCAGTGTCGTGCAGGACAACCCGAGGCTCGCGGAGCTTCTCCTGCGGTCGCTCGAGACGGGCGCTCCCGTCGTCTCACACACGATGGTGGAGGCGCAGCCGCCCGATCTCGTGCAACTGACGACGACGATCCTGGAGGATGCGCTGTTGCGCTCGTCGGGATCCAAGAGCGCTCCCCGCTCCCCCCTGATTACCTCCGCCATGAGTGTCCTCTCTGCCCTACTCGCACTGCCGAAATATTCAACCCGCGTCTGGCTGTACGTGCGATCCACCTCGTCACTCTTTGGGTCCGATCGGGACGTCGGCGTCGCATCTGCTGTGCTTGCTGCTGAGAGACTGACGGGCCACTATACGATGACGCTCGCGCTCCTCTACCTTGTCCAACAATTATTCAGTGAAGCATCGGCGTCCGTACTTTTTGTTGCCAAAGAGTCTCCGAAACTGCAGCAGATCAAAGAGGAGGTACTTTTGCGTGCCGCGCGGTTCGTACATGCGGAGGTCTGGGTTGAGCATATGGGGTGGAAGTACGCACAACTGGGCGACCGCTTCGAGATCGGGCGGCGCGTGACGGCATTCTACGCGGAAGTATTCAAGCACTCGCCTCCCGTGCTGAAGAATGCACCTTTTTCGGCGCTCAGCAGCGCCATCGCGGACGCGTTCGTCTTCAAGGCGACGACGTCGACCGTCACGCCGCTCGTGTCGTCTCTCACTACCGCGGGGCAGGTATTGGGCATGCTCTACGCGTCCCGCAGATACGGCGATGCGCGCCGGCTGATATATCTCCTGGAGTCGCATTTGTTCTTCACCCGCACCTTGCTTTATTTTAAGCAGAATTCGGCGTTCGCTGCGGAGCCGTGTCTGCTGGAGCAGGCGCTCCGCACTCGCGTCGGTGGCAGCATCGCGTCGTTCGACGGAGGCCCCTCGAAGGTCGATCCTGTGGATGCGTTGGCCGGGTACGTCAAGGAGCGTGGCATGGGCTCGATTGTCCCTGTGGAGGCGATGAAGGTGCTGTTCTCCTTGTGCTCTTCTCTGTCGTTATCCCAAGGAGCCTCGCCGACGATCATCGGCCATCTGTCAGATCCCGAGGCAACCGTGCTCTCGCTGGTGCGTATCATTCAGCACCCCTATGACGATGCGCTGCTGCGCAACGCGGTGTGGAACTTCATTACGCTCGCCATCGATAAGGAGCCCGCATTAGCGAGGCTCTTCGTCACGGGGCAGTTCCGGGCACCGAACTCCAAGTCGGCCGCGGATAGTGTGGACGTAACAGGGAAGGGGAAAGAAAGGGAGAAGCCCGAGACCCATAACATACCACAAACGATTAGTGCGGTCAGTATCGCGTGCGATATGCTGGAGCATTGGCAGCAGCTCTGGGAGCTCAATCCACAACTGCTAGCATCGCTGCTGCGATTTTTGGACGTCGTGTGGCAGCACGGCCACGAGCACAAGGCGGTGCTGGACAAAATTCGCGAGAGCTCAGAGTTCTTCACGCAGCTTGCTGAGATCGCCGCTCGAGAGCTCGGACCGCATCCGGACTACAGGACAGAGCGCCTTGTGGAGATGGATGGCCTGCAGCGTTCACACCTTCACGAGGCCGTCTCGTCTCACGCCTATCGTACTGCTCTCAAGTCCCACGCCATGCACATCATCGCAGTTGACATTCAGATGCACTGGCTGGTACATGGTAATAAGCCGTCCGACAAACCGAAGAGTTATACCGCGATCGAGAGCGTTCTCAAGGATGAGGATCAGCTCACCGAGTTGACTTATGAGGCCGTGGCGAGTACGTATGACCCGACTGTGCACGACGACTTTGCGGAGCTCGCCAACAAGAATTTCCCTTCGCTCAAAATGGAACAAATGCAGTTGCAGGAACCGCTGGTGGATCGCGAATACGGGGACCACTTTGCGTTCTCAACGACCCTTCTACAGTTCCGGCTACAGCCGTTTAACCTCGCTGACGGTGTGCTCTTGGAGGCGGTGAAACGGCTGACCTCCATCAATCTCACGTTGTCTCTGACGCAGGCTCAGACTGCTCTGACGGAATCGTGGCAGTATCTACTCTTACAGGCTGTGACATATCTTCGTGGAGATGCACCAGTACGTACAACACTGCTGTCCCTCGCCGCTTCCATCTCCCGTGATTTGTCTATGGAGAAGCGTTCGGGAGATCTGATGTCAACTATTCACTGGGCGCGGCTGTCGCTGCTGCTCGCTTTGCTTGAGGTCGCTTGGTTCTCGACGTCGGATACAAAGGAAGAGGTTGAACACTTCGTATCTCTGGTGGACCATGTGCGAGGAATTATCCTCAGTCCCTCACATCCACCTGCAATGTCGTTCCTTGGGCAGTTGACTATTCCCTTTCACCGGCCATTGTTACAGATAATCTACTTCTGTGCACGACATAGCAGAAGCCTTGCGCTGCGCGAAAAGGCCCTCAATTCTCAGCAGCGTCTGCGCATGGTTGCAATGCTCGAGTCGACGTTGACGTTTGTGATCGACAGTCTGCGCCTGGCCTTCGACTCTGCGCGTGCTCGATTAGATGTCGATCTGGACCAAGACCTCGAGCTGCTGGTGGCAGTCTTCGAGCAGTGTACGCGCTCAGAGCTCACCGTGCCTTCGACACTCTGGCTCACGCGGTGTCAAGAAACGGACGTAGTTGGAGCCAGTCTCCAGCTGCTCAGCAACATGGACCTTGTGGGTTTGTCAGACATTGGTTTGCTTCGTGCCCGGAAGCAGCCACTATACGCATCTCATGTCTTGGCGTTCCACATGGCGTTGGCCCGGATACCCTCTGCTGCGGAGAGACTGGCGAGCGAAGGTGTACTCACAGCGTACAGTGAGAACCGGATAAGTGCTGCCATCAGAGCTGGAATGGTCGACGTCACCCTACCGGAGCTTCCTGGCGAGAGAAGCCCCGCACATACCGCGTACTGCTCGATGGTGGCGGTCGTTGCAGGCGTGATCACTTCCCTAGGACGCCACGGCCAGTACTTCGATGCCGAGGCCTGCGGGCTCATCCAGCTGTTCGGCGAGCAGATTCACCGCGCACTCTCGTGGACCATCGGAGACCCGCTCACACTACCGCTGCTGGAGGAGATCGAGCAAGTGGTGAACCTCTTCTCCGCACTCGCACAGAACACTGCCGGCGCGGGTGCGAGCGAGGCGGTGGAGCGTGTGCTGGGATCGTTCGTGTCGGACGCGCAGCTCCTACTGCAGCAGCTCAACTACGCGTTGACGCACCCGAACCATCTTGCCAGCCTGTTTGAGTCGGTCACAGCGGACGAGAAGGCGCGGTTCGAGGCGGACCGCGGGAACGCGTCGGTGAACTCCCCCGCCGAGGCACTCAACCCGCTGACACGCCCGTTCCTCGCGCGGCTCGTATACCGGCTGTTCCGCCTAGCGGGCGGGGTGCTCTCCGCACTCGTTGCCATCAGCGGCGCCGAGACGGTGCTCACGGGCGAGCGGGAGGACTGGCCGATACATGGGGTGCTGATTGTTCCGGTGAGTGTCCGTGTCCACGATATCTGTGCCCATAACGCGCATTGCTGATAACGCAACCTCTGCAGCACTCGAAGGTTATCCTCGGAGATCCTGCATCGTTGGGTACGCTAGTCGAGCTGGGCAACTGTGCTCTAGACGTGCTGCGGCACCTCGTGGACCGGCCAGGTGCGCAGGCATTGACGCCAGCCGCAGGGGCGTCGTCCGGGGGGAAGGCGCTGGACGTGCGGGATGCGGCGCTCGCGACGCGGCGCGCGCTCGAGGGTGCAGTCCTGTATGGGGTAACGCAACTAGCGCTGTGGCTCGCGAAGCCTGAGTTCGACCTGCCACCGCGGCCGGCGGGGGAGCAGGAGGTGGAGGACGTGCCGATGCAGATGCTCATGGATGCGTCACTGTCGTCGTCACTGGGGTCGGAGGCGAAGGAGCGGCGGGCTCGGCGGCGGTCATCGCTGACGCTCGAGGAGCGGCTGCGGCGTGTGATGACGGGGGAGATGGCGGCGGAGGTGCTGGCGCTGCTGGGAAAGGCGAAGGGCGTTATCGCGAAGAGCGTGGGGGTCGTGGGGAGCGAGGATGTGGATCTGACGGATATACTCATACGGTTTGTCCATGAGCGGATCGCGGCGCCGCCGTAATGATGGTAGCTTGGGTGTATTTGTGGACTGTCCTGCATGTGCTTGTATCGGTTTCTTTTTTTGTGTGGCAAAACACCTGTTATTACTGGAGTTTCTATGGTTGCAACTCGCAAACGATACAATGAACTCAGTGCACTGGAGGTCTCAGTGAAGTACCACGGATGATATGGCGCCAAACGAATCCACTATCTTTCAAGGTCGTCCTCTCGTCTGCCATCAAGCACTCTACACCACGCACGCGGCACTTTATCTCGCCTCTGGGATAGCACTGCAGTCGGTGTGGCTCCACCTACCTACCAGTCTCACCTGTCAGTACCTGAAAAGGCCAAGTATCGGATCCATTGTTCCGCACGATGACGCTCATACCTCTGTAGTGGTCGAGCCGCTTGGCGTGGGCGTGCTCGTAAGTCGGGAGGGCCCCGCGATGGCTGTGGACCAATCCGTCCATCCAGCGACATCGACATTTTTGGACCGATCCGTCCGATAACGAGACTGGGGAGGTGGCACTATTCAGTGCTCACGATGCGATGCGTCAGCCCTGTGCTTCTTCGAGTGGACGCAACGTACGACTTACCAACATACGGCGAGATACTATTGCGACGTGGACGAGAGGTCGCCGACGTGCGCGTGCCGGGACTGCCAGAATCTCTGGCTGAGATCCGCGCCTCGAGCTTGCGCACCAGCATGCCGTGCACCTCGAGCTTGCGCACCAGCGCGCCGTGCGGGTCCGCCTCGTCTCTCATCGCCTCGATCCTGCGAAGCAGCTCACCGCTGAGGAGCTTTGAGCGAAGGCAGGGATCCAAAGCCACGCGGATGATGCTGAGAAGCCGCTCGCGAATGGCCGGATCTTGACCGTTTATGACTGCCACCATGTCATCTACAGTCCTGACGTTCGACCCAAGTGCTGACTCGGATGCAGCATCAGGAACGAGCGGCCGCGGCTGCGGGTGAGGACGATACTCGGCTGGAAAAGCTTCGATCGGCTGACGGATGGCAGAGGTGCTCGCCGAGTCATCAAAGGGAGGCGGGCCGACACAATCGGCGTCTGTTGCACGAGGCGAAGATTGTTCTTCAGATCGTTCAATTCAGTTTGCAAGTGAGCGAGGTCGGCCTCCATGTCCTTGAGCTTCTCCTCACGGGCCTTGCGCGCGGTTTCGACCTCCTTCTCATGCGCCTGTATCGGCTCCGACATCTTTGCGAAATGCTAGACTGTGGACGCGAAGTCCTACAGGTAAATCAGTACAAGTGGCTATGATAAACGAGTGGCATATGCTTATGCTTACCCTCGTATAGCGAAAGAACTGAGGAATACACGTGCAGCGTGCGTGAGCAGGCAGACCAAAAAGGAAGGTAGCGTAGTACACACTCAAGTCTTGGCCGACTATTTCGAGAGGCATCATCTGGAAAAAAGACATGTAGTGCTATGTAGCTCGCGTACGTCGGAGAGGCCTGTAGCAATGTCCCGAATTATGTAGGACTCTATAGAATAGGATTTTCTACTGTAGACCTACTAGGTCGTCCACGGTATTGAGGGGCCACTTCGGCGCGGACTCAGATGGGGTGGCGGGCACTGGATTGGCCGCATTCACGTCGGCGAGCGAGCAAGCGAGGTTGGGGGTGTGCTTGCGTCCCCCAAGCTCCTCGTGGGTACGCGTGGGCCGACCTTCACTCTCGTGCAAGTCCATGGGCTCCGATAACTTTGAGAACTTGGAAAGTCACGGTGGACGCTGTGTTGCGCAGGGGAAGGAGTAAGATATCTACCTCGATGGTCGACGCGACGTCCTACAAGCAGATCAGCGTATGATAAACGAGTGGAATCTTCGCGCAGTCCTCACTGAGATTCGATCGGAGGACGACGATCGGTGAGAGATGAGGTAGGCAAGGTCGAAGTTCGCGTCCTGCTCACCTCCTCGTCCGCCGCCATGGAGGAGCTGCTTGTACTACATCAGAGAATCCTCTCAATGGGTTCGTAACGAGGCAGGTGTCACGGATGCGTCTATGCGATGCCAAGCCGCACGATACCAACAAGCCAGGACACTCTGAAACTATATAGTCTTCGGGCTGTGGATGTCTGTGTCCTCCATCACCGGCGGGTGACGGGTGTACCCTCAGCGCTCAGACACCAAGCTTTTGGACATCGCACAATTCCCCAGCTCTCCGTTTATAACCCACCCGATACGCTTGAGAAGCACAATGACACACTCCAGCTTGAGCTCTGTCCCTTCATCCAGAAGGGTATGCCTGCGGAGATGGCACCACAGACACACCCCAGGAGACGTGCTTGACCCAGACGTTCAGCCTGCCCGATGAACCTCGCGCCTTTCGACGAGCTTCTCCTGCACGAGGCATCCATTCGTCTCACTCATGATCACCTCTCCGGCCACGGTTCCCTGCCTGAAATGCCCCATGTCGCCGCACTCCGCAGGGGCAACCGACTCAGGGACAGCGCCGTTGAAGCTACGCGCTCACGCTCTTCATACGATACAGCCGCTTTCTGCCATTACACCGCCCGCTTGCGATAATGATCATCGCGCTCCACATCATGACCCTCGAGCTCGGTCACGACATTCGTAAACAGCGTTTTCAGAGTGGTTGACATTTCGGTGCGCACGTTCTTCTTCTCTGTGTTGTAAGGTCCCGGGTCCCTCGAGCTTTGGCATATTTTCTGAGTCTCTACATGTCGCAATGACGACGTTTGCAGCCGAACGGAGCAACTGCTTCGTGAGCTCGAGTCCGATACCTCGAGAAGAAGTAGAGATGATTGGTGAGGTCGGCACCGTTCTATGTCATCTTCACTGGCAGACTCACCCAGTTATCAACCAGATGTTGGTTTCGGTGGACATAGTTCGCACTGGGTCGTTCCTTTGTGTGCAACACCCTGCATTCACAGCTGCAAGGCATGGGACACGGGTGACCCTTCGATATCGGGCACAATAAGACCCTCATGCATGCGCTGGGGTGTAAGTGCTTAACGGTGATTGTGAACCCAATACCCCATTGCCCGCAAATTCAACTATACACTTGCGTCAGCTAACAGGTGTGCATTTTGTGCTACATACACTTCATTCATCTATGATTGCTACTCCCTCCGACGGAGAGGGCAGTGTTTCTGCAACAGCAATTGCGAACGTCAGTGCGTTCGCTTTCTCCGTACCAACAACGGAAAAAAAAACCACGCACCATCGAGCCGAGCAAGCGCCTCCATGTCACCGGCATGCAGGTACGTGTGGACGCGCACACCCACATGCGTTGCGACTGGCTGCAGACGACGCTCCTTCACAGGCCCCGAGACACGCGACCAAAACGCATCCTCCGCCATGCAGGGCACATCGCCGATCTTGCGGGCGATGGCAATGTAGCGCAGAGAAGGCAAACAAGTAGCAAGGCGCAAGGGCCAACGAACAGTCATGGCAGCTCTGGAGAGATTCCGAGAAGTGATGCACACTCGGATACAAATTATGTCGAGCGTGCTCAGAATCAGAGGTATCTTCTCCTGTTTCAATGTTGGTGTCAAAACACGCAGATGTGTACGCCACAGTGATGGAATCTCACCAGCCATTGTGCGAGATGCGTTCCACGCTTCCGAGGCGTCAGACGGAGATTGAGGTTGAGATATCTGAGTCTCGCGGCACCAGTTGCCATCAAGGACATCCAAAACTTAGCGTCCGAGGACTTGATTGTCACTGACAATACACGAGGAGTGGTCTCCCGAATGGTGTTGACCATTACGATCTGTTCCTCGGAGTTGGACTTGTAGTTATCCTCGAATTCCAACGAGTGAACAGGACAGGTTATCCTCTGATCCCAGTCTAACGTCGAAGTCCACGGGCGACCATGCCCGATGTAGACGTAATCCAAGCTATCCCAGCACCGCGTTTCCGACTCCCTTGGCAATGTTACTGTCCTGATGCTGAGTTTCCTGACATTGGGGAAAGCGCGTACCAATTGGGCCATTGACAATTTGCTATGCTTCAAGCGGAGAACGCGGACTGTTGGCCACCGCCATCGCTCGTCCCATGGCATATCCATCCATTTAGGCCAGCAAGAGTGGGCCAGTTCCAGGACCTGCAGGTTTTGAAAAGGAAGGATGGACACAAAGATCTGAGGTGTAGGTTGTTGATTGCTACAAGCGCGGTGCAGGACGAGTTTGCGGAGCCCGCTTCGCATCCCTCTCAGCATCTCCACGGCTTGAGAATCTGCCTCATGCAGTTCCAGCTCCTCAAGGCTGGTAAGTGAGGCAATGGCGTCTCCAATAGGGGATCCCTTCCGTAGTAGGAATTCAACGCAGTCAATAGAAAGGAATTCGAGGTTGAGGGCATGCGTGATCAGCTCCGCAAGACGAGGAACATCCGAAAAATTGCCCCAGGGAGCAGTCTTTTGTTCGGACTTCACGTCAAATGCGGACATGGCAACGTCAAGCCTCCGCACCCAATTCCAGCAACTTGGAGCGCCATCGAACATTGAATCGCAGAACTTGCCAAGTTGCTTTGTAGATGTCAGCCTGACTGACGAGAGCGCATGCTGTTTCGCAAACGAATGAATTTGTCGACACGTGAGGGAAAGGGCAAGAGCATCTTTTGACGAGAGCAGAAATGTGATCATAAAGAGAACGTCCAGGTCCAGACTGATGCTGCTTGACATGGTGGTTTGTGGCAGGGAGAGGAAGTGGAGAGGTGCCACCGTGACTTTGCCGTCACATCACAAATACTGTTGAAAGACAACTTTTCAGTGATTCTTGCGCTACGTACACAGCACGAACTGCACCCCACAGTTGGCACTTGGGAACAAGTCATGGGAAGCATGCGCTCGATGTCGGATTTCCGGCCGTTGAGTCAGAGTAAGTAGTTGCTAAGCTAGAGCACCCCAGGTAGTTATACGAGCATCTCGAAGGCGGGCTCCTTTGTAGTAAGTTTGCATCTGCTGGCATAGGACCCCCGCGAATCAACCAAGAGCTCCGATCCTGGCGACGACATTTCTCGGGGATGGGCATCAGGAACTTGAAAACCCCACTTATGCGATTATCTAATCTCTTGTTCATGTGGCGGCCGTCACGGTAGGCTGGGGCCTCGGAGTAGATCAGGCCCTTACCACCCATCCAAGTCCTTCGTCTGCGACAATGAGCAAGCTTCCTAGAGAACTCCCGGAGGATTTACAGTGCCATTCCGAGCAATTCCTGCACCTCAACAGTGCCTATCAGATATGTTTGCGCCTCGAGGAGGACATCGAGGCCGACGCCACCCCCGCACAAAATTCCAAAGAACAAATGATGTTTTGTCGCATTCTCGGCTACCTTCTAAGTTATGGCCCGAATATCAATGCACGGGTCTCAGTTTCCAAGGAAATTATATCGTGCGAAGACAAAATGGCGCTAGTTCAACTCGGGAAGATGTATTTCGACCACTACGTCCGAGCCTGTATGTATCTCGGCATTTGTTTATTCAGCTGGCGTACATCTAAATAAAAATATTCCCAGTTCGATCCAGCAAAGGACCGACACCCACGCCTTCAAATCACACGTCACGTCCCTCCTTCGACACGATGGCAGACATGATTAAGGATTGTTTGGAGGAGGCACCGCAGGGTCATTCTACTGCAAAAAATCAAGTCAGTTTCGCCTTATTTCAATCAATCACGTTCACTAACTCCGGCCATTGTGAAGGCCCTTGTCCGTGACGGGTTTCGGTGTGTGGTCACCGGCGCCTATGACATTCCCTCCGCCGAGAAGAGTAAAGAGTTGTCAGGCAGAGCCCTAAGTGAAGGGGCTAACTTTGTATACACGGAGTGCGCTCATATACTGTCTGAGTCAACGAATTTGAATGCCACGAATTCAGACGAGGTACTTCTACCCACCGATTTTCTGCCAAATATTCATTTGCTCTTTTCAGGCCGATTATGCTGCTACGGTCTGGAGTATCATGAATACCTTTAGTAGCCGTAAAAAGCTATCCGATGACTTGAACGGTGTCAAGGTCCATCGCCTGGAAAATGTCATGACATTGGAGTACAACGTGCATCGTAGTTTCGATGCTTTGGCGATTTGGTTCACTGCAACAGTACGTGATTATACTTTCCCTTCTGCACAAGGCAGTGACAAAAAAAAAGATAGAAAACAAAAAATAAATATAAGCTGGAAGGTAGATCTGATATGTACCTCGGATTCGGACGACTTCCAAAACATGTCACCTTTACCACGACCGATCCAGAACTCCTCCCGGTCCCGTCGCCAGATTACCTGGCCCTTCATGCAGCATGTGCCAAGGTAGCTCATCTTTCTGGTGCTGCGAAGTACATCGACAAAGTGTTGGAAGACCTCGAAGAAATGCCCGTGCTCTCGGAGGACGGTAGTTCGGCCAGACTGCTCGAAGACGCACTTCTCCACGCTAGCAGCCGTTCTCCTGTTTGGGTTTGAAATAATTAGAAGGTGTTGACCAGCATTTTTCCGGGGTGGGTCATAACTCAGTGACATTCCTTTTTTTTCCATCAGCAGACGGGTCTGCGAATTACGTCGGTTGTTGATATTACTGCATGTGAGCACTGTACACAATTTTATAACCAATAGAAACAAAGGGAGATTGCTGAGCTTCATGCTTCATGAAGTCGACAGGACGTTCTGTGCGCTTGTCACGCTACGGGCGTTCCGCACCATCTATGTCACGATAGACTCAAGACTGCTCGAGGTCTGCATAAACTGTCAGAGCACGAATCCCTATAACTTTGGCGATCTCTTCCTGAGCCTTACGCTGCATTGCGCCTCCGGAAACAACATCATCGCAAGGAAGAAAATTTGCAAAGATGACCATGTCTGGAGAGCAATCAGTCTCGCAACCGTGTGTAAACCATCTAGTCTAAACGTTATACGGGCAGTTACCCACGAGGGAAAACGTAAGGACTTACCTGAATGGATAGTCGAAGCGGCACGTTTGATGTCTCTAAGGTCCGAGTCATCCACACCAACATCGTTGATATCGAGAGGTTCAAAGTGGGAAGCGGCGTACAACACCATTAGCCTGTAGAACCACATGAGCACGAGCACGTCCAATCTAGAGGAAAGTTGAATCGGCACCGAACTGCCCCGGGTGGTAGTATTATTAAGCGGGGAGGGAGGATGTAGATGTGTTGATATGGTTTGTGCATGAGCGGACCGCCGCGGCACCTTGAGGATTGGGGCTTTGCTGTATCTGTGGAGTTCCCATGCATGCTTGTGAAATGTTTCTCCTTTTTCTTCCGTGGCAAGACACGTATTACACTGGGATTTCTACGGAGTTGCAATTCGCAAACGATACAATGAATTCAGTACACTGGAGGTCTCATTGAGTACGTACATACCACAGATAATATGTTGCATGACGAATCCACCACCTTTCAATGCCGTCCTCTCATCTGCCATCACCTCCCCAAAAACCACCCACGTGGTGTTCTATAAGGGCTCTGGGACAGCGCCATAGGCGTGGCTCAACCTGTTTACTAGTGTGCATTATCACTTGCCGCCAAGTACCATATTCACTGTTGGTAGCGCATGACAACGCTCATACGTTTGTCAGTCCAGTGATCGAACCGCTGCTAGCAAGTCGAGAGGGCCTGGCGATGGTTTCAGACCGATCCGTCCACCTCATGAGATCGACATTTTCGGATCGATATGACTGGGCAATAGGTAGATGGGGGACTGTTTACAATGCGATCGAGGTCATGATCAGCGCCGTTCTCCGAGTCGATGCGTACGTAGGACACGGCTTACCGACGTACGGCCTTACGCCCATGCGACGCATCCCTCCCGCGGGACTGCCAGATTCGCATGCCGAGATCCGCGCCTCGAGCTTACGCATCAGCGCCTCATGCGCCTCAATCCTGCGCTGCGGCACGGGTTCCTCTCGTCCACCAGCTTGCGCAACTTGCGCGATGCCTCACTTCTGAGGATCTGCGTGCGAAGATAGAGATCCGACAGCGCGCGGAGGAGGTCGAGGAGCTGCGCCTGTATGTGTTTGTCTTCGGGGTCAAATGATGCTACGAAGTCGTCGAGGGTCTGCACCTGCTTGGGCTCAGATTCTGACTCGGACTCGGACTCGGACTCGGACTCGGCGTCGGACTCGGATGCGGCGTCGGGGAGAGGCGACTGAAGGTGAGGAAGATACTCGGCAGGGAATGTATCGCTCAGCTGACGGGCAGAGGTGCTCGCCGAATCGTCAAAGAGAGGTGGATCGACGTCGATCGATGTCTGTTCCACAATGAGAATCTGGTTTTCCAGATCGTCGACTTCAGCTTGCAAACAAGCGAGCTTGCCTGCATGGGCTCCGACATCTTTCAGAATGGCTAGATGGTGGACGCCAACTACAGGCAGATCAGCACCAGTGGTTGTGATAAACGAGTGAGATGTGCTCACCCTCATTCCAACGTATAGAGAACTTGATGAGAACACGTGTCGGCGCTACTATAAGCGTGCGTGCATAGGTTAAGTGAGGGGGCAGACAAAAAAGGAAGGTATCGTAGAAAGTCTGCGATCCACGAGATTGCATCTAGTACAACACATTACACAACACCGTCGATCGAGTGAGAGGCGATGGCCAAGGGGCAAACTTCCCAAGTGGTGTTCTGAGACTGCCACGTTATCCATATCGGAACCTCGCGATTTACAGTCACTAACCAATATTTCTCGGGATCCATCCCAGAAACGCACGCAGACCTGCAAGGAGCCTGTTCAATCTGCGCCTCATTTTACTGCCTTGCGAACCAGGCACTATATTTCTCAATGACGTATGCCTGCAGAATGCGCATCCCGTTAGCGCACCCATCATATAGAATGATGCAACTATAACAACGCACCTCATCGAACGTAGCCTTGAAGCTAGACCGCGAGCTAACGTCGTGCCAGTATTTCTGTAACCTTTCAAAGCGCGGGGTGTGGAAGAGATCATAGAGCTTCTTCCCCTCTCCCGCAGGATACAGTACGAGATCATTCTTCAAAGCAGTGAGCGCGCGAGCAAGGAACGGCAATATCGGCAGTCGAGCACTCGCCCAGCGCGAATCCAGTCTCCGGGAGGACTGCAGTAACCTGCTCTGTGGCACTGACGAAGGCGTCTGCGGTACCCTTACCGCTCACGAATGCGGTCCACGTGGGGACGAACTTCGTGGAGACGACGTCGATGAAGAACCGCGCTTTGGCACGGAGGACGGGGTTCTGCCGGAAGTAAGTGACCATCGGGGAACGAGTCCGCGACGAACTCGATCAAGACGAGCGACTCTGTCAACTTGGTTGACTTCGGGGATGGCTGGTCCGCGGCGACCGCAGGGCCACCATATGCAGTGGGCAATGGCTGGAATCTAAGAGGACTGTCGATGAACCGCCACAGCAAGCCGAAGGTATGGTAAATACGTACCTTACTTGCCGGGTTGACGAGGGGAGCATACCAATCGGGCTTGTTCTGCAGATTGATCTGGAACTTGGTATTACGGTGCCTTGGCTTCCTCCAACGCTAGCTCAACCTAACTGGGATGGTCAAGGTCCGTCTCATATTCCTGCACTGAAACTTATGCACCCTCTGAGCATAAGGGCAGATCTAAAGAGGGAAATGATATAAGTAAGCGTCGATCCTATTCGATCCCGATCAACGGATAACAGAACTGGGCCAATGCTGGAGGGTGATCGATGGAAGGCCTTCGGCCTGCCCATCTACAGCAGTCCCCTCATATACGAGTCTGACCTGACGCGATTCACTTAGAAAGCATGTCAACCGAGGTAAGAAACCATAACCTTAAAATCGATCTTCTCTGGAGACACGCAAACGAATTAGACAAAGGCAAGATATATTTCCAACCCAACCCTAGCACTTTCCTTCTACACTCCTCCCTGGAACCAATCCTGGCGCCATTTAGACGAATGGCGCCGAATACAGGCTAGCCCTCAATCTGCACTAATCGTTGAGTATCAAACATAGTGCAACAGGAGAACCACCACATACCTTCGTCAAAACAAACCTTCAACAACGACAAACTACCCAACCTGCCTCTTCCTCTCCAAGCCAGAAATACGAGAAGGCGACGCGTCGCCGACGAACGAACGATCTCATGGGCAGACAGTCACTACTCTGTTCGGTAGGAAAGTCAACGAGACTAAACATCGGACCTTCTGTCGACCCAATCCTCCGCAACACCGGCAGACTGCAAGTCGCATAAATAGCAGTTCTCGCAAAGAGAGGAATTCCCACAAGCGACCTCGACACCGAAATCTCCAGAGTAGCCGTAACGTCAGGCGAAACAAACTTGAATGTCGAACTTCAGCACACGCGTGCGTCCTCACACGATGTTCAGTTTGAATGTCCCATCCTCCCATCGAATCTTGCTCAATGCGAGTTCATTGCCGTCGCGAAAAATCCTAGGAATTGTACCACGGCGATCTTGCCGAAATATTCAGAATCCAAGTTATTTGCCCGTGTAATATCGACCACTCAAAGCCCGAAATATGCGCCACACGGTGTGGGCCCTTTGAAGTACGAGGTATTCGCCCATGCGATCTTGCCCATGCGAAGTACGGAATATCCATGCGGGCCCTTTGAAGTACGAGGTATTCGCCCATGCGATCTTGCCCATGCGAAGTACGGAATATCCAAGACATTCGCCCTCTTGAAGTGCGAGATATTCGCCCAAGCAACCTTGTCCATGCGAAACCCAAGACATTCTCCTGTCCGATGTTGTCCATTCGAAGTGCGAGGCACCTGTCCACCGAAGCACCCACATCCAAAAGATCGGTATTCGACCCACAGACAAAACCACAATCAAGACGTCCAACCAACTCTGGGAAAGGAATATTCAACCATATATCCGCGAAACGCAAAGTACCTGTCCACCGAAGCGCCCGTATCCAAAGAACCGATATTCGACCCACGGAGACCACGACAACCAAGACGTCCGACCAACTCCAGGAAAGAAATATTCAACCATAGATCCGCCCGGCCACGACATTAATCCAGAGACCTCCAGAGACCTCTTGAGACGCCAAACGAGCTTGCAACGACACTGAAATGACCAACTCCGGGAAAGGAATATTCAACCACATATCCGCGAAACGCGAGGGACCTGACCATAACAACCAAGACGACCGACCAACTCCGGGAAAGAAATATTCGCCCGTATCCAAAGAACCGATATCACTCCAGAGACCTCTTGCGACGACGCCGAACCAGCTTGCAACAACAACGAAACGAGTAGACGAGTTCGACCGCGATAATATTCAACGCTTCATCGCTTCCATCATGCGCCCAAAGGGAAAACCGAACGGCTCACAACCCATTCGACGAAACACCCCACAACACCGACATGTCAAAAACTCTCAGGACCACAAAGACGAACGATCCTATCCCTACTCCTACCATGTATGCCGCGTGGTTAGTATCCATCCCATAGACCAAAATGGAAAGACTTGGCCACGACCCGCAACCCACAATTCGGTCGGCCAGATAATGGCGACTCCAGTTGACGTCCTAGGACCGTGCTTGCATGAGCGACGAAGACTCAGCGCAGACGCCCTCCTTTTATGCTGGTCAGAATCTCTAGAATGTTCTGCTGCCAGCATTGTCGAGAGAGCTCTGGTCGAGTCTCCAACGAATCGGGACTGATCCAGCAGCATCGGACCTTGAGCCTCAGACAGAACGAGAGGGTCCAAGACCGAAGACATTATTCAGCATCCCGACACGAGCAACGAAGTGAACGCGGACGACATCACAGGCGAGACTTCGGCGTCGAGGTCCAGTCGGGTCGGGCTGTCCCGAAGTCATGTGACTAGAATGTGACGTTTGAGTCACAACCTCCGCCGTGACATTCGCTTGTAGCCTGTGCCACCAACGTTGGCGGACATATCATCGGGGACAAGTTTTTAGTAGGCGGGTCATTCGTGCGGAAATTGATAGGAGGAGCTCATTTTGACTTTCAGTAGGTCGCATCTGTTGTGTCGTGTTCCCGTTTGACCGTCTTCCACTGTTAAGCAGGAGCGACACGCGTGAAAAGATTATTTCTGCTGCGTTGACTGTGTTGAATGGAAGCATTGCGTCAGGAAATACTGCCTCCAAGCGGCGTCGAATTTGCTGCTTGCCTCAAACTTTGCCTGGATTCAGCAATCCGACCATTGCAGTCCTTTTCCAACATGAGTAGACATGGACGGGGTGCGCATCATGACCTTCAATTGCTAACTTTTACTGACCGTATGTGCAGGCGACTGAAGGAGTATAAAGACACAGTTGGTGTCTTCATATTCACTCTTGATCTGATCACGAGGAATTATCCTGTGATCACTGCGGTTGAGGGCCTGTCTTACGACTGCCTCGCCATCACAGCGTGCTCGACCGCGCTGGGCGGTGTCGTTGTCCTGGCTAGCAATTCCATTATATACGTGGATCAGTCCTCCCGCTGGGTCGTGTTGCCTGTCAATTGGCTAGCCACCACGCTTGAGCGACATGTCCATGCCGGTGCTCACTGCTCATACCGCAATACTTCCAACTGGCGGGTAAGTGCTTAGAGATGGCACAGTCTATTCCGTAGAAGTCATCGTTGACGGGAAGACGGTGTCACGGCTGTCAATGGCGTCGCCCATGGCAAGGACAACGATTCCTGCATGCGTCAGGAGAGTCGAGGACAACTATCTGTTCATTGGGAGCATTGTAAGCCCTTCTGTATTGTTGAAGACTATTCGGGTGGAAGAGGATATCCCTGAGGAGGATGTGGAGATGACGTCTGCGCCCGCCATGGTTGTTGACTCGACCGATGGTATGGACCTCGACGATGACGATGGTACGCGGAAATTTCCCGACACAACTGTCTTGAGTCTAATTTTGTCTTAAGACCTATACGGAAGTTCCCAGGTGCAAGAAGTGCTGTCCATCAACGGCAATGGCAATCTCAATGGCGTCGCTGTTACTTCGAAGAGGCGGACGGTCGTGCATCTATCTCTGTGCGACTCGTTATCTGCCCACGGGCCCATCTCTGATATGACTTTTGCGTGAGCCAAGAACGGGGTGTGTATCCTGCTACTGCGTCACGACCTTTTGAACTAATGATCAAGATTTAGGATCGGTACGTACCAGAGCTTGTTACTGCCACTGGCGCTGGCGAGCTGGGTGGTTTTACTGTCTTTCAGGTGTGCTCTCTGGGGATGAGTCACAATGGTATCTTAATTTTGTCCATAGCGGGATTTACCGACACGCACCAAACGCAAGTTGCACGCCATAGGCGGCGGTCGCGGAATGTGGTCTGTGCCCGTGCGACAAGCTGTCAAGGTTAACGGCTCGACTTATGAACGTCCCGTCAATCCCTTCTACATGGAGAACGACTCCATTATCATCAGTACCGATGCGAATCCTTCGCCGGGCGCTTCTCGAGTAAGCTCTCGCCCCTAGTCGTGTCGAAGAAAACCAATACCGCGTACGGGCAGATTGCCTCCCGCCACCCTCAATCAGACATCTCGATCACCCCACGTATCTACGATTGGCGCGGCACCATTCTTCCAAGGGACTGCTATCTTGCATGTGATGGTCAATGTCACCAACGTCATCCGAGTCTTAGAGCCTGGTGCGTCGCGCCTCTTCCGCGTTGTTCGAGTGCTCATCATATCGTCATCCACAGATGGGACGGAACGCCAGGTTATTAAAGATTGGGATGGGAATGTACCCCGGCCAAAATCAGGTTCTGCAGTATCTGCGACCCTTTCATACTCATCATCCGAGAGGATGACTCCATCGGTCTCTTCATTGGAGAGACCGACCGAGGGAAGATTAGGCGCAAGGACATGTCTCCGATGGGCGAGAAGGTAGTTCTCTGCACATCGGTGATGCGCCAGCATGCTGACAAGTCGTGCAGACGTCTCGATACCTGGCTGGCTGTTTCTTCACAGATACGACCGGCGTGTTTCAAAGCCACGCTAACATGGAAGTTGCTGGGACTGAGAACGTTACGTCAACTCTGCAGGCCGCTATGAATGCTGGGAACAAGAGCCAGTGGTTGCTCCTATGCCGGCCACAGGTGCGGTCGAGGTATGAAAGCCTAATTGTTGCACTTCATGAGCGCTGACATAGTGCCTTGCAGATCTGGACGTTGCCCAAGCTCACCTCTGTTCCGCCGAACACAACTGACGACCATGTAGGGGCCGAGCCTTGCGGAATGGATCCCGCACTTCCAGCTCGACGGTCATCTGCCGTGGAAATTCATCCCGCGAGATAAATCTTATTCGAATGTCGTGTACGACGCTTCGACGTCACTGCTCGTTACTGCATCCTCGTTGCAAAATAAATTTGCTTCATATGATGAAGATGGCAACATTGTGTGGGAGCCAGATGGTGCGAGTTCATTTCTGGCACCTTGTATGGCGTTACGTCTAACAGTCGTATCTGTGGTGAAAGCATCGAACATATCCTTCCCGAGCTGTTAATGCTCTATGCTGGAGCTCATCTCACCCGAAGGCTGGATCACCATGGATGGGTGAGTCTCGCGTGTGCTCTCCTGTGTGTATCTGGCTGAAGATGTTGCCCAGATACGAGTTTGCTCCCAACACATAGCCGTCGGGACAACAGTGAACCGAGGAGAGGATCTGGCGATCAAGGGTGTCGTGAGTGTTCACATAAGCGCATGCGATGACGTTCAGTCCTGATGAACAATGTCGCAGGTTTACATCTTCGAGATCGTGGAAGTTGTTCCTGACCTAAGCTCTAGCCATAAGCGCTGGTATAAGCTGAAGCTTCGGTGTAGAGATGATGCGAAGGGTCCCGTCACAGCGCTTTGTGGGATGGATGGCTATCTTGTCTCCTCGATGGGGCAGAAGGTGCGCTTCGTATCTTCGTTCTAACCCAAGCTCATAACCCAGGTTTCTGTAGATATTTGTCAGGGCATTCGACTTGGATGAACGGCTTGTCGGTGTCGCCTTCTTGGACGTCGGTGTCTATGTCACATCCCTTCGCACCATCAAGAACTTAGGCTTACTGCTCTGTGCTTTGCGTTTGATCTTTCCTGCGGGTTTTATCGTTGGACGCGAACCTACCGCACGGCACAGTCTGATATTCGTGCGTATGATGCTGACTCCGCGGCCGAGTTTTTTGGTGCAATCGCAATCGCAGTCCCACTGGCGGTAGTTGTCCTTGTGGCGCCCACCCTCAAAGCTGCTGATTGCGGTGATGTTCACCGTGCAAAGTCCTGCGACCCGTGTGCGGCCTATTCATTGTGCAGGCAATAGTCCGCGGCGGGCTCGATCACAGAGCGCTTCGTCGCATTCCTCAGCGGGCTGGCGGTGGTCAAGTGCTCTTCATGCGGCGTGTGGTGAATGACAGCCAGCTGGATGCGTCGGCACTGTACGCGCCGGGGAGAGGTCGATGCACCACCTGTGAATCCACTTCGCGGGCGGTGTGGAGGTATTTGGCGTACGATTCGGCTTTCGTCGTGTTCTCGTCATGGACGAGGATGACCGCGTGAACAGCTCTGGGGCACGCGTCTTTATCCACATGAGACCTTTCCGCCATGCTCGTCTTCTCTCACCGGTGCCTTCAGCCATCATACTCACCAAGTCGCCCAATACCAACAAGAAGAGGACTTCCTGAGTATACAATTGTCAGTCCCTGTGCTCTGTGTCTTCCTCCACCATATCTTGTGAGTTGCGAGCACCGAGCGGTGTCGAAGTCCAAATAATAGTACTCCATTAATATTATCTCTTCATCACCAAGTTCCGTATAGTTCAGTTGGGAGCGTGGGTCACTGCGGTGAACAGGTCAGCCGTTCGAGTCGGCTACGGGGCATAGTCCGTTCCTTCGCTAATTTTAAATTTTTCGTCCGAAGATGTCCTCACATGAGTCACATCTGATTGGTGGTCTGTGTGCTCGTCGTGCACGTGTCGGGTGTTAGCCAGCTGGAGGTGTCGTCGCCGTAAGTGCCGGGCAAGGGTTAGATCTGTGAGTTATCTCCATGTCTGAGGGCCTCTGTCTGCAGGACGTGCATGGACACATTGTCGCCGTCGATGTGGAGGCATTTTGCGTATGATCCGGCTTTCGGTACGTTCCCTTCTCCATCCTCTCCCGAGCCTTCTGCACCTCCGCATATCCCACATCCCCCGGATACGCCCACAAATCCAGGCGTAATAGCACACTCTCGCGGCGCCCCGCAGCAGCAAACACGACATGCGGAAGTAACGGCTCCCTGCCCAGCTCCTTGAACAGATGCATGAATGCCCATACCTCCGCCCCCAGCCCCTCGATATACCGCCATACAGCATCAGCTCACGGACCTCGCGACAGCCCTAATCAACGAGCGCATGCGTTCTCCCCATTGACTGGCCACTAGACGCCGCACATTCACTGCGTCCCCGTCTCGATGTACCGTCAACTAGCACCCCCCGTCGAACTCCCTCCGCCTGTCAAAACTCTACCCCCCACGCGCATGCACCGGAGATGCAGAAGCTGACGGTCACCGGAGCTCCGAGCGGGCAGACAAAAAAGGAAGGTATCGTAGAAAGTCTGCGATTCACGAGATTGCATCTAGTCCAACACAACACCGTCGATCGAGTGAGAGGCGATGAAAGTTGGCCAAAGGGCAAACTTCCCGAGTGGCGTTCCGGGACTGCCGCGTTATCCATATTGGAACCTCACGATTTACAGTCACAAGCCAATATTTCCATCCCAGAAATGCACGCAGACCGACAAGGAGCCTGTACATGGAGATGCCTGTGGAGATGCTCGTATCACTTTCTGAAATGCTATAACTAACTCTGGCTACTAGTATCGCTTTCTGCGCTCCGCAACGCGTGTGTCAAAAGCCTGTATTTGACTGCTTGTAACTCAAAGGCTTGAGCTCCGCATACACTTTACTGTCAGCTGTCGATGACCTCCCCACTGGCAGGAGTTCTCGCCGGAACGGTCTCTAGTGGCTACGTCCCGTGCACCAGCCAGATCTCTCCAGCGGAACGCGGCTTCTATTGGACTGGAAGACTTGAATCATACGTGGACTCCACTGCGTCTCGAAGATGCTTGCACGCCCATCCACGTCCTCGAATGCGGCTGGGATCCAGGTTCACGAGGGTGACTGACATGCCAGTGAGTCCTACCGTACACTACATACAAATAAAGAGTAGCAACGAGTAGACTCCCCTTTCACGATCGTCCCGTCCATCAGCGCCATCTCTGATGACACGAATAGAGCGACGGACTGCAAAGTTCGACAAGCCGGGTCTTCCGCCGCCTCTGAGACACTCCGGTCAGCGCGCAATTGAAGAAGGTAGACTTGTCGGGGCTGCAGCATGTCATCTCCAGCACTGCATGACCATCCATCCACGCCGCGAACCAAATAGACGGAGGCAAAAAGGGATTTGATCGGAGGCCGAAGATCTGAGATAAATAGTTGGAGGCGATCGTGCTTCAACCCAATCACGCACACGGGTAACGGACTTCAGCGTTTCATCTGGCCTCGGGGCGCTCGGTGTGGCTCAACCTACCCATTCTCACTTGCCGGTACCTGAAATTGAAAGGCGAAATCAGATCCACCATTCCGCACGATGTGGCGCGCGCTCATATCTCTCTCGGTGGTCGGGTGGACATGCTCGCAAGTCAAGAGGGCCCTGCGACATTCAAATTTTTCAATTCGGATCGATCCCGACGACGACGAGACGGAGTAATTGGTGGAGGTGGCACTGCGATCGACTTCAGCGTTGTTCTTCGAGTCGCAGCACTGGCCGAGATCCACGCCTCTAGCGTACGCATCAGCACTTCGTATGGGCCAATTTGCCATGTGGGTTGCGAGCCTTGCCCGCCATCCTCTCGAGCTCGTGAGCCAGCATGCCGCGGAAGGCCACGCGTGACGCGTGAAGGCTGGGATGCGAAAGCAGGCGGGCGTACTTGAGGAGCTGCTCACGCAAGCCCGCCTGTTGGGCATTCAAGCATGCTACTATGTCGTCCCCGGTATCTAGGGGCTACTCGGGCTCAGACTCGGCGGAGAGGGGACCCCGGACTGGCCGCGTCCATGTCAGCAAGCGAGCAAGCGGTGTCCTTGCGCTCCCCGAGCTCCTTGTGGGTACGCGTGAGCTGACCTTCACTCTCGTGTGCCTCGATGGGCTCCGATAACTTTGAGTACTTGGAATGCTAGACGGCAGACGTGGCCTCAGTCCAACATTGCCCGGTGGAAGGAGCAAGATATCTGCCTCGACGGTCGACGCGACGTCCTACAGATAGATTAGCGAGTATGATAAACGAGTGGAATCCTCACGTAGTCCTCATGCCTGCAGCTGAGATTCGATCGGTGCGTGAATATCAGCGATAGCTTGAGGAGAGATGACGTTGGCAAGGTCGAAGTTTGCGATCCTCCACGGGCGTGCGCGTTGACTCGGATGTGATGCCAACCAACACTTTCCGAAGTATATGTAATCTTCGGGCTATGCACGTCTGTGTCCTCCAACACCCGTGAGCATGTGTGACATAGTAGTATTGTGTTTTGTGTTCGAGTTAATACAGGATAACGTAGGTCCCGTTTAGCTCAGTTGGTTGAGCGTGTCCTCATTGCGACAGGGTCAGTCGTTCAAATCGGCTGATGGGAATGTACTAGACCCATTCTGCTTTTGTCAGGGAAAGCTGTGTCGGTGTACTGTGCAACAGCGCCCGGGTATCATTCCTTTTGGACATTGAACTGCACATTCTCCGCTTGCATAGATGGTACCCCAGATGTTCGCGAACACACCCCGCGACTTGGAGCATGACTCGGACGTTCAGCTTGCTCGATGAACCTCGCGCCTTTCGACGAGCTTCTCCCGCCCGCAGCATCCATTCGTCTCACTCACGATCACCTTTACGGCCGCCGTCCCCGACCTCGAATGCCCCCGTCGCTGCGCCCCACAGATCACAGCGCCATCGAACTTACGCGCTCACACTCTTCACACGATACAGCCGCTCTCTGCCGTTATGCTGCCCCCTTGCGATATCGTCACGCTCATCAAGACCCTCGAGCTCGGTCGTGGCGTTCGTAAACAGGTTGGTTGACCATTCGCCATAGACCGGTGCGCATGTCCTGTTCTTCTCCGCGGGCATGGCCGGTTTCTCAGCTTACTGCTCTGTGCTTTGCGTTTGATCTTTCCTGCGGGTTTTATTATTGGACGCGAACCTGCCGCACCGCGCAGTTTGGTATTCGTGCGTATGATGCTGACTCCGCGGCCGAGTTTTTTGGTGCAATCGCAATCGCAGTCCCACTGGCGGTAGTTGTCCTCGTGGCGCACACCCTCAAAGCTGCTGATTGCGGTGATGTTCACCGTGCAAAGTCCTGCGACCCGTGTGCTGCCTATTCATTGTGCAGACAGTACTCCGCGGCGGGCTCGATCACAGAGCACTTTGTCGCATTCCTCAGCGGGCTGGCGGTGGTCAAGTGCTCTTCATGCGGCGTGTAGTGAATGATAGCCAGCTAGATGTGTCCGCACTGTACGCGCCGGGGAGAGGCCGATGCACCACCTGTGAATCCACTTCGCGGTCGGCGTGGAGGTATTTGTCATACGACTCAGCTTTCGTCGTGTTCTCGTCATGGATGAGGATGACCGCGTGAACAGCTCTGGGGGCACGTGTCTTTGTCCACATGAGCCCTTTCCGCTTTTCTCACCAGTGCCTTCAGCCATCATACTCACCAAGTCGCCCAATACCAACAAGAGGAGAATTTCCTAAGTGTACAATCGTCAGTCCCTGTGCCCTATGTCTTCCTCCACCATGTCTTGTGAGCACTGAGTGCGGTGTAGTCCAAATAGTACTCCATTACAGCCGTTTGCGGAACATAGGGCGCGAGCCCGAAATTTCTATTTTCGGTCACATTTTCTATCGTACACTGTATCCGCTGTAGCTCTCTTAATACCCATTCGATTCCTTTGAAAATTAGTGCAATAGAACGGGATTGTGAATATGCAGGGGATGACCTGATCAGATTTTCAAAAAGTGTGAATAGAGCATATCTTGAAATACTGAGCCCATTTGCACAGTATTTCCGAGTTTCCGAGACAAATATGCCACACCTATCTAACGGGTGATCACTACACTATGTCAGGGTCAATACCTACAGGACCACTGCTTTATTTTGTGTGCATTCGAGCTGTGTTCAATTGTCCCGCTACGTCCACTGTACAGCGGTTCCGGAGTCCTCCCGCCAGAGCACGTGACAATGGTTATCTCAGTGTCATCGCCGCTGCTCTCGCGCATCTGTTTCGTTCGTTCGGACTGTCTACATTCTGTATTTCTATGCACTAGCTTCTGTGTACTAGCTTCTTCATGCGATGCCTCGTCTCAGGGCGAGGATTCCAGTACGGCAACATTTCTCAAAGGATCTCAAAAGGCGGGTTATTTATCAAGCCTACACACTGGGATACACATCGACACAGATCGCCGTCTCCCTTGACATGCCAGTCCATGTCATCCAACGCATTCGGAGGCTCTGGAGTCAGATTGGGGAAGTTTTTCGGGACAGAACTGGGTTGGGCAGGTCATATATGCTGTCTTCACAGGCCGTGGAGGTGAGCAAACTTCGAACCGATATGCTTGGCCTGTTTAGACGGCTCTGATGACATAAATCAGTTCATGCTACTCTGCTCGACAACTCACCGGATATTTACCTACGTGAGATACAGGAGGAACTTCAGGCACAGCACGACATTGATGTGCCGCTATCTACAATCTGGAGAACATTGAAGCATCTAGGTATCTCTTCGAAAGCTGTGAGTTCCATGTTTTGTCTGAATCCCACTTGAATTCATGGTTCTATGACAGTTGTCCAAGGCAGCCACTGAGCGCTGTGCAGAGACCCGCCACAATTTCATTTACGAGATCGGAGGTGAGGCACCCGATCGCATCGTCTGCATCGATGAAAGTGCGGTGAACATCTTGACGACCTATTGACAGCGTGGTTGGGCATACAAGCATGTGCGTGCTCAGAAGCGTTGTTGCTTTGTTCGAGGAACACGGTATGTTGTTATGTGACTGCGAACATCCTTCAAAGGCTGATCTCTCTGTATTTTTCAGCTACTCCCTTCTTCCAGCAATCACACTTGATGGCATTATATTTAGCCACATCAAGGTCGGAGGCTATAATGGCGAGCAATTTATTGAGTATATTCAGGGACTGCTCGAGGTAATGAACCTTTACCCTGGGCCACGGAGCGTGCTGGTTATGGATAATTGTCGCATACATCACGTCGTTGGCATCGAGGAGCTATGTGAAGCCCGGTAAGTCAGTGATACTTCAATTCTAATTGACGACACTTACTGTTATGATATATAGCGGTGCAAAGCTCATTTATCTCCCGCCTTACTCCCCCGACCTCAATCCCATTGAGGAGTGCTTTTCCTTTGTCAAGCAGTGTATACGGCGTCGTGGACAAGAGTTTTGTGATCTCGTTGAGCTCGGAGATGTGGCTGGCCCATACTTGTTTCTGTACGCTATGCTTGATAAAGTGACACCTGCAGCTGCTCAGGGTTGGTTCCATCACTCAGGATATATCTGATCCTGATGTCTACAACACATGTGTCTCAATTGGGATACTTTTTTAGCCCACCCGTGCTCTCTTCTTGCCCGATGCCCTGTCCACTTGCCGAATTTCAGCTCTTACCTGGTTCAACAGAAATCTGGAATTTCCACTCGACAGCCCAAATTCTGAGCTATGCAAATGCGCCTCATCTAGGTCTACAAGCTCGTCAATATTGTAGAAGTCGGCATCTTCAAAGGTACTGATATAGTTGTCTAATCTTCATTTCGGGTGTTGACTGTGAAGGTTCTGAAGAAAGTCCCCGACAGAAGCGTACGATGTAGCATCTTGTTCTGGTGGGTCACTAGAGAGGATATCAGTGGCAGCTCACTTATGAGTTATGCCATTAGACGGCATTACTGATGGTGTTGGCGGAATATTAGGTACTGCTCCGTAGGGCATGCCCATATATGGTGACCACTGATACCCAGGTGCCATTGGCATTGGCATTCCATACAGATGTCCACTGGTGGAGTCCTCTGGTTTGTTAGGCATCATTCCTATCCCATGTCTATGAAAATTGGCAAACAGCTCTCCCTTTGGAGGTGATCTCAATGTGACACCGTGAGTGCCGGTTGCCTGAGAGCAATTAGACCTTGTGTGTAGATCAGATTGCAATGCTAACCAGTGCAACAGACCAACCACAATGCTGGTTGAATGTGAGATTGACATGATTACCACCCTGATCGATTTTACACCACTTGGAGGTGCCGCAACGCTGACAATTATTTAGGGTCTTCTCGAGTTGAGTGAGGAATCCTTTTTCTTTCTCTGCCATTCCTTCATCCTCTCCTTCATCATTGGGATCACTGTTGTCGAGGTTCAATAGTGCCGGCTTCTTTCCTTTTGGTTTTGCCGCTGGCCTCTTAGAATGGGCACGAAGGAACTCCATGTACTATGAATGGTGTACCGATGAGCTGTCATTGTGCATGATACAGTTGGTGGAGACTTACCTGTTCAGGCACCACAATTTTAACAGGTACTGTCACTCCCTTCTTCTTGTTTTCGGCATCGACAATATCTCCAATGCATTTCGCCCAGTCCTCCTCACTACCAAGATTGATGGCATCAGACTTCACTGTCGCTGTCCAGAGTTTGTATGACAGTGATGGTTTGCGAGTGACATCAACACATCCTATCGTCTCATGTATGATCTCCAGTGCATCTTCAAATGATGTTCCGCGTGTGAGACTGAGCCGTTGGGATCCTTCACTTCTAGCCTGTGAGACCAGAAGCACAATTTCTACTCATCGGTGAGTTTAGGGTCACATTCTGCGAACCGACAAACTCACTTTTGTCCTTCGTGCTTTCAGAAGACTCTTCTACAACTTCCTTAGCAACTGGTTTCTTTTTTGATATAGTGGAGGCTTTCTTCAATGCCTTGTGTGGCTTCGACTTTGGTTTCGGCTTGTCGACAGCTTTGACTGAGGGAGCGTCTGAAAGCTCATTGGGCAAAGGATCGTCAACCACAGTTTCCTCAGCTCCATCTGACCTTTCTCCATCTGGTTGTAACATATCCTGAGATTGCTCCACCTTGGTATTGGAAAGGGCCAGTCACCGCAGTTTGCGAGCACTGGTAGACTTACTGTTACCCATGAGATATTGCGGCCTGACCAAAAATGGACAGCGCCACATGTCACGTGCTCTGGCGGGAGGACTCCGGAACCACTGTACAGTGGATGTAGCGGGACAATTGAACACAGCTCGAATACTGTTGAAGGTATGCGGATTAGCAATCCGGCATCTACGGAAAGGTCCGAGAAAGGTCCGTAGGGTTAGGATTAGTAAGGACAATGTCTCGAGAATGGTCTGGTAGTTTCTAGTCTTTTAGTTTACAGTATATAAGGAGCTGAACAGGCTCCTAGGTAGCTAACTAATTTCTATCCTCTTCTACTCATAGCCCAAGGCGCAGTTGCTTACAAATACACACAAAATAAAGTGGTGGTCCTGTAGGTATTGACCCTGACATAGTGTAGTGATCACCCGTTAGATAGGTGTGGCATATTTGTCTCGGAAACTCGGAAATACTGTGCAAATGGGCTCAGTATTTCAAGATATGCTCTATTCACACTTTTTGAAAATCTGATCAGGTCATCCCCTGCATATTCACAATCCCGTTCTATTGCACTAATTTTCAAAGGAATCGAATGGGTATTAAAAAGCTACAGTGGATACAGTGTACGATAGAAAATGTGACCGAAAATAGAAATTTCGGGCTCGCGCCCTATGTTCCGCAAATGGCTGTAATATTATCTCTTCATCACCAAGTTCCGTATAGTTCAGTTGGGAGCATGGGTCACTATGGTGACAAGGTCAGCCGTTCGAGTCGGCTACGGGGCATTAACTTGGGGTAAATATTTTTTCGTCTGAATATGTCCTCACATCTGATTGGTGGTCTGTGTGCCTGTCGTGCACGTGCAGGTGATAGCCAGCTGGAGGTGTCATCGCTCGTTCTCTCGTTCTCTCGTTTTCTCGTTTTCTCGTATGCGTCGGGGAAGGGCTGGATCTGTGAGTTATCTCCACGTCTGAGGGCCTCTGTCTGACGTGCATGTACACTTTGTCGCTGTACATCGGTGTGGAGGCATTTCGCGTGTGATCCGGCTTTTGGCATGTTCCCTTCCTGGATGATACTGTCCTCATGGACATCTCCTTCGCGGCGCCCACCCTCGGGGCCGCCAATCGGGGCGGTGTTCACCGTGTGCATGTGCAAAGAAGTCCTGCGACCCGTGTGTGGCTGCAGGCAATGGTCCATGGCGAGCTCGATTATAGAGCGCTTCATCGCGTTCCTCAGCGAGCCGCTAGCGGCACTCAAGTGCTCGTCGTGCAGTGCGTAGTGGGTGATAGCCAGCTGGATGTGTCACGCTGTACGCGCCGGGGACACTACGCGTGAGTTATGTGATGTGCAGGGTATTAAATTCAAGTCACTGTCGGCGTTGGTGTGAAGGTACTCCTCATACGATTGGCGGCTTCCGTCATGGATGAGGCTGACCTCATGGACAACCCTTATCCACATGCTTTTCGCTACGCTGATCTTCTCCCAACGGTGCCCTCAGTCGTCGCACTCATCACGTTGAAGTGATGCTGCCAAGTTGTATGATATCATTGTATAAGTCCGGGGGACTTCCTGGATGTATAATCTTCGGGCCTTGTGTTCTGTCTTCTTTTGTGAGCGCTGAGTGTGGTAAGTCCAAATAACAGTACTGGATTAATATTTCGCTGGCTCTAGTTTTGTTGCCTGCTTAGCTCAGTTGGGAGTACGTGTGACCACGGGGACCACGTTAGACGTTCGAGCTGGTGAGAGTGCATACAGAGCTGGGCTACCTCTTTTTTTTCCGGGGAAGCTTCATAGCGGTGGATTTTTCTCTGGTTCCTTAGTCACAGTTGGCCAACATACTATAGGGATGAGGCAAAGTGTACCAGGCAGGTAGTACGGTGATAAAGAACCTCAGGTGTAACTCCTGTTTAGCTCGGCAGCACTTGGGCAGCACATCACTATAATAATGACGAGGTCAGCCGTTCAAGTCGCGGCTAACAGGATTGTTTAATGGGCATGGTTGTGTTTCCTCCCAGATGAGTCCCGTCGGCTGCGGACTGAGCAGCTCTGCCCTGAGAGAGAGCAAGATGTGTAGCTGAGCCTCTGTCGGCGTCCTCGACCCTCCACTCCCATTAATAATTGACGGGCTACAGCTAGACGCTGCACATTCACTGCGCCCCCGTCTCGATGCACCGCACCTCGTCGTCCACGCGCACGCGATCACACAGCATGTCCCCCTCGCTGTTCTGCGCATCCGCCCTGATGATCTGTGCATCCAACTCTAGCTCCGCATCGTGCGTGCACATCTCCGCAGTGCCGGGTCAACCAGCACTGCAGCACCCCCCGCCCGCTCCCGGTCGAAGTACTGGTCCCTCGCCGCCCCTCGCCGCCACCTATCAAAATTCTACTTCCCGCGCACCCGCGCACTGGTGATACAAGAGCCGAGCACAAGGACTCTGCGCCGCATGCTACGAGGTTTGCCGTGCGGACCCGGGGGAGGCGGAGGTTAGGAAGTGAGCGGAGGGGGGACGTACAGCATGGCTGGCCGGGACACGGGGAGTGATCGACAAACGTTCTTTGGGTGAGGGTATGCAGCATCTGCCTCCGCGAGTTTCATAGGTGCGACGCGTCCTGCTCATCCATTTGCGAGCGCCGTCTCTCGCGCTCGCATGCCTTTGTTTTCCCCATGCTTATCAATGTTCGCCCCTTCTTCCTACAGCGCGCAGATCCTTGGCACCCCTCCTAAGCCACAAATATAACATCAGGTCGCTCCTCGTCGCAGAATTGGACCCCGCTCATATTGATAGACCAGTGCGCACGTTCTGCCCTTCTCCGCAGGTCAGTCTACTGATTTCCGCTGTACTTTGTTTTCTACTGACTGTGAACCGAACATGTATCCGCACATCTGATTTTCGTGCGCATGATGTTGGCTCCCAGGTGCAATCTCGCGCTCGTTCTCCTCGGTGCCTTTGCGCACATTACTGTACCATGCCCGCTCTCGCTGCGATGTTCACCGTGGATGCCACTTATGCTGCCCATGCAGGTGATGGTTCGCGGCGGGCGCATACTGTGCTCGGCGATCGCGGAGCACTTTGTCGCGATATTCCTCAATGGCTCGTCGTGTGCATAGTGGGTGAGAGCCAGCTGCGCGTGTCGTCGCTGTACACACCCGGGGGGGGGAGGTCGATACACCATCATGATCTATGAGTTATCTCCGTGTCCGTCCGACGCGGGTGTACTCATTTTCGCTGGAGGCGTTTTGCGCACGAATCGGTTTGTGCGGTGTTCTGTTTCTGGATGATACTGTCCTCGTGAACGTCTCCAGTGCATCCATATCTACGTCGAGTGACCTTTCCCCGACGCTCATCTTCTCCCACCGGTGTCCTCAGCTATTCCACTCGTTGCGTCGAAGTACCGCCGCCAAGCTGTACAACACCACCCGCCAGTGGAGATATTCTACGGTACATAATCTTTTTGCTATCGGGGTTTGTGCATTGTTCACCACCACCGTATCCTGTGAGCGCAGTGGTGGTAACCGTGACATAATACGCAGGATTATGATTTGGACTAGGAAAAGGTGCGAGTACAACTCTTGTTTGGCTCAGCTGGAGGAGCGTGTCGCCACACTGACGAGGACTCGGACATCGCCTCCCCAGACGTTTGAAAACATCCCGCACAAGACATGCTTATCCACACACTTTCGGTGTACCAGACGAACCTAACATCTCTCGACGAGCACCTTCCACCAGCGGCGTGCATCTCTCTCGCTCGCCAGCCATCACTCTCGCTTGCAAATGGGCCTCTACGGCGACTGCCTCTCCAGCTCCCCTCCGTCCACCTCACCGTTCTCAAATTCACGTCGCCGCGCCGCGGGTACGCGTTCTTCACGATACGGCCGCTCTCTGCCATCATGGTGGCTTAGTTACGATATCGCAGCCCGTCGCATTCGGCACTGACCTGGAAGCGCCGTTCACGAACGTTCGAACGTCCATTTTGTGCTACATACACCTCATCCATCTATGAATGCTACTCCCCTCCGACGGCGAGGGCAGTGTTTCTGCAACAGCCATTGTGAACGTCGGTGCGTTTACTTTCTTCGTGCCAACAATGGACGAAAACACCACGCACCATCGAGCCGAGCAAGTGTCTCCATGTCGCCGGCACGCAGGTACGTGTGGACGCGCACACCCAGATGCGATGCGACTGGCTGCGGACACAGGCCCCGAGACACACGACCAAAACGCATCCTCCGCCATGCAGGGGCGCATCGCCGACTTAGTGCGTACTGCCTTCGGGTTTGTCTCCCTTACGCGATTGGCCCGAGGGGTTTTCAGCCGAGCGACGGGCGAAGCGGCTATAAGCTGTACTACCAGTATATCGAAGAGCGTATGCGGAGGAGTGTCGTCGGCCTCTTGCCGTTGCGCCAGCCGTGCCTCGTCTTCTCGCTTGCGCACGGAGACGGCGAACGTCTGTTCCACCTTGCAGCCGGTATGTGTAGCGGGCTGCTGGGATGGCGGGATGCACTTGTTCAAGCTTCAGGGCGCTGCCATATGTGGTGTTTGCGGTGGGGAGACGCTTGGATTTGTGGGCGTATCCGGGGAAGTGAGGTGCAGAGGTGCGGATACGCGAGGAGGCTCGGGAGAGGCGGGCGGCGGCAGCGGAAGAGCATGTGTGGAATGAGGCCGCGCTGAGCAAGAGGGACGCTGATGACTTGTTGCCAATGTTCTTTGCTGTACACACGTAACTATATTTTAACATTTATGTGCACGAGCAACCCCGGCCCGTCCCGTGCCCCGGATTAGGTAAGCCCTGCCGTTGGACCGTAAATCTGTCGGTGGCCAACTGAATCTTTCTTCTCAGTTTAATCTCCATGATGGACTCCCAAATGTCCTCTGACCAGACAACTCTCTCTGAGAAGTTGCAGCTCTTACAGGAGCTCAGCTATTCGGATCTTGACATGCCCTACAAAGGTTCTGGGGTTCATAGCAATAGGGAAATCCGCGAGTCGAGGACAACTTCCGATATTCACATCCTCGATGTTATCGCCATATGTCTGACCACGGGAGAACCTGGAGATGTGGTTGCGGTGGCTTTTGACAGAGAGCAACGTCTCAGCCTGGTGCTTGCGAAGAATGGTTCTCCGACCCTCGAGGACGAGCTCGCCACACAAAACCTCATTAGTGCCATTACCGATCCTGAAGTCGCGTATGCGATGGACATCTTTCACACCTTGCTCTCGCGTTGCCGGGTGAACATGGAGAAGCGGATGAGTAACCTACACCAATCCATTTCCCTCTTCGTCGTCGATCTCGATTCTGCTTTGCAGGAGTACGTACCGAAGTCTATCGAAGACGAGTTTCCCGACTCGACCCGGTTTCGGCGCGAGAACTACGGAGACATCGCGCCACCCTTTCGTACAATGCTCCAGGATCTTGTCCGTATGATCGGCGACTCATCCGCTGTCCCGTTGGTCCCGGACGACGTTGAGTTATCGCGGAGTCGATTCGGCGACCTCTATGTGGTAGCCATTGCTCTCCTGCGTTCTCGATTCCTGGGTCATCTTTGTGCAGATAAAAATCTTTTGAATGCGGCTCAAAGAGGGAGGGGGGAGAAGTTGAAGAGGCGTTTGGCCAAGGTCTGCCAATATTACGGTGGCGTCACAAAACTTATCCGCAATGCGAAGCGATACTTTCCTGATGGACATATTCCTTATCGCTGGATCAATAACCGCTTCATTGGCTCGGGAGAGGGTCAATTCGAGCTTTGCAATGACTATCTGGACGCGGTGCAGCGTGCTTTTGGATACCCCTTGTCTCCGCAGACGGTGAATGCACTGGAGCAAAGGTTCCCTGATATGCTTAGTAATTGGGCACGGCGACGCACTGTTAACACATGCGTTCACGCGGAACTTCGCATCATTCTTCACCTTAGCTCGGCATCTTCTCATCCTCGAAGAACCGTTGGACCACCGGAGCAGGAAGCTATTGGGTGCAGCAAACGGAGCTGCTTTTGCTGTGCTTTGTGGATTGATGCGTACAATGACGAGTTCAAGACGGAATGGTTGACCAGTGGATCTCATGGCAAGCCATATGCAACGTGGGCGCTTCCGGGCCCTTCATACGCGCATGCTCGTATACGAAGCGGGAAGAATGTGGTTGATGCTGCCGTCCTTGATGGCGTTTCAGTCCGCTTGACAGATACTCTGGCATGGCTCTTCCCAGGTCAGAAGAGGGTGTCCGATGAACACGTTTCCACTGGGGAGAGTTCAGACTCGGAGGGATCCGTGGAGGCAGTCATAGATGAAATCTACAGCTATAAAGAGTTCAGACTCAGAGGGATCCGTGGAGGCAGTCGTAGATAAAATCTACAGCTATAAGAAAGGGTGTTCTCGGCGGATGCGGTAGTAGATTGCATGGGTTAGTTTCTCAAAGGGCGAGTAGATACTGTTCTTCCAATCGTTCTGTTGTGTAGGCTCAGGGAATTTTTCCTTGAAGGGTGCACTCAGGCCTCGTCGGCTCCCACCCGTATGACATTGGAGAGCGAAGAGGGCACACGTAAATTTTTGTTTTCATTTTTTGTCCAAGACGTCACTATGTTCTTGCGTGTCAGGTGTCACAAGAAGCATAGCCCGGTATTTTTTGCGGAAAAACTTCTAGAAAGGGTTAAAGTAAAGCACACAGAAAAACTGTGGGAAAAGAACAAAGAATTTCTCCAGGAAAAACTGTGATTCTCGGCAGCTGATTGGACAATCACAGTATTTCCCACAAAAATTCATTATGCTTTCTTCAAAGTTTTTTCTCGCACTTTACTTTATGAATTTTCTCAGGGTTTTTCCCAGAGAAATACTTGGCTATGCATCTTGTGTGTTCGGCCGGGGTGTGTGGCATCCACCACTCAAACAACGTCATCATGGACGTTGGACATCGCCCCCCAGACGTTTGAAAACATCCCGCACGAGACGTGCTTGTACATCCCCAGACTTTCAGTGTATCAGACGAACCTCACATCTCTCGACGAGCGCCTTCCACCAGCGGCGTCCATCTCTCTCGTTCGCCTCTCCCGCTTGCCATTCCTCCAGGGCTCCCACCAGCCCTCTCACCGTTCTCAAATTCACACATTGCGGCGCTGCCAAAGCTACGAGCATGCGTTCTTCACGATACGGCCGCTCTCTGCCATCGTGATGCTCACTTGCGATATCGCTGTCCGTTGTATTCGGCACTGACCTGGAAGCGCTGTTCATGAACGTCACGGCCGAGCTCGAGGGCGGACCATATTCGCACAGGCCCCGCTCGTATTGAACATTGGTTAGCGCGTTCTATTCTTCTCCGCGGACATGGTCAGTCTCCCTGCTTACTGATTTCTGCTCTGCTATGCTTAGCATTCGATGTTTTCCCGCGCGTTTTTTGCAGATCATGAACCGACTACACCCACAGCGCGTACGACGCTGGCTCCCCAGCCGAGTTCATTGGTGCGATCGCAATCGCGGTCCCTCTCGTAGCCTTGTAGTCTCGGAACCAGACGTTCGGTGGTAGCAGGGCATCACGTGAAACTGACAGCGGAGAGTGAAAAAGAGATGCACAGCTACCACCTAGAACGTCTGGTGAAATTCGTATAGGTGGGGGGGGGATTGTCACACTTCGTGACCAGCGCGTCAGGGCGACGTGTCCTACGGGCGATGTGTAGTAGTACGCGTCTTCTGTGTAGTGTCTGTAGCAATCATGATACACCTTCCCCTCATACATATTCTGCTTCTATGTCCTGCCCTGAGAGTTCTACCTCCGACTTCTAGCTCATCTGCAGCTTCAACCCATACCCACACATCTGCAACCACTTCCGCAAGTGACACAAACTCAAGAGAAATCCCGGCGATGGCGGCGCAGACTCCCCATGACTCACATAAGAACCAGAGAGCAAATTCAGCGAGAATCCTGCAGACTGCGCGAGAAGAGGCATCCAAATTGCGCGGGTATGACTCACGCGCATGCCGTCATCGCCTCATTGAATGGTTCAGAGAGGCAAATAACAAATTCCCTTACGGCTGGCAAATCGACATTGGAGAGGCCCTCGTTCTGGGGCTGGATTGCTCTGTAATAGCGGGTACAGGTGCGTGTAGCAAGTCCGGGTATCATGTAGAAGGTCCGGGTATATTGTGTACTACGACATTGTACCTGATACCTACATCTCTAGACGCGATGCGCGACACGCCTGACGTGCAGAAAGACGCGTCAAGGTCACGTGAATGTGACAATCCCCCCCCCTATACGAATTTCACCAGACGTTCTGTCTGCGGGCTGTGCAGGTGTTTTTCGCTCTCCGATTGGGGCCCCGCACTGACAGAACGGCTGGTTCCGAGACTAGTAGCCTTGCTCGTCGGGTGTATGTTGCCCGCGGCTTAGACCTGACTATAGGTGGAGAGGCCTGATGACTTATCCGGACGAAATTTGGGATTTTTGAGGCCTTAGGCCTGATCTCATCCGGACGTCAGAGGGCCCTGAAGGCCTCCGGAGGTGATCTCATGTCCGGCAGTTCCTGTCAGTTTCGGCGAAGGCCTGATCCTCAGCCGGCCATCCACGCCCCGGAAGCCGACAAGCGCCGACCTCGAGCCGGCGGCGGAGCCGCCGCCTCTCATAAGCGCCCATACCTGCCTTATATAGGCGGTCGGCTGCCGAAAAGCCTGATGCGGTACCCGGACAGGGACCCAAAAATTGGACGAAGGTCTGATCTCATCCGGAAGTATGGGCCAAAAAATCACAAAATTTCTCCGGATGTTTGGGGCTGATTTTCGGAATTTTGGATCAGGCCTCTCCACCTATTGTCAGGGGTCCTGACCTCCCCGACACCACTTTTGGACGCCTTAATGGCTCCCGCCAGTAGCAATTTCACTCGACGTCCAGGACCTACGCCGTCTGAGATTTGATCGGCGGAGGAAGATCTGAGATGTGGCTAGGGAGGTGACGTAGCTAAGTCCGCGGGGCCCCACGTCCTCCAGGGTCTGCTAGTTGTTCACAATGAGGCCTGCGTGCAAGACAGAACGTGACGCCATCAAGCGGCACAAAACGATGGTATTTCTACGGGCTGATACCTGCCAGTTGCCCCGCGTCCCCGTGCCACCATATCTCGTTAGCACTGATGCTTGTGGAATTCAGCCAGTGGTGTTTGCAGACTCGAAAAAGGCTTATACCGAATCCTGTGTACCTTATAAGTTGGAAGAGCATGTCATTGTCTTGTGGTGACGAGGTCAGTCGTTCAAGTCGTCTGGCAGGAATGGAGGAAAACATACATGTTTTTTTAAACCGGGGGCACCGCTGTCGCCTCCTCTGGCTACTCCGGAGATACTGTATACTGACCTCACCAGCGGCCGTCTCATCGGCGTGCATCCTCCGGGCTCTGCTGATTGGACGAGCGTCGTCCTCTCCAGCACTTAGGTTAGTTAGGGCACCGCTTTCCAAACCTCCCTGAAACTGCCGTCACTACAGCGCCCTCGCAGATCCTCCTCGTGAACAGGTGCGGTGCCCCCCAAAGACCCTTCGCCCAGCCCCTTCGGCAGGTGCGCCATGCTCCTTGTCCCCATACCCCCCTCCCCCCTCCACATACTGCCCCATACGACTCATGTGGTAGCCTGCATCGACCAAATCCTCCTTCGCTCGACGCGTCATGCTGCACGTTTCGGTGCTGCCCCTGCGCGTTGACTCCAGCTCCTCGTCGTGCGTACGGCTCTCCAGCTCTCCAGCAGGGTACACTCGCACCGTGCCCCGCCCCGGACGGACGTAGTAGCCCCGCATCAACCTCCGCAGCATCGTATCTCACTTTCAGCGAACTTGCGAGACACGGACGCCCAGCGCAGAAGACCGCGGAGCTCGTTGTGGGTGATGGACTAAGGACGGCAGAGGGGAATCTACAGCGTTATCCATGTTGGCTGCGCCTGGACATGGTGAGTGATGCTTTCGTCTTCTGGCCGGAGAGCGCGGGGCGGATGACAGCTGCTTCCGCAGGGACGAGCCTGACGTTGTGCTGTAGAGTCTCTAGATCTGGCTTCGACATTCCTTTCAGATCGCCCGTCATTCTTAACGTTCACCCCTTCCACGCACTCAGGTAGATCCTTTGGCAGCCTGCCTGCTAGCCCGACTCGGAACGCACTTCAACGTAGAGACATCTGGGCGGTTGTACGCGTACGTTTTTTCAACTTTCCTTAAGTATGAGCCTCCTAACACCTACTTCCAGCCACGCAGCCTTCCCACCACCTGCTGGTGTCGTGTCTCCCTACAGAATACCGGTAGGGCAGATTCGGCATGTCTCGTTGCTAATCACGACTCCCGCTGCGATTTCTGGATTCTGCGCACGTGCTGGTGGTCCCAGAGTCTCGCTCCCTCTTTTGGGGCGTGATGAGTTGAGTTCGGGGGCGGTGCAAGCGAGCGTGACTTGAATTTTGGGTCCGGACATTAGGCATGCGACCGCTCCTCTTGCGGAGGAATGATCAATGCATGGTCTATACGCTCGAGACTCGACGAGATCCTGTCCTCCGGGATTTGAACTGAGTGAGCGCGAGTCAGTCTTGGCTGGTGATAATGCTAATAGGTGAGGACGAGTCGTCGTCAGCCGATTTTGATGCGCACGCACCGGGGTCGCCTCACATCCACTCACGCTAGGATTCACGCACACGTGTCGACATTCTGCATACCAGCGAAACACCCAACGGGCTCCCCCGTTCTCTCACTCCATACAGTCCCTCCCCCATATTTGTCCCACTCGGACAGCTTCCGATGAGTGCTTACGAGATCCCGGTAGGTGCCTTCTGCTCTGCGGGCACGGTCACACTCGTTTTCGTTTCTTGCCGCGCTGATCTGACGTTTTTTTGCTCTGCGCTCTGTGTTTCGTGTGGTGCCGACTCTGCAGAGCTCCTTGGCGCGATCGCGGGCCCGCGCGCGCGCGCGCACCGGTTCTCCTCGCCGTGCTCGTGCTCGTGCTCGTGCTTGCGGCTGCCGATCGCGTCAAAGTCTGCGGGAGGCCCATGTAAACCTCTGCTACCTGTATGTGGCATGTTTATTGTGCAAGCAATGGCCCGCGGCAGGCTCGATCATAGAGCGCTCCGCCTGGTAAGACACAGGCAGCTGTCTGCAGGCTCCACGTTGAAGTGCGTGGTGCGGGTGAAATCGCGCGCCGAGTGTGTCGGCACTGTATGTGTAGCAGGAGAGAGAGGTCGAGGCTATCTGTGAGGCCCCTTTTTATTTCCGCCTGTGTCTGCGCGTTCAGGTCGCGGTCGTTGCGGATGGCGTTATTACTCGTACGATGTGCGTGCTCGATCATGCTGAGCTCAGTTTTAAATCTAGCGTGTACGCCATAACCGTATGATGCCTTCCTCCCCATGTTCGTCTTCTCTCGCCCGCCATCGCACCCTGCGGGACCCGATCTAGTGCGTGAAATGACTTATTGACTATGCGTTGCGGACTTTTCTGGCGCCTAGATGCCGCATACGAGAGTGAAGGTGGGCCTATACAGTTTCGGGATGATATAGCTTTATGGTAGCCGCACGCGTATATCGACGCCGGCAGCAGCAGCACTGCGATAGAGGTCCGCGATCTCTTGGTGAATTAGGCAGATGGGCGCTCTGCGTCCTCGGGCTCTTGCGTGGGCTTGCATGCCCTTGCTGTTCGTTCGTTCAGCTGATACTGTACCTTGTCGAGCGGGCGTGTGCGATGGACACGATGTGTCACATTGAGGTGATACTGCAGATACCGACAGTGCAGGACTTTCTAGAGGATATGATTTTTGGGATAGTCGGGTTCTGTGAGTATCCTCCGCTGTGTCTTGAGAGAACGGCACTTCTAGTGCCGCGCTGGTGGAATCTCGAATAATTATATTTGACTCTGGTTGATCTTGGCACAACAATGTAATTCTGTGAAAATAAAGAAATCCTGTTTGGCTCAGTTGGGAGCGCGCGTCACTACAACGGCGCGGTCGGCCGTTCGAATCGGCGAATGGGAATCAACTCAACATCGCCATTCGTTTTGTCCAGGAAAGCGGCGCCTTGTGACTTTTAACTGCTTGGTTTTTTTTGATCCGGATTCGATGTGCAAAAGGCATCGGTGAATGTGCCTGGTGTCTGTGTCGGGCTTGCGAAAGTGACTGTGCGGAAGGTCTTATTTCGTGGGTTTCAGGCATGTGGATGTTAGTGAGACTGATGTGGTGATGTCGACGAGGCATTTGCTAGGCCCCCATTACGGCGGCCGTCTCTGGTGGTGCTCACGTACCTCCAGATCTCCCGTCGTCCTTAACGTTCAAACGTTCACCCCTTCCACCCACTCAAGTAGATCCCTCGGCAGCCTGCCTACGACAATATGCTCGCCCGACTCAGAACATGGGTGGTTGTACGATACCCCCAGTGCGCGCGAACGGCTTTTTGAAGTTTCCGTCAGTGCGGGCCTCGCGACACCTACTTCGAGCCACGCAGCCTTCCGCTGTGCAGGCGTCGGGCATCCTTACAGGAATACTGAATACCCCCCAGATTCGGTGCGTCTCGTTGCTAAATGCATCTTCCACTACGATTTGTGCGCAGCGCGGGTGAAGAAATCGCGCGCTGAGTGTGTTGTCGCTGTACGTGTGCCAGGAGAGAGGGGTTCGATACTTATCTGCGAGGCCCCCCTTTTTTTAAATTTCTGCCTGGTCGTTGTGGAGGCGTATCTTGTACGATGTGCGCGCTCGATCATGCTGAGCTCAGTTTTAAATCTAGCGTGTACGCCATAACCGTATCGTAGCGGCGCGAGCGCCATTCCCCGACTCCGACGGGGTGCTCACGGTTTTTGTATGAGCAAGGGTGTGTGATTGATACGTATAGTACAAGTACAGGCATTTGTGATAGTTACAGTAATGGAAAAAACTAGACAAGCGAGGCATCGTCGTCATCGCTGTCATCCTAGTGGCGTTGGTCAGGCTCGGAATTCGGTCGGAAGACTCCGAGGAGGGGCATGGGCTCGTCGTCGAGGAAGCCGCGGGGCATCGATCCCGGATTGGCGAGAAGGACGATGGATTGGATGTTGAGGGAGATAGTGGTGTCGGCGTTTTCGTCGTCGAGTTCAGGGTGGCTCTTGATGTACTTCCCAAGAGTGAAGAGCAGGAGGACGGCAGACTCTGTGGAGAGATCGTCGTGGATTTTGGGAAGCATCGATATGGAGCGCATGGAGAACTTGAAGGGCTTACACCCGTCGAAAGTCGGCACTGCGGGAGGAGTGAGTTAGGGCGCATGTGCGAGAAGGTTGGGGGCGATCTTACCATCTCGATCGGCCGGCAGCACGGGGGGTGGACCTGCAGGGTGCGTTAGCGAACATTTTGTAGTGCGAGACGTCACGTACCGCGTTGTGCGTTCACCGGAGTGGCGGGAGCCATGCCGCGGATCTTGGTTGGAGTGTTTGAGGTGCCAGTGGTCAACCTTGTCGAGAAGGAGAGGCCGGCATGGAACGACGGGAAGACGAGTGTTCGTCTGTTGAGAATGGCACCCAGGACGGCGGCCGCACGTGGCCAGGTGAGTGCTGATGGTGCAACGCAGAGTTGACGGCTGCGACCGCTCGGACTGATCAGGTCGCTGTGGGTAACGGAGCCGACGACAGAGAAGAGCGTGAGATGGGTGCTCGTCTTGAGCTGAAGGTAGTCGGAGGCTCCGATGGTGACAAAGTGGAGTGCTGTGGGGTCTGCGGTCGCGAGATTGATGATGTCGTGTGCGGTGGCGATCGAGACGTGGTCCAGACGTCTTTGGGGTCGATTAGTAGTATGGCAGAAAAAGCAAGGGCAAATGGACGTACTCGGCGATGTTCGAAGGGAATGCCCTCTTGAGATACACGGGTTGCACGAGGACAAACACGTTGTTCATGGCACGTGTCACGGCGAGTGTTTCTCTGCAAGAAAGTGTCAGTGTGAGTCACAGTGGATAATTGCCAAAGGGCGTACCTGAGTTTCGACAGCGACTGGAGCACTTCGGTTCTTGTATATATGGTGCAGTTAGCGGAAGTGTCTGTCTGGTGGCAAACAGCGACTCACGGTGTCCTGGTTTTCTCGACGCGCTTTCCTTTGTTGCGGTAGGGCTTACCGGGAGTCTCGTCGGGTCGGTGACTGGCGTGAGCATCGTCTGCGGGAGTATCGGATGCGGTGGAGTCGGTGTGTGCTGTCGGCGAGAATCTGCAAAGAACTGCATGTTGGCTGGTATATGGCGGTGAGTGGGTATGAAGACTTACATGTCGTCGCTGTCTTCGGGCTTCTGCCTTTTTGCGGGTGAAGGCACTGGTGCGGACGGTGACAGATGCCTCATCTTGCATTTGCTGCCAGTGGTGGTTGCAGGAGCATCAGTGACGGAGGCCATGGTGGCGGTTGCGAGAGGAAATCGGGCGAGGTGGGAGTTGTTCGCGGTGCGACTGTTGGGGCATGTCCGTCGGCATTCGCTGTCTGGGCACGGTGCCGAAACGGGGGCGAGAGTGTGGAGGAAATTGCGTACGCAGCGCAGGTGCGTGCTTTGCGAGGGGCGAGGTGCGGCCTTGGCGTTCGAACGGGAGGTCCGGGCGGTGGTCGACCTGGGCGCGGTCGCGAAGTGTGAGGGAGAGGGTCGAGGTTGCGGCGCGCGCGGCGGGGGCGCGTGTTTTGCGGTGGCCCAGGCGCGGTATTGGCATTCGAACGGGAGGTCCGCGTGGTGGTCCGGTTGGCGAGAGTAGGTGGTGGAGGGTGTTGGCGGTCGAGGTGCTGTGGAGAGGGGCGCAAACGCGTGCGGAATTGCGCGCGCAGTCCAGGCGCGCGTTTTGGTCGGGCGAGGCACCGTGTTGGCATTGCTGGATGTCAGCAAAATGTAAGCAAAATAGCAGAGAAAAATACGCACCGAGCGGGTGCGTGTGTTGTGCGATGGGCTAGGTGCGGCATTGGGATTCGCGCGCCGGGAGGTCCGCGTGTTGGTTAAGCCGCGCGCGGTCGCGAAGTGTGAGGGAGAGAGTCGAGGTGGTGGCGCGCGTAGCGGGGCCGCGTGTTTTGCGGTGGGCCAGGCGCGGTATTGGCGTTCCAACGGCAGGTCCGCGTGGTGGTCGCATTGGCGAGAATGCAGGTGGTGGAGGGTGTCGGCGGTCGAGGTGCTGTGGAGAGGGGCCGCGAACGCGCGCCGAATTGCGCGCGCAGTGGGGACGCGCATTTGGGTCGGGCGAGGTGCGGTGTTGGGACTGCTGGATGTCAGCAAAGTGTAAGTAAAATAGTGGAGAAAAATATGCACCCGAGCGGGTGCGCGTGTTTTGCGAGAAGCTCAGCGCGGGATTGGTGTTGGCACGCCGGGAGGTCCGCGTGGTGGTCAAGCCGCGCGCGATCGCGAAACCTGAGCCAGAGGGGGGAGGAAACTGCGTGCACAGGGGGGGCGCATGTTTTGTGGTCGGCCAGGCGCGGTATTGGCGTTCCAACGGCAGGTCTGCGTGGTCATCGCATTGGCGAGAATGCAGGTGGTGGAGGCCGTCCGCGGTCGAGGTGCTGCGGAAAGTGGTCGCGAACGCGCTCCCAGTGGGGATGCGCGTTTGGGTCGGGCGAGGTTCCGTGTTGGTATTGCTGCACGTCGCGGCCGAGTTGGCGATGGTGGCGGAGAACGTCGGCGACCGTCCGTGTCAGTGGTGGAGATGTGGCTAGAGCGGTCGTGAACGTGCGCCGAATTTGACGCGCAGCAGTGGCGCGTGTCCACAATGAGCTGGGCGCGACGGTAAGATTTGAATCTGACGCGCGAACGGTTTGTCGTGCGGGGGCGAGCGTTGGTCGTTGTGGATGGCTACTTACCTCCACCGGTGTGTTCGTTCTTGCTCGTTGATCGTGTCTTGCTGGCAATTGACACTGGTGTATAAAGTTTAGTAAAAATCTTGCTGCTTTCGATCAAAATGAATTTGGAGGCTCACCTGAGTTCTGACACGATGGCAAAGGTCTTTCAGGATGCGCGTTGTGGTGCGTCGAGTTTCTGTTTTGGTGATGGGACTGGATGATGGCTGAATCTTGGTCAGTGAAATTATTCGACGAGTGGACCACACGTACGAAGGCGCCGAATCCGCAAATGGGTGCCGATGGACAGGGATCGCAGTTCCTGCTCGAGACGTACGATCAGTTCGAGACAGTTGAGCGTCAATTTGATGTTCAGGTCGGTTCGGGTGGGTATTTGTACCTGGTGTGGCGAAGCTCGCGCGAGGAGGTTACACTGCGTGTGTCTGGGTTTGTTTCTCAGATGAGTCTTCTGCCCCCTTTCAGGCGCTCATTCAGGTTTGTCACTTCTGCAGTTCACAAGCTGCTTGCCGATGTGATTGATTCGTATCTAGGCTGCCGAGGGGAAATCCGAATCTCGCTCTGCAGACTGTTGTGGTTGCCGGTGATGGTCCTGCATTCCGGCGAGCCATCACTGCCCGATCAAACATCTTACGTTTCATGGAAATGCATGCACGCCGTGGAACGACATCTGTAATTGATGATGTCTGGCTTGGCGCCATGCCGTGTTTTATTGCAGAGACACGTGTGCTCACGCCTATGGTGGAAGCACCATTGTTTGACAGTGCCGATCTGAACATGGTTATTGACCCGTATAGTGCATTGGCAGAGCTAGTTGCTGGTGGGAGGCTCTCGTGGACATCAGACAATGTCGTGTCATGCATGGAGCTGAAGGGCGAGTATGACGACAGGTATGTCATGATATGAAATCATCTGTCTGCATTGCTTGAGGTGATGTTGTGTTTATGTAGGTGGTCTACTCCTGTGCAGTCATCCCTTGACATGGTGCGTGCCGGTGAGCTCGTTGAGCTTTCAGTAAACTTTCGGCTTCGTGAGCACGTGAGTCCAAATGGGGCAAACGTAGGTCGCAAGTTTCTTACACGACTTGACACTGTCATGATCGTGAGTCGCTTGGGGATGAAGGTGAGTTGGCGTTTGCCCGCATTTGTTTGTTATCACAAAATGACTTCTAATGGTGGCTATAGCTGATTGCGGACTGCGAGTCAGAGCACTTGTCGATGATGCGTATTGCTGCGGCGGCTGATAACACTGGTGGAGGTAAGGCTCCGAAGAAGAGACGGTTCTCTTACCTCCAGTCTGTGCCTTCTGTTTTAACCAGTACTGAACAACACTTGAATTCGCTGACAGTATTGGACAAGACAGATGATGTAGATCAGGTAATGAAGCCGGTGGGATAGTTGCAGTACTGTTACATATAGTCATATGATATAAGATACTGATGGTATGGCTGTCTTTTAAAAATTCAAATGAAAGGATCATCTGAGCATGAAGATCGTGTCGATCAGGTAATAAAGTCAGTAAAATAGGTATAGTGTCATGGTGGCAATAATACAATATTTTGTTGATTCAATTGATTCGATTGAATGGACCATTTGATGTATACATGAGGATGTGCGCCCAGCGTCCGTCGAGTGTAAGGAGTGGTGTAAGGTCATCGGTATCCATTCTGTTTTCATATTGTGGGACACCGTCATTCTGTTGGTCGTCGTATATCCATCCTGAGTTGTGAGAGTGGAGGAGACGTGCTGTAAAGTGACTAGATCCAAAGTATATTACAGTTGCCAATGAGTAGGTGGTCTGCATATTGAATTCCAGATCAAATATGGGAGTGATAACTGTATGTTCCTGTGACGGATATTCAAAGTATAGGATGGGCGGTGGTGTAATGTTGCTTATATTATGATCAACTTCACTGTCGCATTGACATAGTAATCTTCTTGCATGCAGAATGGATGATGTCATGGTCTTACTTAACCAAGTTTGTATAGTTTGAGTTTCAGCAGAGGACTGCATGCCGGTGGACACAATAACAGATGGGATTCTTAGTGTGATTGGGCGTGTTTGATGACAGGCAAGACACTGTATGGTCGTGACTATATTGTTAGTGGTGTTTTCCAATGCACATTCAATTATGCTTGCTGCAGAGGCAAACTGTGGACCATATCTTGGATATTCCATAGGTGATCGTCTACTAAGAAAATCTCGGAGAAAATCACGTTGCATGTTAAACTGCTCGGCACTGGAGTCTGGGCTCAGATTCTCAAAACAACTGACCAACAGACTAGCAATAGCTGACTGATTCTTCCACATTGCACGCAAAGAAGAGCTCAGTTGAGAGTAGCTGTGATAAAGTGACATAAATGTGGCATCATATGCACATGAGTAGTCTGTGGATGACCATTGGCAACCGTGCTTGTACATGTATGGTGATGAGTCAGAATGTGGCATTGACATTGATGGCAAAATCCCTGATTCTTCCATTTGTGAGGCTTTCCGTTTGGTTCCTTTTGACTGTGAGCTACTGTCACTAAAGTTGACATGAAATGACTTTGTGGAGATGTCATCTTCACTTTCAGGATTTGGCAAAGGTACAAGGGATCCTGTTTTAAAGCCATAGTGAATTAAAGTATTTTGCTCAAGCACTTTAAATTTCTGTGTCTCATGGTATAGGTCAGCAGAAACAGGCTTGTTTAGCTGTTCCAACTTTACTGGCTCTGAGATGAATAGGCCATTTCGTGTGCGTGCTCTCGATGCAGCAACGTAGGCTGCAAAGCCGCCCTCAGTCATGTTGTTAAGTACTTTAGGCAGTGTTTTGCCTTGCGACGTGTGGCCGGTGACCGCAAATGCAGGTTGTATGATGAGTTGCAGTCGGGTAACTTGGTACCTTTGTGTATCTCCATTGGCATCTCTAAGTGTAGTTGTAAACCGCCATGTTGTTGGAGCAATAGGCACATAGCCTGAAGGCAAATCAGGCAGATGTACCTTGCTTGTAGGAAACTCAACTATAACACAATCTGCATATGTGTATCCGACAGGACAGTGTTTAATCGAGATGTGCCTAACTATGCCTTGAGCACCATTGGTGATTCCAAGTTCTGTGGAGATGTTTCGACTGCGTAGTACCACAGGCATGCCTACATATAATGAAATGAATGCTGGGAGGGCACCTTCAGAAGTAAGTGGTGTTACATTGAGCCGCAGAAGTGCATCACGAATGGATTTCTCAGGTACCTGACCATCAATCTTATCGACCGCTGTGCATATTATTAAGCTCAAACCATTGTCTGCATCACAGTTTGCCTGTGCCTTTTCAGTATTAATAACTTGTCGTAGCAGGTTGGTATTGACAATTACTGTAGGATCATCATCATCATCTTTTATTTGAAGGCCATCAAGATGGGTCGCTGACTTAACTACCCGTGTATTAAATAGGTCAACATCTCCCATTGTGCATTCACGTGTTCGCAATCTGTTGACTGCATCACCATACTCAGGATCATGTTTCATACGTTGTTGCTCAGTCAACTCTACCACTGCATTTACTTGCTTCCATGCAAGTCGACCAAGCCTCTTGCTGAGTTCATCTGATGTCTGTCTTGCATATGCTGATATAGGTGTGTATAGCGGTGTGCCACCTACTGGAGGATATTGATAAAAATCTCCCGCAAAAATTATATTAATACCTCCAAACCATACATCTGGTTTTTCTTTGGCATAACGTAATGCATGATCTATCTCAGAGAGTAACTGACAGCTAACCAGTGAGATTTCATCAATAAGTACAAACTCAACACGCTGCCATTCATCACGCAATACTGTACGATTTTGAACACTAATTGTTACTGTATAGTCCTGTTCACTTTCGCCCAGTCGCCTGTTGCCTTTACCCTTTGTCTTTGATTGTATCTTCAAACCGAGTCCTTTGTGAATTGTCATTCCATCGATTAGAGCAGCAGCAGAGCCGGTAGGTGCAAGAAAACGAATTTGGTATAAGCAGCCAAAGTATGTCATCAATTCTTTCAAGGCTTTGACAACATGCGTCTTGCCTGTGCCACCGGGACCGGTGAGCAACAAGTACAGCGGTTCCATTACAGTGTCTGATTTGACTACATAGTTTTGAATAAAATGTTTTGCACAAATCTGAAAGGCACATGCCTGCTTAGCATTTAAACTGTAGGATGTCTGAACAGACTGTAGAACTTTCATTGGGGACTGTTCAACTAATGCAGTAGTATCACTCATATTTGGGGCTTCTGTGGATGTGGTTAATTGTTCTGGTATTGTAGGCGTCATGTAATACTCAGTGTATGCAGGAGTTTTTTCGAGAGTAAACTGAGAGCTCATGTTGCCAGCATTACGTCTTTTCTGCATTACTTGCATCTCTTGCTCATGTAGGGCTGACTTCCACTTCTGCAACTGCAAGTGGGTTATATTATATTTAACAGTGGATAGTGCAGCTATCTTGTGATAAGTGTTGTGATGGAGCCAATTGCACTGTTCAAGTAAAGAGACAAACTGCTGTATCTTAAAGTCATTGACTGCACTTCGTCTATCATGTGATGTAACATCAACATCATCATCTGTGTCTGCTGTAACAGATGAGTACATGGATTTTGTCAAGTGACGTGATTCTGCTAGCAGCGTCGCTCGCTTGCGCAACCGTTCACTGTCTCTTGCATCTTCGCATTCATATGCTGCCTCCCAGTTGCGCATCTTGGTTTTGCTGAACTCACTAAAGTCATATACACTGAAGGTATGCTGAAAGGTGTCACCGTACTCTACAAGTGGAACTGTATCACTGAATGGTTTAAAGTGTGCCAGCATAAATATTGCATACCTTTCACCATTTTCACGGCGAGGGATCAGTGTACCAATTGGACGTGGAACACGCTCCATATTAAAGTCAACATGCATTGGACTGAAGTGCTCAACAAGTACATGTGTATCTGCAAGAGGATGTTGTTCCTTTACAGAAAGACGTGGAAGTACACCTAGTCGATCATCTGATGTATGATGGTTATGCTGTGCTGTTTTAGACTCTAATGTGAAGTATCTGCAGAAGTCATAGAAGTTTAAGTGAGAAAGAGTGTCTGGTCTGTAGATGTAATCATCAATTTGGTTCCGTTCGAGTAGCTGTCCATTTTTATTCACTTTAATATTGATAGTACACTCTTCTATGTCATCAGCATCAGAATGATTATCCTCACCACTCTGACTTTCAATTTGCATAGCAAATGAATAATGCTCTTTGACATAAAGCAGTAACAAAATAGATAGCAAGGGCTTTGTAGGATGTGATGAAATACTATCGCCTCTCTTACGTATGTACCAGGCTGCTTGCTGAGAGTGGATCTGTTGTTGACGCAAGAATTGAGCCAAGCACCTATTTAGTAAGGTTTTTGTACTGTAACTAGTCAATTGCGAGGATTGGTCATTGCCACTGGGTAAACTTGCTACTGCCTTTGATAACAATGATAGCATCTGATAGGTTTTTAGGTCAACCTTAGTAATATAGTCTGTAATATAAAACATTGCAGCCTTCGCAGCTTTACCAGAAAGAATACATTTAATGTCATGATTATGTCTGCAAAAAACCAGAATATATGGATTGTAGTAGTTCACATTTGCATCTTTACACATCAGAATGACAGAGTTAGTATTACGATCAAAATATGAGCTCTCAACAACCTCATGGGGAAATAAAAATCTGCATTTACCTTCATTACCGTATTTTTCACAGACTTTACGGTGTTGATGACGTTGCAAGACTTCTCCACATTTTTTAATTTCAGTGACAAACACTGACTCCCATTCATTCAGAATATTGAGTGCCGATTCACCAACAATAGGTGGTTGTGGTGGTCGTTCAATACGAGGTTCGTACGTTTGATCAACTTGCATATCAATATTAGGCAAGTGATGAAATATAATGCTCTCCCAGTATCTGAAAAATCGGTATTCAAACTCATGACTGTCACGCAACCTAGCATGCAAATCAGAAGGATTCAGACCTCCAAGTAGCCATAATACAAAGTGACCATGCAGTGTACCACGCTCAGTACATTCAGGTGTACCATAAAATGCACGCAACTTTCCTAAGATTCCACCTTGCCTTTTGGAGCGTCTCTTAGAAAAATCCCAGCCCAAGAGGTCTTCAAATATAGTGTGTATACAAAAGTAGAAGAAATCGCATGCTGCAACTGGATCTTTGGCCAGCCGCAAAGCACGTTCATGTGCAGGCACAACTAGTGGAAATCGTTTGGCCAAGTCTACAGTAGTGTCACCATACATGACTTGGAAAATTGGATTATGTGCAGGCGAAGGATTTATGGTCATGTAAATATGTGGCATGCCAAAGTAACCAAAGTAGCTACGTATCTCATTTCTGACCCGAATT